TACCAAGGTATGGAAGAAGAGCAAGGAGGCGGATAAAGAGCCCTCCCTCTCTCAGTGACAATCTGTAGTGAGTAACCCTATTGGTCAAAATCTAACAGGTTACAGTTTTCAACATTCTGTAAACTGGTTTCACTTTCATATTGGTACAATTGACAGGTTAAAATAGCTGCTACATATGCTGTACCACAACCTACATGTATCTATCAAACCACTTAGACAGGCTTTGGTACCATAGTTATACACTATAATCCACAGGGATTTCTGGTAGTTGAAGACCAGCCTTTTCTGGTAGTTGATGACCAGCCTGTACAAAAGCTCCCGAGAGAGGTAGGGGTTAAGGTTTTTTCGGCAGTTTCTGATAGCTATTTAGTTGGCCTATAGGAAGGTTAAGAAAATGAAACCATTTTATACCTATTTGAAAGGGAAAGTTATGACCTCATTTCTTTCTAAGAATGAGCAAGATAGCTGTTGCAAGTCCAGGGTCACTCCTAGTGCATTAGTGGTCCAGACATGATAGTTACCCAATGAGGTCATGACCCTGGGGACACTGACTCAGGAACTGTGGAATGTCCAGTTGACACACTGTGGAATGATAAATGACTTCTGTGGGGGGCATAGAGCAAGGATAGGAGCCAAGGACCCTCTATTATGGTGGGGTGTGTAGGGTCATGGAGGAATGGTAGGGTGGAGGGAGAATTGATTATTGGGGCCCTGTTGTTCTGTCGTTCTATGACCTACATTTTAAGCAAGATAAGTTTGCGGTAGCACCATAAATCTCTTTTGTGAGTATGTGTGATTATAATCACAGAAGAGATTTATTCACATGGTGCTACCGCAAACTTATCTTGTCTTAGTATCTTTCCACCATGCAAACCTTCAAATCCCGACCTACACATTTTATTTCTGTCTTTCACTAGCAGCTGACACCCCCCCCCATCTATCATTTCTGGGTCCCAACCATAGAGTTGAGATAAAATGATGCCCATGATGGGACAGAACTCTTAAAGTTGGGCCAACCTGACTACCTGAGAGGTGGGAGAAATTGGATATTTTAAAATGTGGTTGTCCTATTTTTTTTCCAAACGGAATAATTGCAGTAAATCCAATTTCAACTGAACTTCCCACTCAGCTCACAGTCACGCATATACAGCAAGTGATGAGTAAGGTACTGCATGCAATTGCAATGCCCTCCCAATGATTGGGTAGAGTTTGCATGATTGCATGACCATAGGGCTTTTACAAAAACACTTTAGGGGTGCACTGAACCACAGACCATTTCAAGCCCCATTGAAAAAGTGTCAAATTAACAAAGTTCAGGGCCAAATAACATGCAAGCCGACATCACTGGGGTTTCTCAAACAAATATTAAATTCTTGTCTTGTCCTTCATGTTTTCATTTCTTTTCAGTTTTGGGTAGACTAGCCGATTACATTTTTAAATATTAACACCAAAACAAAATCACCTCCCAAAAAGTGGTAGTTCCTAAGCCTGCATGTGAAAACGCTAAAGTGACTACGTGCAGATTCCGCCCTTCTGCGGTCTGAGGCAATGCATTTTTTGTACAGTACGCGCAGCACGTATGTTTCAGCCGCTCATTTAGTTTGCGCGCATGCGCACTCAAAATATGAAATACTGATAATCAGCAAACATGGATGTTTGCAGTCGCAGATTGACCCACTGAAGTATCGGTCAACATCACGCTCGAAATACTTTGATAAATTTTTCTTTCCACGTGGACAGGAATTTTAGGCAATCAAAGTCACTTTTGCAAACCTTAGCGCAAAAAAACAGAGAGTATTTGATGCATTTTTTTTGTTTTTCCGTGTCGTGTAGTACGAAAGTATTGGGTCACAAATTCAAAACAGGCGACAGTTTAGGGGATAATTTTTCAGTTTTGCCGAGTAATTGTAAACCTGTCTTCACTGAAAAATGGTAAAGGATGCCACGGAAAGTGCGATGTATAAATATCATTTAAGTCGGAAACCGTTCCAATGAGAAAAGTAAGGTCTCACGTTATACGATTTTTTCGTTGAATGTAACGTTAGTGTGCACGTACCTGTAAACAGACCCTAGAATCTGGCCCGTAAACATATGGCTAGCCACGCGCCGCTCCGTTTGTAATCTTTTGACGCGTTGGAAATGTATACATTAATAACTGAAACGATTTACAACTGACTGGTTCCCGGCCCTGAAATGCAGTTAAGTACGATCATAGAGGGCACTGGGACCAGTGTATTTGTGCACGAAGCTTTCAAAATGGGTTTACTCGAAAAATGACGATTTTTATAAGCTACAGGTTTCCTTCTTACATCAAATCACCTGTAAAATGAAAATGATCATCCTTTCCGATGGTACTACGGCTGATCTAAGGTAAACCCGGCAAATTGTCCAAATGTGTAAACCAAACTCAAAAGCGAACGATGTTTTTCCTTTTCATTTTGTACGTTTTTTGTCCATAATTATTGCTTTTTTTTTATATATTTGAAAAGGTTTTTAGCGCCGTTACCACACTGTAGAGACAATTTATATCTTTGTTCACTTGGTCTACTGATAATTTTTGGTTTGAATCATCTTTTAAGTACGTTTGAGAAGGATACATTTTAAGACATGAAAACCAGACAATCGTTCAGTGCGTCGTCTGCTACCGCTGTTTGCGAGCCGACGACGTGGAGGAAACCATTGCGCATGCGTGAGAAGACGAACTAAATGCACGCACGGTCTATGGGGCTGAAACATACGTGGCAGATTCTGCCCCACTGCGCATGCGCCTTGAAATTTGCCCCTTCGTGAAAACGTTTTATTGCACGCGCATGGAATTCGCAGATTCGCCCTTTCGTGATATACGCGCTATTGTATTACAATGTATTTATTTACTGAAAATTTATTAATACCATAGAGTGCGGAAATTCGCCCTTTCGTGAAAACGCAAAACGGCACTTTTGGCAAATTCGCCCAATCGTTAATTAAGATTTTAATTAATTTTTTGAAAGTATAGCCTCACCAGGTTGTAGATATTGATTACTTTATTCATTTTCACCAAAAAAAAAAATTTTTCTCGAAAAACAGACGATTTTCATGAAATTCGCCCCTTCGTGAAAACGGTGACGAAGTGTACACTAGTACAATGTATACAACTTACAAGTATCGGTACACTGTTCAAACATGTTGCACAATGCTGTGATAATCAACGGCAGCATTAAAACCCAGTTCACTGACAACTTGAACAGCACCCTCTGTTGACTTGACAATGAACAGAGTAGGCCTAATACAATTGTACATGTACATATACGTGTATGTATGAAAGAGTTTAACCATGGGTTTAACTGAGTCTGGTATAAATTACATGACAATATATTTATGGTATATTTCAACACTCATATGGACATCACCACCCAGAAAGCCAATTCTTCCGCCGGTGCATTTCTTCAATACAACTTCAACAACTGCAGTCGTAAGATTAAGAAGGGACAAGACCTACATTAAGATCAATCGTACAGTATGCAGCAGCAGTCATGGGACCCACAAACACAAAGAACAGGCATGTAACTGGGAAGTCACAAAAAAAGAAAAAATTCAAATATTTCCAAGACTTTGTACAGTGTTTTTCTATTTTCAATGACACACATGGGAAGTGAAAAAAGAGGAAATCAGCTGATCCGAGGAAAAGTTGCATGCCTGAAAGAAACATCAAGAAAGTGGAACAGGTCCAGCAAAGCAGTATAAGATATGTCACCAGTACCTACATGTACGACCGCAGATCAAGTGTAACAGCCAAGCTTAACGAGTTACAATGGCCTTCTCTACATTGCAGACGCTGCCAAAGCCACTTAGCCATGCTCTACAGAATCCGCTATGATCTGAAAGACATCGGATGGAAACAACATCTCATTGAAGCTTCGTCCAATGCCAGGTGTCGGCTCTCGCTTTTGGACTCCCTACTACAGCTGTCAAGTGTACTCTTCCTCCTTCTTCCCTCGCACCAGCAAGGAATGGAACTCCCTAAAGAAGGATCCTAGTGACTTCGCAACACTGGATGCTTTCAAGGTGGTATCAAGGGAAGCCGCCATTTAGCATGCAGACATCCGACTTTTTATCGCATTTCACTGTTTATCATGCACAAGATTTTTGTTTGTCTGCGTATTATTATGACTGCGCGCGCATCCAACCTACAGTGCGTTTATCTTCATTCATGAAGCCTGAACTATATCGGGAAGAGGAAGAAACTTTGGCCACGACAAAATAATAATTTTCTGAATTGCTGAAGGTAATTTTACGGAAAGATTTCCATATACGAAGTTCACTCAACACCCTGTGTACAAACCCTATGAGATTGGACTGAAAAATTCTAAGTGTTTTCTAAGAAAATGCTTGTATTTTCTCACTGCTCCAATTGACTTTGATGACGTGAAATTGCTATCTGGGGGCTTGTTAGTCAATACAGAGGAAAATTAGTGAACTTCGTATATGGAAATCTTTCCGGTAATTACACTTTACAGTAGTCAGCAGTGACCTGTTCTAAATTCTGTGTTCATGGATGCTAGAAAAATCAAGAAACAAATGCTGTTCATGACTTGTACTAGTCTGGTTCTTTGACCCTACTTTAAACGAAACAGAGCAATTAATAGACGTCAAGTAATTCTCAGGTCTAATTAAATACAAAGAACGGTTCAATTAAAAACACAAAAGTTAAGAAACTATAAAAGGAAAAAAAAGAGAGAAAAAAAGAAAAACCAAAAATGCACAGCACGGGGGTCCCTGAACTTTTAACCAATTGAGCTACTGGGGCATTCTGATTCGACGGGCAGTTGTAAATGATATAGATTCGCTATGGTGTTGTTGCACTGTATTCCGTAATAACAAATTCAGTTGAAAATCGCATTACAACTGCCGTAACGATAGCCACTACAAACAATTATAAAAAACGTTGAAAACTTAATCATGTACTGCAATATTCATTTAAAATTGCCAATAATAAACAAAATGAATTATCATTTACAAACCTCTTCAAACTCAAACTCAGAGTCACTGTCGTCGGATGACGTCCAATTGACAACTGGTTTTCTCTGCTTGGACTTTTTCAATTTTGTGGGCTTGTTTGTCTCCTCTATAAACTCCGGTAAGCCCGACGAGCATGACGAGCAGGATGAAATGATGTTGATGTCATTGTGGTCCTGCCTTTTGGGCGAAAGACTGTCACTGGCATACCCATAGAGACCCATTTTGTCCATTCCGTTCACACCGCCGGGGCAAGCGGCGAGTCCCCCGTCACTCGGCCGTCTGACACCGATCCCTTCATCGCCGACGACCCGCTCACAATCTCGGTGTTTAAGGTTTGGCTCTTCGGGGTTCACGATGACCACGTCGTCGGTCGTCAGATCGATGATCTCTACTTCAGAGTCCGATATGAGAATAACATCTGTATCACGGGTTGATTCATGGTGCATTTTTGGTGATATTTGTGGACCAAATTCCAGTCCAAAGATTGCTCATCTCGGTCGACATCTTCAACGTTGACGCAATCGCATGCATGCTTACCTCGTCGTACCCAGGGCCTACTTTATTTCCAACATGATTTCCAATCAGTGGTGGGAGCGTACTGCTCGACATACTGAAAACGAAGTTGCAAGTATGCAAGCGCGCGTCGCTTTCTGACCGATTGGAGGCGCACTTTTTCGATACAAGTCCGTGGCACGTGGGGTAATGTAGGTCAATGGGTGGGACAGTCCAAAGCCACCGTGTCGCCGCACCACTTTTTGGGCAAGCTCCATACCAGAAACTGGAGACTTTTTTTTTTGGCCTAACCTTGCTTTTTTAGTGAAATTTTGCAAAGTTAGATGTTACGAAAAATTTCAAATTGAAAGGGGTTAACCTCGCATTTTTTTTAAGGCGAAAATCGGAAAAAATCACATGTTTCTGGAAAATTGAAGATTGTAAGGGGTTAACCTTGCTTTTTGAATAAGATTGGGGAAAATTAGATGTTCATGAAAAAAATTCAAATTGTAAGGGGTAAACCTTGCATTTTTTTGCAAAATAGGACACAATCAGATGATTCTGGAAAATTGCAGATTGTTAGGGCGTAACCTTGTATTTCTAGCAAAATTGGGCAAAAAGAAATGTTTATGAAAAATTTTAAATTGTATACCTTGTATATCTAGTAAAATTTGGCAAAATCAGATTTGTATGAAAAATCTAAGATGGTTAGGGGTTAACCTTACTTTTTTAGCAACATTTTGAGCACATTTTACTAAAATTGGGCAAAATCAGATGCTTTTAAAAAATCCAGATGTAAAGTTTCCGCAAAAACAGCTGTTGAAAAAGAGCCCAATGTTGAACTTTACTGAGTCTGAGGCAGGCGCGGTTCTACGGGGGCTACTAGCCCCCCAAAAATATTGGTTCTAGCGCCTGGTCTGAGGTCTATCGAGGGGACGATCCTTATTTCAACTCACGGAGATTCGCTGACAGTCTCTATTTCTCTTTTTAAGAAAGTCGAAATAGCTGAAGAGGGAGGTGAGAATCTATATGTGCCCAGATACAAAGAGTAGAAATCTACGCGTCTGCCTTTTGAAAATACACAATTGCGGTGTTCATTGTTGCGTAATGATCCGCCTAGCACACGACTGTTTTGCACATTAGGCTGTGTTATGCAGCTTCCTAACAAACCAAACACACTGGGCTCATTATATCGACTTGTTTTTACCCATTAAGGTAAAGCAAATGGACCCAGTAATCTTCCTGGCGCGTTTGCTCACCTATAAAGACAACTTTTCTCAGTTTAAGGAAAATTCTAAGGTAACGAAATGGCCCAGTGGTTGCGATTCGTCGTCCACGGTTAGCGGGGTCCCGGGTTCGAATCCCGCTGGTGTCTTTTTGGTTTTTAACGTATGAGTTCAATTATTCACTATAAGAGATTTAATTTCCCGTCGTAAACTACCAACAGTACCTTAGCTTAATCGGTAAGCACTGCTGCTGGTACTGTCCGCGAGTTCCAGGTTGGCGCCTTCGTACAGGTTCAGGGCATGTGGTCCACTCGGAGGATCAGGGCTTAGGGGCCGCCCTGTTCCTCCCTTAGCTCTTTGCTTTTACATGGTGCCTGGCCCTCCGGGGTTATATGGATGGATAGGGAAGGAAGTGTGTATTGGTCGGGGACGCCGAGACCCCGGAAGAGAACTAAGGGATCGGCTGGGGCATTGTTATGGCTCAGACCGATCCCTGAAAGCTTGACTAGCACATAACTTTTTGATTTCTTTTTACCCTCTATCTTTTATACTTTGGTTTAGTTTGATATCTACAGCTGATCGGCAGGTCTACGGGTAGTATTAAAGTTGAGACAAAGGTGTATGTCAAAAATCAATGAATACTTCATAATTGACCATAATCAAAACGGAGTTTCGTTTGATCAATTTGACCATCATTATATAATGACGCGATTGCCAATTGACGTAAGAAAAGCCATAAATTATACCGGGAAAGAATAAAGATGTACATTGTAATATAAATATATTTATACATCTTTCAAATAACGTGTCTTTAATTGTGAGCATTCCAAACAATACAGTAATTCGCAATGGTATTAGAATGGTATATGATAGCACGATCAATGCGTCTCTATTAAATTTGAAAAAAATAATATAATTTAGGCGCCTATGTGTGAAATATTCTTTGATTGACTATGAGCATTCCATACGAATGAGTTAATTCGCAAAATATAGCAACAACAAAAGAGAAAGGAAAAAGACAAAATTCTTTTACCCTAAAAAATGGAAAAATAATTTGTTTTAAAAAAGTCGAATCGGACACTTCATGTATTGATTTAACAGTTTGCAGTTAACCTTACATTATTTTTAGCAAAATTGAGAAAAATCAGATGTTTCTGGAAAAGTGCAGCTTGTAAGGGTTAACCTTGCATTTTTAGTAAAATTTAGATGTTTATGAAACATTTCAAATTGTAAGGGGTGAACCTTGAATTTTTTTGCGAAATTGGGAAAAATCAGATCTTTCTGGAAAATGTCAGATTGTAAGGGGTTAACCTTGCTTTTGTAGTAAAATTTGGCAAAATTTAAATGATTACGAAAAATTCCAAATTTTCAGTGGTTAACCTTGCATTTTTTTTTAGCAAAATAGGGCAAAATCAGGTGTTTATAAAAAATTTCAGATGGTTAGGGGTTTACTTTGCATTTTAGCAAAATTGGGCAAAATCTGATTTGTATGAAAAATCAAAAATTGTAAGGGGTTAACCTTGCCAAATTAGGGCAAAATCAGATGTTTCTGGAAAATTTGAATTTTTTTCATGAACATCTAATTTACCCAAATCTTATTCAAAAAGCAAGGTTAACCCCTTACAATCTTCAATTTTCCAGAAACATTTAATTTTTTTCCGATTTTCGCTTTAAAAAAATGCGAGGTTAACCCCTTTCAATTTGAAAATTTCAAATTGTAAGGGGTTAACCTTGCATTTTAGCAAAATTGGGCAAAATCAGATTTTTCTGGAAAATTCAGATGTAAGGGATTATCCTTGCTTTTTTAGTAAAATTTTGCAAAGTTACATGTTTATGAAAAATTTCAAATTATAAAGGGGTTAACTTGGCATTTTTTAAGCGAAATTGGGAAAAAATCTGATGTTTCTGGAAAATTGCAGATTGTAAGGGGTTAACCTTGCTTTTTGAATAAGATTAGATGTTCATGAAAAAAATTCAAATTGTAAGGGGTTAACCTTGCATTTTTTTAGCAAAATAGGACACAATCAGATGATTCTGGAAAATTGCATATTGTTAGGGCTTAACCTTGTATTTCTAGCAAAATTGGGCAAAAAGAAATGTTTATGAAAAATTTTAAACTGTAAGAGGTGTACCTTGTATATTTAGTAAAACTTGGCAAAATCAGATTTGTATGAAAAATCTAAAATGGTAAGGGGTTAACCTTGCTTTTTTAGCAAAATTTGGAGCATATTTTACTAAAATTGGGCAGAATCAGATGCTTCTATAAATCCAGATGTAAAATTTCAACTAAAAAAATACAAGGTTCACTCCTTACAAGTTGAGATTTTTCATATAAATCTGATATTGTCCAGTTATGCTAAAAATGCCAAGTTAACCCCTTACAATTTTCAATTTTTAAGAAACATCTGATTTTTCCCAATTTCGCTTAAAAAAGCAAGGTTAACCCCTTTCAATCTGCAATTTTCCAGAAACATCTGATTTTTCCCAATTTTGCTTAAACTGCAAAGTTAATCCCTTACGATTTGAAATTTTCCGTAAACACCTGATTTTGCCCTATTTTGCTAAAAATGCAAGGTTTACCACTGACAATTTGAAATTTTTCATAAACATTTAAATTTTCCCAATTTTACTAAAAAAGCAAGGTTAACACCTTACAATTTGAAATTTTCCATAAACATCTGATTTTGCCCTATTTTGCTAAAAAAAATTTGCAATCTGAACCCCTTACAATTTGAAATTTTCCATAAACATCTATTTTTTACCAAATTTCACTAAAAAAAGTAAGGTTAATTCCTTACATCGGAATTTTTTTCAGAAACATCTGACTTTGCCCAATTTTGCTTAAAATGCAAGGTAAACCCCTTTCAATCTGCAATTTTCAAGAAACATCTGATTTTGCCCTTATTTGGCAAAGGTTAAACCCTTACAATTTTTTGGATTTTTCATACAAATCTGATTTTTCCCAATTTTACTCAAAATGCAAGGTGAACCCTTTACAATCTGAAATTTTTCATGAACACCTGGTTTTGCCGTATTTTGCTAAAAAATGCAAGGTTAACCCCTAACAATTTGAAATTTTCAGATGTAAGGGGGTTAACCTTGTTTTTTTAGTGCCCTAATTTGGCAAACGTTAACCCCTTACAATTTTTGATTTTTCATACAAATCTGATATTGCCCAATTTTGCTAAAAATGCAAGGTTCACCCCTTACAATTTGAGATTTTTCATAAAAATCTGATATTGCCCAGTTTTGCTAAAAGTGCAAGGTTAATCCCTTTCAATCTGCAATTTCTAGAAACATCTGATTTTGCCCTAATTGGGCAAAGGTTAACCTCTTACAATTTTTGATTTTTCATACAAATCTGATTTTTCCCAATTTTGCTGAAAATGCAAGGTGAACTTACAATCTGACATTTTCCATAAACACCTGATTTTGCCCTATTTTGCTAAAAAAAATGCAAGGTTCAACCCTTACAATTTGAGATTTTTCATAAACATTTAAATTTGTCCATTTTTGCTAAAAATACAAGGTTCACCCCTTACAATTTGAAATTTTTCATATCAATCTGATATTGCCCAGTTATACTAAAAATGCCAAGTTAACCCCTTACAATCTGCAATTTTCAAGAAACATCTGATTTTTCCCAATTTCGCTTAAAAAAGCAAGGTTAACCCCTTTCAATCTGCAATTTTCCAGAAACATCTGATTTTGCCCTAATTTGGCAAGGTTAACCCCTTACAATTTTTGATTTTTCATACAAATCTGATTTTGCCCAATTTTGCTAAAAATGCAAAGTAAACCCCTTACCATCTGAAATTTTCCATAAACACCTGATTTTGCCCTATTTTGCTAAAAAATGCAAGGTTAACCACTGACAATTTGAAATTTTCGTAAAAATTTAATTTTTCCAATTTTACTAAAAAAGAAAGGTTAACCCCTTACACTTTGAAATTTTTCATACACATCTTATTTTGCCAAATTTTACTACAAAAGCAAGGTTAACCCCTTACAATCTGACATTTTCCAGAAAGATCTGATTTTTCCCAATTTCGCTAAAAAATGCAAGGTTCACCCCTTACAATTTGAAACGTTTCATAAACATCTAAATTTTACTAAAAATGCAAGGTTAACCCCTTACAAGCTGCACTTTTCCAGAAACATCTGATTTTTCTCAATTTTGCTAAAATGTAAGGTTAACTGCAAACTGTTAAATCAATACATGAAGTGTCCCATTCGACTTTTTTAAAACAAATTATTTTTCCAGTTTTTAGGGTAAAGGAATTTTCTCTTTTTCCTTCCTCTTTTGTTGTTGCTATATTTTGCGAATTAACTCATTCGTATGGATCAAATATTTTTTTCACACATAGGCGCCTAAATTATATATATTTTTTTAATTCAATAGAGACGCATTGATCGTGCTATCATATACCATTCTAATACCATTGCGAATTACTGTATTGTTTGGAATGCTCACAATTAAAGACACGCTATTTGAAAGTTGTATATATATATTTATATTACAATGTACATCTTTATTCTTTCCCGGTATAATTTATGGCTTTTCTTACGTCAATTGGCAATCGCGTCATTATATAATAATAGTCAAATTGATCAAACGAAACTCCGTTTTGATTATAGTCATTTATGAAATATTCATTGATTTATGACATACACCTTTGTTTCAACTTTAATACTACCCGTAGACCTGCCGATCAGCTGTAGATATCAAACTAAACCAAAGTATAAAAGATAGAGGGTAAAAAGAAATCAAAAAGTTATGTGCTAGTCAAGCTTTCAGGGATCGGTCTGAGCCATAACAATGCCCCAGCCGATCCCTTAGTTCTCTTCCGGGGTCTCGGCGTCCCCGACCAATACACACTTCCTTCCCTATCCATCCATATAACCCCGGAGGGCCAGGCACCATGTAAAAGCAAAGAGCTAAGGGAGGAACAAGGCGGCCCCTAAGCCCTGATCCTCCGAGTGGACCACATGCCCTGAACCTGTACGAAGGCGCCAACCTGGAACTCGCGGACAGTACCAGCAGCAGTGCTTACCGATTAAGCTAAGGTACTGTTGGTAGTTTACGACGGGAAATTAAATCTCTTATAGTGAATAATTGAACTCATACGTTAAAAACCAAAAAGACACCAGCGGGATTCGAACCCGGGACCCCGCTAACCGTGGACGACGAATCGTAACCACTGGGCCATTTCGTTACCTTAGAATTTTCCTTAAACTGAGAAAAGTTGTCTTTATAGGTGAGCAAACGCGCCAGGAAGATTACTGGGTCCATTTGCTTTACCTTAATGGGTAAAAACAAGTCGATATAATGAGCCCAGTGTGTTTGGTTTGTTAGGAAGCTGCATAACACAGCCCGGCAAAACAGTTGTGTGCTAGGCGGATCATTACGCAACCACCCGTCACCAATGAACACCGCAATTGTGTATTTTCAAAAGGCAGACGCGTAGGTTTCTACTCTTTGTATCTGGGCACATAGGCCTATAGATTCTCACCTCCCTCTTCAGCTATTTCGACTTTCTTAAAAAGAAAAATAGAGACTGTCAGCGAATCTCCGGGAGTTGAAATAAGGATCGTCCCCTCGATAGACCTCAGACTCAGTAAAGTTCAACATTGGGCTCTTTTTCAACAGCTGTTTTTGCGGAAACTTTACATCTGGATTTTTTAGAAGCATCTGATTTTGCCCAATTTTAGTAAAATATGTTCCAAATTTTGCTAAAAAAGCAAGGTTAACCCCTTACCATTTTAGATATTTCATAAAAATCTGATTTATCAAATGTTACTAAATATACAAGGTACACAATTAAAAAATGTTCATAAACATTTCTTTTTGCCCAATTTTGCCAGAAATACAAGGTTACGCCCTAACATTCTGCAATTTTCCAGAATCATCTGATTGTGTCCTATTTTGCTTAAAAGAAATGCAAGGGTAGCCCCTTACAATTGTATTTTTTTCATGAACATCTAATTTTCCCAAATCTTATTCAAAAAGCAAGGTTAACCCCTTACAATCTTCAATTTTCAAGAAACATTTGATTTTTTCCCGATTTTTGCTTTAAAAAAATGCGAGGTTAACCCCTTTCAATTTGAAATTTTTCGTAACATCTAACTTTGCAAAATTTGGGATTTGCAAGGATGAGGAAGGTTCTTAGTAAAGCACTCCAGAGAGTTAGGGTTTTAATATCATGAATCCCAACATCGACAAATCAGGACCAACTGGTGTGCGGGATTCCAGCTGGCAACTTTACACATTTAAAATAGCCGGTTCAGTGATCTGAACCCCGACAGGGGAATCACTGAACCGGCTATATTTATTGTGTAAAGTTGCCAGATCGAGGCTGTGCATGCCCATGGCGGAAGTGTGAAAAGAGCAAATTGTGTGAACAACTATTCATATGACTATAGTCATGGGAAAAAAATGATGTAGGCCTAAAGGTTTTTACAGATTGTTATACAACTGTAAAAGAATTGTTCTTTCTATTTCAAAGTGTTACTCCAAAAATAGCCGATTGAAAAGGGCAAAGACTGCCAGGTCAAGTTGGTAAAGCATGATGGGAAGATGTGTGAGGTGGAGCTTCATTACTCCAGTGACTAAGGGTGCACAAAGCTACAATCTGAAAACCCCCGTGGAGAAACCATTGTGCAGGCTATTGTGCAAAGAAACTGCCTGATGACTAATTATCCCAACAATAGCTGGCGCAATACTTTCATCATGAAAGGGGGCCTTCGTGATAACATTGTTAACGTGGCTGGGTTTTCTTTTTGATAATACAAGTTATTTTCGGAGCAAAAAAATCACGAAGACCATCTCTTTTTCTTCAGTTTTCTCGTATTTATTCTTTATTTATTTATTTGTTTTTGTTACTTCTCCGTTGTGGTAAAGTTGCAATACATTATAATAATCATTTCGGCATCTTCGCGATATTTATAGGATCATTCAAAAGGACTTTTAAGGCAAATATAACCCCAAAAATATCAATACATGGACAAAATACAAAATCACGAAAATATTTGTAAGCCTCTTTCTTCTTTCTATACTTATTAAAATTACTTTTTACATGCAATAAAGCACGTCCATTTCACATGCCATCTTTACACAATCCTGAAAAGACACATGCCACAAAAGAAAAATGAAAACAATGTATATAAACCTATTAAATCAATCCCAAAATTTACATATAAATATCTCTAGCTATAACACAATTGTAGGTATATGCACTCCATATATAAAGTTTATGCTACACATGATTTGGCAGTTTATTTTCTGGAGGGAATACATAACTTAGAACGTTAAAATAAAATTCTGTCACTGATAAACTTTCAGTAAATTTCTGTATTGCTGATCAATGGACGGACAGTACTTAAAATTGGCAAAAAAAATCAATTCTTTTTCTTTCTTTTCTGGTAACTGGTTACATTTAAACATTATTTTCCACCCTGTTGGCCAAACAAATAGACGTTGTTGGGAAAATATTTTAAAGTAAGAATAACATTGAAATCTACAAATTAGAAAATTTAACAAGTTTTATTTCATCTATTGCTCATATTGGAAAAAATACAGTATCCAGACGCCACTTCATTGGTTGTGTACAAGTCTATGGAGAGTCAAGTGCATTTTTAAAGTATTTCCTAACAAAATTGGAAATGTTTCTCAGTCCCTGATTCATGTCTTTTCAATATTTTTGCAATGACTGACCTTCACTGAGATAACATATGATGAAAACAGTGGCGTCAGGTTGCAGCATTGTTTCCCTCTTATTAAGCAGGACCCAAAGAAGCCAGACTAGCTATAGATCTTTATCATGCTGCCACCATTTCAGTCATGTTCCCTATATCCATTATCGGTACTGAATGATAATGTTTTTTGTGCAAACAGGAACCAGACTATTTTTCCTTCCAGCCTCGCTTTGGTTACGTTGATTTGAATGGGAAAAAAATCAAGATGGCCGCAACATGGTAATGGTCTATTGGCCTCTTATTGACTGAGTCACTGATTGGTGAACAAACTGACTGACTGAGTCATTGACTATAAATAATGTCCTAAACTCAGACTTTCTGGTCAAGCTGGACTAGCCAAGTTAGTCTTGTTTCATTGCACCAGTGTGCACACAGCTTATCATACAAATTTCTGTTTTTACTTTTTCCAAGAGAACACTCTAAATAACGCAATGTGATGGTAAAAGAAATGGGCTTAAAAACAAAAATCACTATTTGTGAACCTTTCACTAACTGTGTCTTCTTTCTGTAGGTTTATTTAGGCAATGGGAACCTATTTATAAGAAGAAACATACACTACGCATGGCCCAGTCTAACGATTGAATCCTACCTCCAAAGAGCCCTTAAAAAACATGGAATAAAAGGAACCAAATAAAACAGTTTTCAAATTCCTTTTTTTTCTCTTGGATTTACCACTGGTTTCAGAGATACTAGGCACCATTCAATGAAGATTTGTGCATAGCTTAGCACTGTTCTGTGTATCTGAACAGAAATCATAGAAAAAATATCAAAACATTTTACAAATGATACTTTAATGTGCTGTGCACCACACGAAAAATACAACTTTGCACTTCAAGGCACTTTCTCAGTTGCAATAATTCAGCTCTTTGAGCATTGATACAATATTAATATTCTTTTTGTCAAAAGTCAGATTGAGGAATCAAATTTAAAGGAAAACAGGCGAAAAATGTAAAGACTTTAAGTTTTTACTTCATGGATAACTAATTAAAGTCGACTCTCCTTAATACAAATACAGTAATATAAATTCGTGTTACAGCAAACACGAAGCCCAGATCCCGACTGTGCATTTATGAGCACAATGAATGGGAACGGCACCCCACTTAATACAAAATTTGGATATAACAAACAATTTGGTTAGGTCCGGCTGAGTTTGTATTAACGAGAGTCGACTGTATTATTTACGTTTTTTTTTTCTCTCCAACATTCTGAATGCGGCACAAAGGCCTACACCGAACCCTTTTTGGAAGAAATTCAAATTATTTTTTTCCCACTTTTTCCTCGATGACAATGACAAGGATTGAACCCATTTGTCCCTGCACTGCCTGAAACCACCCAGCCTGTTACTCCCTGTACTGCCCCAAACCGACCCAGCAACCTGTACTTTTATGGCTCATTGAGGGAATAACTACATTGTCATACAATGTAACACAGGTGCTAATAGGTTACAAACAAATGCTCTCAGTTTTTCTTGTAACTCTAAATTCTGGACTGATTTGAGGAGCCGTGTCGCTTGTGATCCTCCCTGTTCTTGCTGGGTGTCTTGGTGGGCGTCTTGGTGGGGGTCCGGCTGTGCTCTTTGCTCCCTCGTCTGTCCCCGTCTCTGTGACTGTGTGTGTCACCCATGCCGTTCCTGTGAGACTTTTTGTGGCCGTGTTTCTAAAAAATAAAGAAAGAGAGAGAGATATCAGACGAAAAAAGAATAAATGTGTTGCGCTGGTATCCGCCACTGATCGGGGCACAATACAAGGCAGGGAAATTTTTTTGAAGAATTAAAAGTTGCTTAATGGTTCAATTTTCTAAGAAATGAACATGTTTTTTAATAAATTGAAAAGAAATGACTGTTAACTTTCTTTTTTCTGAGTGAAATGTATAGCAGAGATATTTTGGCTAAGAGAAGAAAATACAAAAAAAAATTGCTTATAAATACCACAAGACAATTACCTTTTTACTGTGATGGGAACCAGCCATTGATATCTCTTCTATGAAGTTGGACGGTACTAACCCTCTCGTCCCTCGCACCTGAATGGGGAAAAAAGGCAAATAATATTACCTTAGTAGTATGACTTGTGATGCTAAACAGAATATATTCCAGCTACGTAGGGTGGTCAAAAAAACAAAATAAAAACAAAAACAAAAAAAAACCGGGAAGCATAATTCCACTACCTTGAGACTCAAACCACCTGTACCAATTGATGGAGAATCCTTTCAGAAGAATTATGGTACCAAAATATCCTGATTCGGTCCAGTAGTTTTTACTGCAGAGCCTATTTTGTGAAGCACTCTTCTTTCATGTGGGTATTATTACATAACAATCCCTCTATCAATAACAATGTGAGTCAAATTCCTGGGCATGGTTTAGTAATTCATCGGGGACAAAAATGACCCCCACCTTGCTTCACAAAATAGGCTGTAGAACAAAAACTACTGGACCGAATCGGGCAATCTTGGTTTCATTTTTTTCCTTAAAAGATTCTCCATGCATTGGTATATGTGGTTTGAGTCTCAGGGTAGTGGATGTATGCCATTTTGAAATGACGGAATATACTTGAGTACAAATACAGGTATGAGAGTACGAGTATGAGTCCACCAGGATAAATATTTCTCACCTTTCCCTGGTAGAATCCATCGGGTCTGATGGTGCCGTAGACAGTGATGATGTCTCCCTCTTCAAAGGCGAGCTCATACGTCGGGTAGTGATTCGGAGAGTGCTCGATCGGATTGTAGTTATAAACTGCCATGAACTGAAAGCAACAAGACACACTTGCATTTTAGATTCATCAAACTTATATCTCTGAGTATGGAATTATTTGCCTTAATAAGACGTAATATAAATCACTACGCAATGAAATTTGAAGGCAGTATCTCAGCTCGCCGTTTCTAACATTTGATATCTGTTATCTGACACAATTAATTGAAGCTAGGATAGCTGATACATTTTTTTCTTCTTTTTTAATCAAATCACTACTGAAATTGAGTACACATGACTTTGAACTTCATGCGGGAGAGTTTTATCATGAAAAAGATTCCAAGATAACTTTTCATTGATCAATTTTCAATGGGGACAATCACACGTACATCACAAGTTCGAGCAAAAGGAAAGTCCAGTCACAAGTAACAGGTGATTAACAATAACAGAAGACGGTCAGAGCATACTGACCGGAACGTCGAGTTTATACCTCTGGTTCTTTTCAGAACCATTCTCTTAGTTGAGAAATTATTCGCACATGGTGTTTCCGCAAACCTTTCATTATTTAGTATCTCCACCATGCAAAGCCTCAAATCTTACTTAATAACAGAGGAATGGTTTTGCTACACTTTAATTTTTAAAAATTCGTGACTTGCTTTGCAATTGGAGGACTTGTGATGGACTTCTAATGGACTTGTGAGGACTTGTGATGGACTTCTAATGGACTTGTGAGGACTTGTGATGGACTCGACTTGAAGAGTTGTGGTAAAAACAGAAGTCCAGCCCACTGAATTCAACACATTGAACCCGATAAGTTTTGACAGCATTCTGCATCTCTCCAGTAAAATACTTATAAGATCCTTTTGAAAAATTCACATACAATGGAAAGGGAGCATTGATGTGAATGGGTTGGCTCACCAGTCTTTCTTGAGACTCTTCACTGACGACCGAAGACCCGTCTGACGGGACTGCGCCGCGGCCGACCGATGACACGGTCATCACAGAGTCCGACCAGGAGGAGGAGAGATGACCTGGGTCCTCAAAGTGAGTGCTGACGATGGGGGAGGTCTGGCCTGTGGCCGAGACGGTCTGGATGCCGAAAGACTGGACGGTGCGTAAGTTGACTCCCTCCACAAGAGCCTGGGGAAATATAACAGAGGGAAAAAAAAGGGAATCCGTAAATGACAAAAGAGGGTGCTCCCACAGCTAATGTAGGTCTGGTATTTGGTTAAAGGCATATAGGATGATAGGATCATTTGCTTTTCATGCATTTTGTTCGTTTCCAATAATAACACCACTCAAAATCAAAAGAAGAATGCTCAAAACCTAAACTGTTGCAGTTTCAGCTCAGTGGATATTACACCTTTCGAGAAAACAGTGGAAAAAACATGCACAACTTTTGATCATGAAACAAGATTTCGCCTATAGCTCTCTTTATTTCCAAAAATCAGTCAATTGACTGATTGTTGAAAATTACCTACATTTCTTGATATTTCTTGTAAATGACAGCAAGCCAGACAGAATAATTTCACGTGGTGTTTAGTACCAGTGCGATCTTTTATCCAAGTACGCTTTTTGGAAGTAATTCGGTGGGTTACTTTTGGGATAAATACAAATGATCCCATATGCCTGCAAGTCTGTCACAGGCCAGTATGACTCATCAGGCCAGCGTTTATCTCAAATTTCCTTGGCATAAAATGACGTAAAACATTTCTATTCCCCCTGGATGGGATGTCGGTCCATCACAGGTAACTCCCACCTAATGCGGTACCCATGTATAATCCTGGGTGGAGATAGGTAAGAGGTGCTGAAGTGGCTTACCTTAGGAAACAACCAAATGGCCAACAGCAAGATTCGAACCATGACCCTCTGATCATGGGTCACAAACCCTAACCACTTGGCCACACTCCCCACATGTGCAAGCATAAAACTAGGTTCTTACAGGAAAACTATCCAACTAGATTGAAATGTAGCATACTTTTCAAAAAGGGGAACTACTCTATCCAAAAATATGAACACGAATACATGACTAACCTTTGTTAGGTGGGCATTTGTGACAAACTGTTTCTGACGTCCGTCCACAAAGATCTTGTAACCGACGACCTCCAGCCCGTTGCTCTGACCAAGGTCATCCAGGTCCGGGGGTCGCCAGGTCACGACTGCTCCATGGCGACCTATGACCTTTGACACAGTGAGGCTACGCGGGGGCTGTGGGGCACCTGCATATGCAAAGTTTACATTGACTTTGGAGCTTTGGAGAATTTGTAAGGATATAGAACTTACATGGGTATTCATGTCCCTTGAATGATAGGGTACATAGAACATGGCACTGGGTTTGTTCACATTGGTGGATTTTTGAGGATGTGGATTTTTGAGAATTTTGGATGATTTTGGAGGTTTCAGGACGATTATGGAGTTGAGGTTAAAAGATTTCATTTCTGTGCGTCAGAGACAACATCCACTGCCTAAGATGGGCATAAAGTGCTTTGGATATTCTTGGGATTTTTACTTTTCAGAATTGCGTTTGAACATAAGATTTTGACACGTAAGTGAGAGTGTATTTAATTTTCTAAAGAAAAAAATCAGCACATAATTTTTTGAACACCTTATATGTGATGCGATCAAGCTAAATGAGTCGTTTGTCGACCCTGGTCAATTTTTTTTTTACAGATTTGAAAAGAACACAATCTCAGCATTACTGATGTGAAACCGCATGCTGATACCATCTTTAGTTCAAAAATTACGGAAGTCAGAACACCAACAGATGTGATGAAGTGGCCCTATTTTGGCCTGAATCTCCAAATGAAAATTCCTAACAAACGACTCATTTAGCTTGATTGCAACACACTGTGAAACAACACTAAACATTTACCTTGGACATGAGGTGTTCTCGTCACTCCACGGAAAGGCAGATGTTGATCCCATCGACCGTTCACCTGTGTTCTAATCCCATGATGCCTTGCACCAGACTGGTCAGGCACGTCCACTCCTCGCAGCAAGTTATGGTGATGCAATGGGGTGCCGTTCGATGGTGCTGCATGGTGGGAAGGGTGCAGCCCAGTCGATGCAATCAGTGGTGTGGACGAGAAGTTGTTGCTCGGTACCCTGGGAATCTGGGTACCGGCGGCAGGGACTGTTGGGGTCATGTGACCATTCCCCGGCAGTGGCATCATTGGGTTGTGACTGGTCGACGACGGATATGCACTACTTGGTGACAAGGTCACGTGACCATTTTGAGATCCAGATGTGACATTCAGAATGGTTGTATTTGCACTCTGCTGTTGGTTCGTATGCATATATGGAATCCCCTGTTGGTGCAAACCTATCACGCTTGCTTGAGACGCAAATCCTGATGGAAGAGACCTGTGATGCATTGCTGAGGTACTGACCACATGATGCTGTGGTAGACCGTTTGATCCTCCAGCATGTGATGTGTTATTAACATGACCTCTGAACCCTGCGTGCAGATTTGAAGAACCAACTTCAGGTTGAACACTTGCAGCACTACTTGCAACAAATTGGGGGTGTGATGTACCTGTCACGCCATTAGTCTGATGAGTGCTCACTGACGGGCTTACTAACGGTGCTCCGGAAACAGGATGCGTGCGTAGAAAATCTGAAGCACCTACCCCAACTTGTCCTGACTGTGATGTGCCACTCGTGACAATTTGTTGGGCACCTAATGTCGGGAGTCCCGCTGATGTCTGGGACACAAGATGGCTCTGTGCGATTGGGGAGCCCAGCCCAGGTTGGACGTTTGGAACATTTGCTCCTGGCTGCGATGTACCATGCCCGGCATTATGTTGTTGGACACCTGATGTAGGAAGTCCCAGCGGTGTCTCGGACACAAGATGGCTCCGTGTGATTGGGGAGCCCAGCCCAGGTTGGACGTTTGGAACATTTGCTGCTGGCTGCGATGTACCACTCCTAGCATTAATTTGTTGGGCGCCGAATGTAGGGAATCCTGACGATGTCTCAGATACAAGATGGCTGCGTGTGATTGAAGAGCCTACGCCAGGTTGAATGTTTGAAGCATTTGCCGAAACATGAGGCTGTGAGGTACCACTAACAGTATTAATTTGTTGCAAACTCGGTGTAGGGAGTCCTGATGTTTCCTCAGTCGCAGGGTGAGCTACCAAGGAGCTCTTGCCATGATGTACTGCTGGGGCGTCAACTCCTTGACGCGAGCTCCCAAGTTGGTCCAATCCTAACCTCCTGTTCATAGGAGTCTGAGATACATTCCCAGCTTGAACGACATTTAAGGAATGTCCGTTTGGAGTCAATGGGACCCCACTGGCTATACTTTCTCTCGGTTGGGTAAAATCTCCAACAGCCCCATGGACTGAGCGCCCAGCTTGCACAGGAATCCCAGGATGCACTGCTGCAGACCCAAATGCCTTCGAGGCTGTGTTTTCAGGGCGGGCCTGTGACATGCCGGAGCCTGTCTGAAGTCTCCCAGTATTAAATCCCATGGCATCATTTGCGGGACTTGGTTGGTCCGTTACTGGCCGTAACCCACTTTCTGAGGCAACAGGGTGCTGTCCTGTTGTACCTCTGACTGTACCCATGCCAGGAGCTGTTAAATTTGAATTGGCAACACTGCCATTCAGCAAGCCGAAGGCTGCGCCGTTGTGTGTTACGGAAGTTGTACTGGTAGTTGAGGGTCCGTTAACGGACTTGACATTCCCGGATTGTGTTGCCGTCGTGGCTGCATAAGCCTGCCCTTGGGTGCTGTTCAAAGTTTGGTGCCCAACCCAAGGTTGAGATTGCAGTAGTGGATTTCTGGCAGGGGATGGCGCGGTCACCAACGGAGTACTGTTTATGGTCAGACTTGAGGGCAAGAGGGAAGGATGGACATTGGTCCCAGGGTATGAAACAGTAGGACTTGACCGAATGCCTTCTGGAGATGGGCTGAAATCATCCACATTACCACTGCTGCTATCAAACTGGAAGGGTTGTCTGTTACGTTCTTGCTGTCGGCTGGAAAAAAGAGGCGACTGCCTTAATGTGGATGGAGTGAGAGGGTCTACGAAATCCTGTGGCCGTGCCCTACTGGGACTCCCCCTGTTTGACAAATCAAGCAGTCCATCGTCTCTATACGCATCATGAATCTCACGGGACAGGTCATTACGTGTCGGGGAAATTCCTCTCCTTTTCCCTCTTGAGGGGGAGCGGGCACCTCTCGCAAGCCTCGTCGCCGGCTTGGTCCTAGTTGGTGACGCATCCAGAACAGACCTGAGTAGGTCCGCTTCCTCAGCCTCTCTCGAAGGGGTAAGGTGTGATCGGGAACGGCTTCCTGATGTCCTCTTCATCAGCTCCTGGAGAGATATCCCGGGACCCAAATTATCCAGACTTCCGCTCAAGGGATCCAGGCTGGAGCGCCCTCTGGAGGTCGACAGACGCCCAAGTTCGTCGTCGTCACTCAGGTCGTCCATTCTCACGTCATTCAGACTCTTGCTGATTTTGTCCACTCGCTGTCGCCCGATATCGCCGCCTCTCCGCCGACGATCCTTTGAAGCTTCACTAACCGCGCCCCTCACTCTCCTCCCTCGACCGTCGACCGGCAAGGGCTCGTTGAACCTCTCGTCGGGGAGGTCAACGGCCGACAGGTCACTGACCTCAGTCAGTAACTGTTCAGTTCTGTCGGGGCGGAGTTGTTCCAGCTCGGCAGCAAACCTCCGTATGATCGTGTCTCTCTCCTTGCACTTTTGTAGCAGATAGGAGACTTTGGCCTGAAACAAATGTACAGTAACATGAAAAATTATCATCATCATCAAAAATTATGAGACCGCGTGAAAAATTTAAGGCGTGTAATTTACCCGAAAAACATGGGAAGAAAAGCAGATTAAAGACAGCTTTGAAAGCAAATATGCAAAAAGTACCGCAAAACTTATCAGATATTATAAAATATTATTTGTCAAAATTTTTAACATAAATTCTTATAGGATAAATTCCTTTTTATTAGAAAATAAAAAGAAAGGTCTGAAGTTAAAGAAAATAAAATTGAACTTAACAGCAGCAATTCAGATATACTAACAACTCAAAATGTTAAACTCCCAATTAAACTATAGCACTGGATCAATAGGTTTTATGACAAATCCACTACATTTTCGAAGAGCATTAAACCCCCCGCTCAGACTGGTATTCCACATCCAAATAGATTAAGAGCAACTCAAGTCGACCTAATAGTTTATCGATTTCAGACTTAATACACGAGAATTGTATATACTGACAAAGGACAACACGATCTTAGCAACAAACCGCCATTGCGCAACACTTTTTGTGAGTTATTTGTTTTCGAACAGTACCAACATATCTGAGATTGTTTTACCTGAGCAATTTCTAACCCATTAAGGTCAACGGACAAATCCTAATCCGAATTATGGCCGAAAGGAAGTAAAGGACAGCACAGAACCTCTGGTTCTTGGCCACTCTTCTTTACAGTCGCATACATACATTTACAACATTTGCATCGAGTTTGGTTCATGACTAATGTGACGTCTGATATCAAGTCGCTCCTGAGCCGATCTGAACAACTCCGACAGTCAATCTTTCGCCATCTAGTGCGTCTAGTTGCTCCTAAATGTTTCCGATGTCGGACTTTTCATTTACCTTATTCAAATTTTGCCTTTATTTTGGTTCGGCCTGACTCTGGAATGTCTGTCTGAACCGGGGGTAACACTTTCAGAAACTTGTGCCACCGACATAAATGTTACCTTTAATGGAGCAACTGATATCTCAGCTTCGTTCTTCTTATGTTCCATGTCATCAAACTATAAGAAAGAACAAACAATATACAGTAATGAAAGGTACCTCAAAACACCACCTGTCTCAATGTGCAATATTACTCCGTCACGTACTTAAGTACTTCCGACAAGGAAAACTGACCTGCTCTTTGATGCATATGTAATCTTCTTCGATTCCCTCTCGTTTCCTCTTCTGCTCCTCCAAGTGTCGGACTCGATCCTCCAGTGCAGCATTGTCTTCCGCAAGGTGTAGTTCCTCGCTCGTCTTTGAGAAGAAGATAAAAAGATACCAAATATTGATGAACATTTTGCAGAAATTTTATTTTAGAAAGTTTGCTCTATGTCACACCAACAATGTCAATAATCTTTGTCCGGTTTTTTAATGTTTTATTCATCTACATGCTACATTTTCCAGAAAAAAACTCAAACTTTGGCACACAAATTAAAAAAACCAAAAAAACAACATTTTATTTGCCTTAATGCTCCTCCCTTAGAGGCATAAGGGATCATTTGCTGTTCACGCAGTTTGTTCGTTTCCATGATAACGCCACTCAAAATCTAAAGAAGAATGTTGAAAACCTAACCTGCTGAAGTTTCAGCTCAGTGGACACTACACTTTTCGAGAAAACAGTGAAAAACCATGCACAAACATTTTCGATCACAAAACACGATTTCGTCCAAAGCATTACTGTATTTCCAACAATTAGTCAACTGACTGATCGTTGAAAATCACCAACATTTCTAGATTTCTTTGAATCGATCTTTAATCCAAGTAAGCTTTTTGATAATAATTTGGTAGTTTTCTTTTGGGATAAATGCAAATGATCCTATATACTTCTTATGGCCTTTCCTTTAACAGATACACATATTTGTCCCTCCTGACTGAGCCCAATTTATCAGAGCCAATAAGCAGAAAAACACAGCTTAGCAAATATATGTGCTGAGCAAAAATCAGCCGAGTACCAACCACAAGCACTATACACTGCATGACATTTTGGCCGGTAACCAATTTTTCCCAAGCATCATTATCAATGACGACAACCTGTCACAAATCAGACACATTTGCATGACTTTTCAGCTGGTAACCAACAGCTTTTAAGCAAATTTTTGAGCATTTTTTGGTACCTTCTCTCTCAGCATCTCCTCAGCCATGTGGAGTTTGCGCTGCAAGGCATCCTGGTCCCGGTTGCTATGGCGACTCTCGGCCAGCTGCTCCTGTAGCTCCGCCCACCTGTCTTCCATGGTGGCTAACCTTTGAGCCCTGCCTCTCAGCTCTTCATTCTGTGTGGAGATTTATGACTGTTAGGTCAACAACAATTTCCCAACTCTTTCACTTTATTCAGGCATGCAACTGGGAATTTAGAAAAAACGAGGAAAATCCAAACCACACAGGACTTTGTACAGTGTTTTTCAATTTGTAATGGCATTCATGAGAAGTAAAAAACGAGGAAATCAGCGGATCCAAAGAAAAGCTGCAAGCCTGTATATTAAAATGGACTTACACTCGGTGCAAAGAGAATAATGCAGTGTGCTTATATGGCGCTTTTTACCCAAGTCTCAAGGCACTTCACAATTATTACCCCTGTTCATCATGCCACTTGACCATTTTTCTGCAGCTGCTTGGTATCAGCGCAGTCTAGTCAGGGTTCGAACCCACGTACCTTCGTACAATTTCGAATGTGAATTTCTGACATCACGGCAAGAATTCATATTGTGAAAATTCAAAAGTTGAACCTTCAAGTCTGGTGAATTTGTTTTTTGAACTGCTTCGTGATGTGGCAACAGAATGAGCAATAACACAATAATGCCTTGGTCACAGTGCCTATGAAAAGCTTGAGACACAGCGTGGGACTGGAAAGTGTTGTGAGGACTTGTGGATGGATTCCAATAGACAACAGTGTAGCAAGTCATCACAAGGACATCACAAGTCATCACAAGACCATCTCAAGTCAACACAAGACCATCACAAGTCAACACAAGACCATCACAAGTCATCACAAGACCATCACAAGTCATCACAAGAAAATCACAAGGCATCACAAGTCATCACAAGACCATTGCAAGTCATCACAAAAACATCACAAGTCATCACAAAAACATCACAAGTCATCACAAAAACATCACAAGTCATCACAAGACCATCACAAGACCATAACAAGTCATCACAAGACCATCGCAAGTCAACACAAGACTATCACAGGTAACACAAGATCATCACAAGTCATCAACAAGACTATCACAAGACCATCACAAGTTTTTACAAGTCCAGTTAATGTTGGTTAGGAGACAAAAAATTGATTTTGTTGAAGACCACGGATAGTACATCTTATAAAAGGTGCCCACATTTCAGTCATAAAGATGTTCCTACATCTTATCTTCTCATTCATCAACAGCCCCATTCTGAAAAAAAAACCTTTCATACCTCTCTGGTTAGAACATCCAAAGCACTGGAAAGATGAAGTTCATGGGCCCGGCTATCATGTGACTTGGCTTCCCCAGGCCTAGAGTCAGGTGACGTATCATGTGATGACATGTCACGTGACCTAGCAGCATCAGCATGATCTGTGCTATTGGCCGAGTGCTGTTGGTGTTCCTTCACGGCTGCTTCAAGATTCTTCAGTTCCTCGGATTGCTTCTCAAGGGCCTCCTCCTGTGTACAGAGAAAAGTTGGGAGCACAGTTCACAGACAAGAAGAGATAAACAGAATACCAGGCCTTTAACCATGCAGGATCAAACAAGATTTATCGACAGGCAATTCTTCTGATTCTGTTTAAACCATTACGACCTGTACCGACCGAAACACCCTGCCTGTTACTCCCTGTACTGCCCAAGTCAGTGTTCTCGTTTCTTGGTACACGTACTGGAACTTGTACGCATGAAAATGTACTCGTACTCGAACTCGTATTCTCTAATTTTGTCTAACCGTGCAACAAAGTCGTATCTCCTCTAATGGGCCGTACGTGAAACGCGAGTTTCAGAATGTCAAAAGGTTGTATCTCGCTTAAAATAAATCGGATGTACACACAAGGTCAATGGACGACGAGATACGACCTGGTTGCACGGAGCGTATTCGTGCGAGATACGACTTTGTTGCAGAATGGAGTTACAACATTGTTGCACTGACCTGACGATTTGCAAGAAAAACATTTCCTGTACTTGACTCATATTCGTGACAAAGTACTTGTACTTGAACTCGTTCTCTTGCACAAGTTCTCCCTCAAGAATTACAAAAAAAATTGGTAATACAAATCCGTGAACGGGTGCAAGCCAGCTAGTCTGGTTCCTGACCCATTTATGAATTGCTGTTTTATCTGAAGTAAAGTCAGGGAACCAGCCTACAAGAACAAAATTTTTCCCCTTTGTTTTTCCAGGATCTATGAACACAAAACTTCAATACAGGTCAGTGTAACAATATTTGCTATAAAATACCAACCCCCAAATCCATGAATTTCTGGAAATTACAGCAAAAGCAGATGCTGTATATGACCTTTAAGCCGTCCCATAAGAGATCAATGATTGAAACCAGCACATTCTAATTCCTGTTACTGTGCGTCTCGTTAATCAGCACCTAGGGTGTAATTAGGCTGTTATTTCCATATCTCTCTTTTTCAGTACCTTGGAGGATAACTCTCTCTCTTTCTTCTCTATCTCCTCTTTAGCTCTTCCTTCCTCGTCTTCCTTGCTCTTCAGTTCTTGCTCCTTTGCCCTCAGGCTTTCCTGGCTTTGCTCCAACTGTCGAAATTCAGAGAAAATAGATATTGGTTGAATTCAGGCAAACATGGTTACGGTCGTCTCTTAGTATGAATTCATGAAAGCTTTCTTCAGACATTTATCGAGTGTGGAATATTATACACATATTGACTAGCTATGACTGTGAGGGTCCTGTACCGCCAGGGTCCAAAAAACAAGTTGATACTTTTTTCAGAGGCTGAATTCTTAAAATTGAAGAGACATGTTGAAATTGTTTTAAGATATTCCTTAACTACAAGATCTTGGTGGTATATGGTGAAAAGGGCGTTGAAAATAAAGCTCAAGTTAAGAAATAGCGGCCATCTACAGAAAAATGGTCTAAAACTACTTATGTAGACGTAAATACAATTATTGCAGTTCTTTGTGCGTCCAGTACTACTGTGTTGACCATATCTGATAGACTTGCATGTGGACAGACTGACATTTCTTAATGAAGGCTTTATTTTCAGAGCTGTTTACACCATGCACCACAAAGATGCTGTAGTTTAGGATTATCTTGAAACAACTTCAACATGTCCCCCAAATTCCAAGAAATCTGCATCTGAAAAAAAGTGCAAACATTGTTTTGGACCACCATGTATATTCATTATAGCAAAGTTTCACCATATTCAACAATATTATGCTCAATTGAAACATGCACATGTTTACCTTTTGTTTCAGGCGAGATATTTCAGCAGCTTTATTCATCTGGTCAGTTTGGTTAATGTCTTGCTGGCCCAATTTCATGCCCTCCAACTGTTCCATTAGTAAAGCATGAGTTGAGAAGTAAAACGATACAGAATGATTGTTAGTATAAATGAAGTGATCAAAATGGTAGCTTATAAAGAATGGTTAGCAAAAAAAAAAATGAATGTTCATGACTGCAATGGTAAGAATAATTTCACAAGGTGACAGATGGAATGTTCCATTCCAGGAGGCGAAGCCAAGTGCAATGGAACATTCCAGTCGTCACTGAATTTGAATCTGTCACTGATTTTTTTTGTAAACAACGCCTGAATAAATCCTTGTCATCGAAGCCATCAGAGCTGTGTTATAGCACCATCAATAGTGTGACCGCGCAATAGAACTTCTATTTACCGTGAAGGGAACTTCTATTTTTGTGGTGCGGCGGGGGCCAAGTTCGGGCAAGGACCATTAGTCGACTAGTGGTTGATTTGTGACGTACCTTACGCCTGCGCACTGGTAGCAACGTGCGAACGTCCCTAGTCAAATGCTGGTCAAAATGTCATCACAAAACTTCTGGATCCTGGCTCTCTGATAGCGTTATGAATGCGCGCGGCTATTGGTTACCAGCGAAGCAACCAACCCCAGTAGGCTGGTTCCAAATAGTCGACTAGCGTAGTCAACCATCGTCGACTAGACAGAGTTCGGGCAAACGTTAGTTAACCATTGGTCAACTATAGTCCTTGCGCGAACTTGGCCTAGGCCGCAGGTTGGGACGAACAATTAGATGCACATGATCAACGACCCACCAATCAGGTGACGAGGATTTCTTCAGGCGTTGTATAACATTGGATAAAACATGCAAGCAACTAGCTAAAATTTCAAATTTGTTTTGATTTCAACATGGGTAGGCATGATGATTGAGTTTAACCCAACTCCCCAGCCTAATTTACCAAGAACCACACCCATTCAGGCAAATTCCAACACCCACATGGGAAATTGTACACACACACACTGTTGGACTTAGTTTCTGGAGGTATGCCAACCCCAGTGTAAAAGACCATCTGTTTAGGGGAACTGTACCTATCCCAACAGATTTAAACACAAACCTGCTGTTGAACTTTGATGGGTTGCGTTCGGTTAGGGTTAAAGGCCCTTGAAACTGTTAGTAAACCAATGCCCAGTTTATACATCGAGGATAAAAAGGAAACCCTAAAAAGCAATGACCAAAAAATTAATCCGTCAAACTCTGTTCACACACCGTTGTAAACATGCAAGTGAAAGTAGAAGTGTCCAAGCAGTCGAGTTTAGGGCTCTGTGCACAAGTATTCCCCTCAATAGTAAGAAAAATGGGTGGAGAACACTGGGAGAGACATTCAAAAGCATTGCCGATGACACCTGATGGTCACATGAAGACGCTATGGTTTTTATGCACATTTAGAATAAAATGAGTCGTGTGTACTTCGTCACGCTATACACACCCGAATCAGTACATGCATGTCCCATCCACTACTCGGAGCCCATACTGAAGCCTAAATTGACAATCTTTGAACCCTGAGGTGACTGACCTTTGTCTGCAGGCTGTTGACTTCTCTTTCTCTCTGCCTGACCTCTGACTTCAGCAGTGCGACCTGTCGTTCCCTGTCCTGGAGGTCAATGTCCTTGGTTTGAAGCTAACATGGGAAACAAAATAATAACCAGGTCAAACAATGCTCACTTAGGCCAAAAAAAAAAAGTCTCCGGTTTCTGGTATGCGCGCGCGTCGCCGTAGCCATGCACGTCGGCAAAATGAAAAAGTTTTTTTTTCAATACAAGATGATGTCTCAAAACCGCCAAACTCACTGGTTTGACTGGAATCCTGCTGCTGCACAATTTTAACGTGTTTTTAGATGGGGTTATGATCGAGAATAAGCTTTATGTGGCCTCTCTGGACTCCCATATATTTGCACTAAGTTTAGTCGGGCACCATTTGTAGTCATCAGCCGACATTTGAAGCCAAAAAAAAAAAAAAAAAACAGGTAAAAAAAAAAAAAGCCGCGTCGCCGCACCACTTTTGGGGCAAGCTCCATACCAGAAACCGGAGACTTTTTTTTTTTGGCCTTACAGTCAAGTTAGGTATTTCATAAACATTTGTTAGTTTTGTTTTTTGATTTGCAATTGTTGTATACACCAGAGATAAACTGAACTCAGTAGGTTGGTCCTGATTAGACAAGCAGGTTGCAACCACTGTTGACCAACAGGTATGTTTCTCCAGAGTTCACAATCAAACTTGCTCATTTTTTTAATTTGACACCTTTTTCAAATATGTGATGCCATCAAGCTAAATGAGTTGTTTGTCGACCCTGGTCAATTTTTTTTTTTTTTAATACAGATTTGAAAAGAGCACAATCTCAGCATTACTGCTGTGAAAACCGCATGCTGATACCATCTTTAGTTCAAAAATTATGGAAGTCGGAACACCAAGAGATGTGATGTTGGCCTGAATCTCCAAATGAAAGTTACTGACAAAAGACTCATTTAGCTTGATCGCATCACATATGTAGTTGGTGTGTGTGAATGAAGCAGGCATTCAATGCTCATGAATGCACTACATCACTTAGGGAGTTGCTTTCGATAAAAATCTTGCCTGTGATAAAAAAAAAAAAAAAAAAAAAAGTACCTGTAATTTCAGGGGTCGAAGGTCACCAAAGTCTCGCAGCTTCTTCTTGAGGCTTTCTTCACTCTGCCGTAACTCCTTCACAACTTCCTCTTTCTCCTACGGACAGACAAAGAAAGACAACTTATTAAGTGTTTGTCCCTCTTCCAAAGTATCAATATCAGCTGTGTTTGAAAACTGTTGATGCATGGTGCTATGTGGCCAACTGAACAAAGCCTATGGTGGACACATTTCATTTTAGTTAAATTTGTCATCAAGTTCAAATAGCATGTGATGAAGAAAACCATTTTTTACTGGATACTAGAGAATGGTGTTCATGACTTTGCATATAAGATGCTCAAACTAGACAAATTGATGATTAATATTCTTAATACCTGAAGCTGTTTCTCCATGGTGTCGATACTCGTCTTGAGTCTTCCCAAGTCTGTCTCCTCTTTCTCCTTGTCCGCTGTCTGCCAGTCCATCATCTGCTTCAGCCACATTGGAGTCGCTGGCTTGGCCAGGGAGGTCCCAGGCGTCCCTGGGGCTCGGGGGAGCCTCAGAGAGTGGTCCGGTCCCGCAAACACTGACGCCGCTGTGATGGCTTCCACCTCTTGCTCCGTGATGGAGGAGACCGTGTCCAGACCGCTGTCAAAGGAGGCTGGTCGGTGGGTGGAGTTGGCTCTTGCTGCGCCATCCCGATGGTCCCCCTTCGGACCAGAGTTCTTATCGTTGGTCACGTCTTGACGGCATGTTTCATGGTCAGTTAGAGTATCTGTGGATGATGAGGCATCGCTTTCTGGGTCGGTGCTCACACTGGCTTGCTGAGTTTGGTAACGAATGTCAGGAGGACCATTCTGACTATCACTGTATAAAGCTGTCAACGAGCTTCTCCACTGATCTCGGTTACTTGGGGCTGTGGATGTTTTTGGCTTGCCAGGGGGAGACGTTTTAGGCAGCGGAGGTGGAAGTTCCTGATTGTCAGTCTCACTACGACTCTCAAAAGAGGGGCTTCTGAAGCTACTAATAATACCTCCAGGCTGGTTTGGACTTTGCGAGCTTGAATCTGGTTTCCTTGGAGGGGAGGATGCAGGTAGTGGAGGCGGTGATGCAGGGAGGTCCTCCTTATCATCTGGTTTCTCTTCATCCTCGACTTCCAAGGAGTCGTTCCTGATCACCCGGCGTGGAGGGGAGTCTTCCGGCAGAGGAGGTGGGTCCCCGGACAGACTGTCGGAGCTCATGGAACCAGTGCGCTTGCGCAGGGTGGATTCTGGTAGAGCTGGTGGCAGTGTCTCCAACTCAACCACAAGCTCCTTCCTGCACTCGGAGGTAGGCTCTTCTTCAACCTGCCTGCACTCTGAAGCGTCAATGGAATCCTCCTCCATTTCCTCCTCATTAGGGTACCAGATGGAGGCATTGTCCCAGTCCACGTCCGGTGGAATCTCCCAGGGTAAGTCCCACAGGGCAGCCACAAACTCGTCAACCATGCGTTTCCTGCTGGTGGGACTTGCAGCTTCCAGAGGTCTCAGCTTTCTCTCCTCACTCCCTCCCTGCTCCTTGAAGCACTCCTCTCCCGGCATGGATGGGTAGATCGGCTTCTTCTTGACCCTCTCCGGCTGGGGTTTGACCACCGGGAGCTTCTTGCTGAGACCCCGGAGCAGTCGAGCTCTCGGAGTCCGACACTTGCCGATGAAGAGCTTGTTGAACTCGACAAAGAAATTCTTCCCCTCCTTGAGGAGAACCGGGTCAGTTGGACTGTGGCCGTGAGGCAGGGCCTCCAGGAACTCCTTGAGTGTCATCTCAAAGTCCTCTGTGAAGAATTAATCAAAAGATTCATAAGAAGGAATTTTGCGTCGGGGTGATGTAAATCAAATTAGGTTTCACCCGAGTGATTTTTTCCAACTTTCACTCGGGAGGTAACACACCGAGTATACATTGTTTATACGTCGGTGAAGGGCAAACCTTATTTGATTTAGTCAACGGATGTTCCCAATAAACAACAATACGTCAAGAGAAGTCCCAAATGAACGAAGTAAAACCATGATCCCAAATCAGTGCAAAATCAGTGCAAAATCACCTAACCACCAAAACCAGCTAAGTGATGAACCAAAATCCATGCACTGATTCAAAGCAACAACATTAGTGTACTTGTTTCAGTGGCTTATTTCAAATTCTCAAAATCCTGTATAAACCGTACTAAACAAGCTCAAAAGCCAACTTGCTTATAAATTCATGTCCTCTGTTGTACACGATAGAAAAAGTTGAAACCAAAGTGTGTGAAATACAAACCATTTCAGTGAAAGCATGGTCACTGGCAGTTTACATGAAGTATTTATTCAAATGCAATTGAAAACAAGAGAGAAACAAAGTTGTCAAGTACAGTGGGATATTTATCGAGGAAAAAATGCAAAAAAAAAACTGAAGGAATTATTTATTACCTATTAGGATGGTTGCTAGGAGACACTCATTAGGGATGTACGTCAGGGGACCAGTCTGGCAGCCTTTGTTAATATTTAATGATGGCTGGTAACCAACCTGAAAGAAAGAGGTACAATTAATAATTCATTGCGGTTGGGCACATTATTGGAAAATGCTGTAGAGGTAGAGAAGAATGGGAAAAAAAATGGACAATACAAATGTATCAATCATATATGGCTGCCAAAAGTTGCCAATTGTAAAAAAAATTAAAAAAATTGCAAGTGCCATCAGACAAATGGTGAATACAGTCGTCTCAGGTTTTTTGCACAATTCTTCCGATGAATTTGCTCATGAATTGTGTGATGTCAGGGCAAGTTTTCATTCTGCGAATTTGCAAAAGTTGAACCCACTTCAACTCCAGCGAATTTCGCAGTAAATATTTCTTGACGTCAAATTCACTTCACTTTTGCATGAACTACACGTACAAAACTGCCTTGAGTTGGGTTTAATAACCACCTTACACCTAATGAAAAAAGCAATGTGAATGAACTGAAAAAAAAATGAGAGAATAAAATAACCTTTATAACGCATTCTAGTTAAGCATTTCCAACTAACGTAAATAACGGTAAGTAAGCTTTATATTACATGACTGTTAACCTACTGCATTTGGGTGCAAGTACAAATAGAAGCAGTTACAATGTATATAGAAATGGACAAATGAATTAAAAAAAAAAAAGGCTGATCCGACTACATACCTTTTCACAATTTGTAATAGAGCAATTCCAAAGCTTAATGGCATTTAACCAGCAGTTACATAAATGCAGAGAAGCTTCTTTAGTAAAATATCACTGACAATAACCAACGGACAGGTGTTAAATATGCAGCATGGCCAGACAGTTAAAAAGACTTGTTCCTAATATATACATCCTTGACGCATCAAGGCAAAACAAGGCAATTGGTTGGTGCAGAAGAAATTTTTTTTTTTTTATTGGAAAACAATTGCATGCATTTTTTTCCTAATTTTCTAAAAATTAAAGACACTGCCGAGATTATTTCGTCTATCACAAAGTTATTTCAATCTTTACAAGTTTTTTATTATAAAGGGAATATACAACATTTGCTTTTGCTGTGATTTTCAGAAATGGATGGATTTTGGGGGTAAGCATTTCATACGAAATATTGTTACAATGACTTGTTTGAAGCTTTGTGTTCGTAGATGCTGGAAAAACCGAGAAAAACCAATCATGTTCCTGTAGTGTGGCCCCCTGACCCCACTTAAGATGAAATGGAGAAATTTATAGACGTTGGAGGACTGTAAGGTCAGGGAACCAGTCCAGCTGGCTTGTACCCGTTCATAGGTATGCAATTGATTGCAAACAAAATGCGGACTAACTAAATATGGTAAACTGGGGGCAGTATTTGAAAAAAGCCATTTTTTTCCCAACGCTGGTTGACCGACCAGCGTTGGATATTGATACAAAAATACCACTTTTCTTGAAAATGTGAGCACACCAGGTGCCATGATTTTATAGGATGCTTTAGATTGGCATTCACTAACAGTCCAGTAAGGTATTTAATAATAATTTGGTATTTTTGTTTTTGATGTTTGCAAATGTTGTATATTCCCTTTTAATAAGACAACATGACTGAAATTCAAAATAAACAATTGTACATGAAGTTATAAAAAAAAAAATGATAATTTAAAATCTTTAGCTGTATTATAAATAAAAAAAATCACTTCTAAACACAAGAAATTGAAGTCAAATCCTAAAAATAAAATCGAAATAAATCACCCAGGGTCATCTGTGTAGAAACAAAATTTTGTGTCTGATTGGAAACCATCTGCTACACATCCTGAAAAAATTCCAATTAAATTATTGCTCATTATGAATAGGGTTGCAGTCAACCAACAGACAAGCACACAGGTGGGTCATTGCCTATTGTCATGGTTATTGTCATGGTAATTGCTTGCGTGGGCTCTTCCACTCTGAGGGAGGGGTGTCCGATGCCAAAAAAATGGGGGGAAAAGGGGGGGGGGGGATGCACTGACTTTGCAATGAATTAAAGACAGGAGTTCCAATTGGTCAGGCATATTAAATAACCTTTTCTTTAAAACGCCTTTATATTTTCTTCACCAAGATATATTTGCACATCTGCAAATGTACCATGAACAAATCTTTATCAAAGTATTATTTCCTTTATGATTTTTCGATGACATCACCACGGCCATGGCTGACAAGAGAGTCTTGAAGAGTTTGGTTTCATCCATCTCGGCTGCGGCCGCCCAATGATGAATGTTGATGATGATTGACAGTTACATTGGATTTGACAAATATTGACCAGCACATTTTTAGTTTGGTTTTCTTTTTAGAGTTGGATAATTAAATAACTCTCTAAAATTCACAATACATGTATATACGACATTTTCATTTTTATAAACATTTCTCAAAAATGTCCTAAAGGTTCAATAACTTTACCAAAGATGTTTTTCGTATCAAACCTAGTCAGTTTAAATAGAAAAAAAATGTCTGAATTTTGCAGAGCTCCATCTTAAACATGTTCTGGATACTCTTAAATTTCTTCACTTTTGCCAGGCTACATTATCATCACAATGATCCTCCAGTATATCTTATGTTTATGGGGTAATATTCTGTGTATTACATTTCTTATGTCTTGTGTTATGAACTCAAAGATTATAACAAAAGAATGGAGCTTGACTAATCCAATTTCAAAATGAAATTTAAAGCAAAATCTCACCTTTCTTTTTGTCATCCCATCTTGCATGTCTGCAACTTCTTCAGTTCCCTGAGCTGTCATCAGTTCTTTCAGCAGGTCTTCCCCACAGATGCCAAAGGTGGACAACTTTTCGTTCAGAAGATCCTTCTCCTGCTTCAGTCGGCTGTTGTCCGTCCTCAGAATCTTCTCCGATTCCTCCAGCTCCCTCAGATCCTTCTTGATCTCTCGGTTGAACTGGACAATCTCGGTCAGGCGATTAGTAGTCTTGACCCTCTCTGAGTTTGCACTGGCCATCTCCTTTTTGAACCATTCCACAGACTTTTCGAGTTCCTGCGTTCTCAGCTGCTCGGTTTTATTCAGTTCTTTCCCCTCCTCCCCTTTGCTTTGTGCCGTTCTCTCAACATCTTTTTGTAGCTCTGGTTTTACCTTCTCAGTAGTTTCAAGCTTGTTCTGCAAGACTTGGATTGTATCTTGGAGCTCCTTGACAATTTCTTCTGACTGGCTCTGTGATCTTTGAGAACTGGTAACGTTGTTGTTTTCTTGAGAAATCTGACTCAGTTGTTGCTCAAGCTCCTCTATCCGTGTTGTAGTGATGTCAATGTCATCCTGTAGAGCCACGTTAGCCTTCTCAAGTCTTTCCACAGTTGCATCTTTCTCAGCTGCTTCGGCCTTTAATGAATCTCTAGCAGCTTCAGCATCTTTCAGCTGGTTCTTGGCCTCATTCACTTCCTGTTCAAGCCTTCCGATTGTCTGCTTGAGATCCAGCTCAAATGGGACTTGTGCTTCCTCCGTGACAACAATCTGAGGCTTGATGAGCTCATCCTCATCTGTTAAAGTTCCAGGTTTGATGAAGCCGTCCTCAGATATCTGCTGATTGGGTGACTGAAGCAACTGATCCTGCAAATTGGCAATGGTTTCCTTCAAGTTTGTGATTTCTTCCTTGAGTCTCAGGTTGGTTTCCTCATGCAGCTGCACTCCTGTTTTCAATTCTTCCAGCTGGGCTTGCAGGTCATTGTCTGGACCTCTTTCTTCAAGAGCATTTTCTAACTGCTTGATTTTGTCTCTAACAAGATCCAGCTGCTCTTGTAATTCATCATTTGTTGATCTAAGAGTCTTCTCCAAGGTTTTGTAATTCTCAACAACCTTAAGAAGCTCTTGTTCGGAGCCTTTCAGCTTTGCAATCTCCTCTTCCAACCCAGAATTATTTCTTTCAACCTCCAAGGCATCTGCTGTGGCATCTGGGGAAAATACTGAAAACTCCTCTGTGCCCTTGTCTTCATCCTCATCCGAACTTTGACTTCCTAGACCTTGCTTCTTAGATTCACTCACTCGCCGGAGCTTCTCCTGCAAGTCTGAGTGAGAGCTCTGAAGCTCGCTGATCTGTTCAACGAATCCCGACTCTCTTTCTGTCATTATGACATCAGCTTGGGCCAGAGTCTCCTCAAAGGCAGACTGCCTTTCTTCAAGCTCAATGATTTTCTGCTGCAACGTTTCCTCGTGGTTTGTCATGTTAGCAATCTTCTTTCTCAAAGATGCCACAGACTCCTCTTCCGAAGTTGAATGCTCGTTTTCAATTTCAGAGTGCTCCAGTCCCTGGAGTCTTTCTTCCAGATCTTTGCATTTCCTGTTAGAGGATTCTAGGTTTTGGGTGAGCATTTCTAGTTCATCTCTCAGTTTATTTAGCTCCTCACTTTTCATTTTCAGCTCCTGAGATGTTTCTTCCAGCAGCCTGGACTTCTTTTCAAGGTTTTCAGCACATGCAACATCAAAGGTTGATTTCTCTTCCTTTAGATGAGCTATATTCTCTTTAAGTTCTAAAAGTTCATTCTCTTGGATCTCAGAGAGTTTGGTTCTGTCATCCAGCTTCTGCTTTGACTCTGTTAGCATGACGTCTGCCTGGGCCAGGGTTTCCTCAAATGCAGCCTGTCTCTCCTGGAAGTGCTCAATTCTCTGTTGGAGGGCTTCTTCATTTTGTTTCATAACTTGGATCTTATCAGCCAGCGCTGCAGCATCGGAAGAACTCTCCGGTGCACTTGCAGAGTCCTGAGTTGCTGCAGTGTGCGCCTGAATAACTGGTTCCACTATGTCTTGGCTTTCTGGCGAGCTTGGTTCTTGCAAAGATTCCATTTTGGAAGCCAACCTGATTTCTTCTTGCTCCAACTCCTGCAGCTTTTCCTCCTTCAGCTGACATTTCTCCTCGTACACCTTCACGGAATTCATGAGCTCTTTCAATTTTTCCTCCCCAACTTCCAGCTGTTTGTTCTTCCTTTCCAACTCGTGAGTTGTGTCATCCAGCAACTGTAACTTGTGTGAGACTTCCTCTTCTCTGCCGGACTCTAGTTGATCTCTCAAGTTCTGCAGCTCTCGTTCTTTTGCTTCCAGTAACTCATTCTGGTCACTCAGTTTCTGGTGGGTTTCAGACACGATGAGGTCAGCCTGAGCTATTGTCTCCTCATAAGCAAGCTGTCTTTCCTCCAGTTCACTGATTTGCAGTTGGAGTTCCTCCTCCCTCTCAGTCAGCTCTGTGACTCTCAGCTTCAAAGATTCCTTGCTATCCAGCTCTTCGTCTTCACCACTCACTGTTGAAGCATTAACAATGGATTGAAGCTTCTGGTTTTCATTCTCAAGCTCTTCCAACTTGCTCAACTGACCTTCCAAGTCATGGACTCTTTCTCCTGCTTGTTCTAGTTTTTCCCGCTGCAGGTTAAGCTCTTCTTTGGCAGTGTCAAACTCACTTTGAACCATTTCCAATTTTTCAGAAGTTTCCTCAAGAAGTTCTGCCTCAACATCCAATTTGTCTTGAAGGTTCTCCTTAGCGTCCTTTAAATCTGTAATGGTCTCTCTGAGTTCATGGAGCTCCTGGTTTTGTGCATCCAGTTGGTCGTTCAGTGAAGTGATTTTCCCTCTGTTTTCTTCAGTATCTTCTATTTGCCTTTTCAAATCCTTTGTTTCTTTTTCCATCTTAGACAACACCTCTGTCTGGTCGAAAAATTGTGACTCCACATCCTCCAATTCCTTGAGTCTTTTCTTGACATCAGCAAGCTCCCTGGTTGAATCACCGCACTCAAGGGACCTTCTCATCGAATCCTTCCTGGCCACCTTCAATTCAGACTTCTGCTCTTGCAGCCCTTGCTCCATTAACCCGATGCGTTCTTGTAGTTTACTACATTCCTCTTCTGCAGATGCAAGCTTCTGGAGGAGATCTTGATTTTCATTCTCCAACTGTATCTGCTCCTGCAGAAATTTCTCAGACTCTGGGGTATATGAGTTATGTTTCTGCTCCAGAGCTTCTTCAAGATGCTTCTCAAGCTCTTCTTTCTCTCTTTCCAGGTCCTCAATTCTGTGTTCAAGCTCTAAATGCAACTCAGACGATATCTCCTCCAAACGACTGAGTTCATACTCTGAGGACTCCAGCTGCTGCTCCAGTTTTTCTTTACTTGCCTGCAAAGCATTGATCACACTCTTCAACTCCTTGCATTCTGTCTGCAACTGTTCTTCTAACTGAGCTTTCTCAGACTTGCTCAGTAAAAGTTCTTGCTGAAGTTCCTCGACGATTTCATGTCTTTCGGTGGTTTCACTAAGGTTTTGATCATCAAGGGTTTGGAATTGGAGTTGTTCTTTTAATTGTTCGTTTGCTCTTCTAAGTTCCTGCAATTTCCTGTGCTCATCAGTTAGCTTGTCCGATAGATCTAGGTTTTCCTCCTTCACAGCTTCAAGCTCTTTCTCCAATTCTCTCTCATCCTCCTTGCTCCCAAGATCATTTTGATCCATGTCTTTATTACTACCTCCCCGCTTCAAATGTTCTACTTCAGACTCCAGCTCTTTCACCATTTCTTTTAACGCCATCTTCTCCTCTTCTGCTTCTTCAAGAACCCTGACCATTTCAGGAATCTGCGCTTGTAACTCCTCCAGTTCCTGAAGCTTCTGTTTGAGAGTCTCATTTTCTTCGGCACATTCAAGTGCTTGGCTCTTGAGTTCTTGGCACAGGTCGTCTAGCTCCACATTAGACTGCTCTAACACTTGTACTTTCTCCATGAGTTCAGTCTCAGATTTTTCCAGTTGTGCAATGCGATATTCTTTCTCTGGATCTCCCTCGTCTTTTTCTTCTGGCAATTCTTGAACCTTGGGTTCTTGTGATTCAGGGAGTAATTCAAGCACATCCTCTTCTTCAACCTCAACATATTCCTCCTCAGCCAGTGAAGCCAGCTCTCCCATCAGTCCCAGACTTTCTCCGAGGAATGAAGAAGCTCCGTGGGAGGCGCTCAACTCGTCTCTGGCAAATTTCTCTGCGACCTGTAGCTCCTCGATGCGTTCTTCAGCCTCATCGAGCTTTCCCTTCAACTGCTGCCGCATCTCCTCAAATTCCTGGACCCTGTCTTGCAGAGAATCTACTTGTGATCTCCATGCGCTGTCCTGGACCTCAAGTTGAGCTACTCTGTCCAGCAGACTCTGCTCCGATTGTTGCAGCTCCTGGATCCTGCCTTGAAGTGCCTTCTCCGTGTCTCTGGCATCAGCTACTGCTTTTTCAACGACCTCTTTGCTGTCGACATCCGAAGCCTGACTCTGCTTCAGTTGTCTTGTCAGCAACTTGTTCGCCTGTTCCAACTCTGCAATCTTGTCTCTAAGAGATTCCTCACTTGAGAAGTCACTGTTCAGTACCAGCTCCTCCACATCTCTCAGCTTGGCCTCGAGAGACTCCTTCACGAGTTCCAGTTGCTGCACCTTCTGTTGAAGGGCGTTCACATCCTGGGAGTTCTCCATTGTGGCCTTGTTGTTACTTTCGTTGGTATTGTTGCATTCGGATGGTGATGTGATTTCATGTAATGCTGACAGCTCAGCAGTCAGTTTTTCAATCTGTCTTTTGAGGTTCGTCTCAGCTTGCTCTTTCTTCTTCAGCTTTTTCTGAAGTTTCTCTCCTTCCTCACTAGAAAAAAAGGAAAACACACAAATGATTGTAAGAGGGTCTTTAAAAAACTTTATCATGTTACAACAATGTATCTCAAGATTAGGAATGGGTTTGTAATGGATTTACAATTGCTTTGATGTGTAAAATTTCTTTTAATCCAAACCGCCAAGCTTGTCATGTCATTGGTAAAGGGCACAACCCAATTTTAAAGATGTACTCTCCATGCTCTTCAACAAATTCAATTTTTCTCTCCTTACAAATTTGTACTGTTGAATGGTTCATTTCACTGAAAAAAGACATTGTTTTGTATTTTTGGCATCCACAACACTCTGAAAATGTCTTTAAAGTTTGGTTTCCAAAGTTCCCGGTTTCCAAATTTTAGTATTCTGATAGGGGCAGGAACTAGACAAACCTGCAAGAACTGAACTATTTTCGGGTTGCAAATATTTCAAAATGTGAAGAGTAATCATCCCATAACTAAATGTGGGCCATTTTTTTCCAGCTTGATGTTTTTTTCATAACTAGATTGCTAGAAATATAGCAATTAAAAAAAATTGAAAGTGATTTTTTTTTTGGGGGGGGGGGTAGGTTTGACACTTGAAATTAGCACAGACAGTACATATTTAAGAGTTTACATCCCCAAATGCAAAAAAAAGTCTGAACTGAAGTATCTATTTTTGAAGATGTAACTCACAGCAAGGTTTCTTGTTGAACTTCCAGATCCCTCAGTCTCTCAAGAATCTCATCTCTCTCCCCGGTCAGCTCCTTGGAGTTCTCTCTCCAAGACGTGATCTCTGCCTCCAGGTCCGTCCGCTCCCTGTTCCTCTCGGCCAGTCCCAGGTGGATGTCCTCTTGTAGCTGGGCCAGCTGGTCCTCCAGCTCCTGGATGCGGGAGTGAAGGTGAGCCTCGGTCCGCTCCAAGTCCGAGACTCTCTGGTTTGGGGACAGAAATAGGATATATCGAGCTGACTGCAATAATTCATGAGAGGAGCCTTTATTTAATACGCACCTCATACAAATTTTGGAGCTAAAATGCTTTTTATCCATGTTAACTGGTTGATGTTCCAACTCATAATGGAAGTTACAGTACAACACTATATCTGCAGTGCTTAATTATCGCCCAACCTGTTGATAGTACTTTGCATAAGTAGTGTTCACAGGTGAGTCTGCAGGCAGTACGACAATGTATACTTAAAACTGGACGGCATCCTGACTTTTTTTTTAAACGGAAATGCAATTTACAAGTCTAGATGCTTTTGATGAAACAGGAAAACAGATAAACATACAGCCAAAACTGACAGCGTGTCAAAACCATTAAAATTATTTGAGTTTCAAAAAGTGTGATTTTCCTTTCCTGCAATCACTAGGATTTGTATATTGTATATGACATCCATGCTGCAACATACATTGTACATGTTTAATGAGGTTATGTGCACATATCAATGCATGATAATTGCCCCCTCCATCCAAAAAAATTTTTATTAAAATTTCTGGAAAGATATAAGAAAGACGAGTTGAATTCTACCGGGGGGAAAAACATGGGATTCTTTTAGTTGACATGCCTTAATTTTCTACAGCAACTAAACACAAAACATGTACATGTATGTATTTTACACAAAGATTGGCGTTTGTTTATGGTGTAAATCGAGGACACACACGTGCAACATCATCGGTGAATCGAGGACAGGAACCAAATCGAGGACGACCTCGATTAGAAAACGTGTACAAAACCAATGAGAGCTGTTGCAAAATAGTTAGAGTATAAACAAAGGAAAAGGGAAGAGGAACAATAAAAAATCCTCGATTTACACCATAAACAAATGTGCTAGCTAGATGTATGTGTGAATATACAATCATGACAATATAAATGAGTAGGGAGAAAAACATCTGAGTTTCATGTAGGTGAATGAATGAATATGTTTTTATGAAGGTAGTTTGCGGCCAAAAAAGACAAACACAAACTCCATGTACATGTAATATGAAGAGGAACATGTACATAGGATAGTATGAACACTCATTCAGAACACTCCAATATATGACAGTAAACTGTAACACATTCAAAAACTGCAAGAAGAAAACTATATTTGTATAGTGCCAAAACCTAACATTTTGCATAGGACTTCAAAAGTCAACTATAATATGCATCAGGCACTACCGTATGCCCATAGAACTACAAGTGCATAACCAAAAATTCCAATGCTTCATGGTCAATAAATGATGTATTGTACACCAAACTGACCAAAGTAAAACAAAGTTCTCAATCATCAATAGCTACGATAATGATCCTTACACTTACCAACTATAAAGCCAGCACCTATTTCCCAGAACTTCACAAAGCTGTAATGTCCGACACCTAAATACATGTACAACTGTGCCAAGGGACTACAGTACGGAACCTCTCATAAAACACTATTATGATCCTACACCCCAAAGTTCAAACATACCTCCCCTCAACAACTCACAAAAAAATGTAAACACGGTCAATGGGTCAGAATTCCACAATTGAAATAGAATCCACGGAACCTGTCGCCCACCAAACACAAAGTTGGCAGTTACCTTGTAAGCACTTCACTATATGGCATACTACTAGCCACCGTTTACTATTTGCTTATGAAGGCTATTTGTACTTCGGATCAATACTTCTCTGAAGAGTACATAATCCTAATCAATGATCACCAAGTACTGATGAATGGGGTAGGGGGTAGGTGGTGGGTGCCCATTGTGTATGGATGGGGGTCTGTTATGCCCCCAAAATTCCACATTTGAATAACAACGTTGTGACCTCATCAGAGCACTGGTGATTTTCATCAACATCTTTGGTATTGTAAGATGACTTTTGACAATGGTCAAATGATAAGACTTTTGATTAATATTAAACTTGAAAGTAATTGATTGGTACTGAACAGACATGTTTTCTTTCAAAATCAGTCATCCGCTACAACCATTTCTGGGATGCACTTGTGTATTTTGCACTCTATTTCTGGGTCAAAACTTGATACTAGTTTGCCGAAATGGGTTAATTATCTTTCAAAGTAAATGTTTAATCAGATCAGAAATGTGTAACTCAAAACTAGTGATACTCTGATAACCTATACAGATTCACCAAAAGATAGAACTTTTCTGTTAAAATTTAACTCAAAATTTGAGCTTTTGTGCTCGTTTTTGCAGTTTATTTCACGTACATTTCAATTTGTTTACAAGTTGGTCATTTTGCCGCTGAAGCAGATCTTGTTTAAGATCGAAATCTTCAGGCTGTTTTAATTTTTTAGATTTGTATGTTTCAGGTTAATCCAGTAAGAAAGAAATTGCACTGAGCAGTTTAATTAATTTTTCTGTCGACAGGTTTAACACTGAACGAAAACGTGACAGCCATAAAAAGTAATTGATTACACAGTGGGGGGTCTGTTACCGTAGTAACTGCAGCTGAACTCTCCATTGATTTGAACGGATCAGTGATCGTGCTATTTCAGTGAGTGGGGAAAAGCCACTTTGTCATTTGTATGTTCAAATCAGTTTTCTAATTCCAGATATTTATTTTTTGTTTATTACAATTACATGGGAGTACTTGAATGACATTTTAAATATCTTGGCTTACGGCTGTCTCAATGGCATCAAAACACTAACATTAACATATTATTTATTTTCATGTTATTTACTCAGTTATAAAATTTATAAAAAAATAGCAAGGCCTATTTCTAGTATGGATGTCAATATTTGAAGTTTTGGGAAAATATTCTGAAAATTGTAAACGTTTTAAACTAAAAATCATGAAATACAGTAAAAAAAAAAATAATGCAAAAATGATAAAAGCATTAGGGCCTAACCAAAAGAAAAACAAACAAATGATATAAGAAAATCCTAGATAGAAATTTACATGAAAGATAAAACACGCTTACAAAGAAGATTTTTATGGTCAGAAGTAACAAAAAATGATCTCATTAGCTACACAGACATGAAAAAAGAAAGCAGCATATAAATGTTGTCTCTGATGAAGTGGATTCATTTTGTTTTGTACCTCTGTGTGGCAAATTAGAACTTCAGGCAAAAATTATGTGCCATTTGCTGGGGGTATTCTGCCCACATCTTTGCTCAGATTAAATGAGGTTGTACAACGCGGATGATCATTTTATAGGTAAAGAAACCACTGTACTTCAATACAGGGTGAGTAAAAAAAAAAACGACACCCAAATGTCGGGACTATTGTTTTATTGAAGTTCTGCATGTACCACTTTCAAAATCTAGGACATGAAAGCCCAATTCATAAGCTTTCTTTTAGTACAAGAATCATTCAAATCACTCATGTACCTTTCAAGTTACATAATTTTAAACACAACGACCATTTTAAGGTTCTGTCCACGGATCACAAAAAAAGTTTAGTGTTCTTTCAGCAACTCAAGAATAAATCACATAACGATGTGTGTGTGAATTGTTTTCGTTTTACTGAAAGAACCCACACCTTTTTTGTGATCCGTGGACAGAACTTTAAAACGGCGGTTGTGTTTAAAATTCCGTAACGTCAAAAATACATGAGTGATTTGAACTTATGAACTGGGCTTTCATATCCTAGATTTTGAAAGTGCTTCATGCAGAACTTCACTAAAACAATGGTCCCAACATTTGGGTTTTTTTTTTTTTACTCACCCTGTATTTTGCTTAATTTTTTTTTCATTCCAAGACCCCAAGTACAAAATACATGAGCATCTCATTCTGACCTAAAAATATTACAAATGTTAAATTGTTTTTGAGTATTTTGTGACTTTTTAGCAGGATGGGGTACAGAAGTCATGGATTTTATGCAGCAAAGAATCATTATAGAACTTAGAAAGAAGTCGAAGAATACTACTTCAAGAAGAGTGGAATGGAACGTGGAGAAGTTGAGGGTGCACATAAATCATGTTTAGTTTACCATTTTAGCCAATTGCAGCTGATGCTGTAAGGCAGGATCACCCTCATTGGCCAGCTTTTGTGACCTGTGCATATTAATAAGCTCCTGGGAACCAATCAGCAGGTGTTATCGGTTAGCAAAACTGGACATTAATACATCAAATTCCAACAAAATACAAAAAAAAATTATAAAAGCCATATAACAACCAACTGCAAACTATTTAAAAAGAGAATACACAGACTTTAATTATATTGTCAATTCTAAAAACAGAAGCAAACGAATTTCAAGAAGAAAAGCTAGATGTTTCAAGTCATACGCAGAATCTGGTTTTGAGATCAGTTTTTGAATGAGACTCTTAATGTGAAGTACATGTAGATTTACTAAGGTATCAATCCTATTGTTTTATAATTATAGCAGAAACTGGTAATATATCCAATTAAAAAGAAAAGCCAACAAAAACCTTTACCCAAGACAATAGTCATAAACAAAATTTAAGGACAAATTTTTGGGAGTTGAAGTAAAAAACAAAAAAATTCGAAATAAAAACTCAACAAATTACCAAAACAAAGGAAAAACTAAATTAGTATTTTGTAAGAAATAAAACAATCACACATGTACATCAGGGAAAACAGGCAGACCAATATTAATGTGCAGCAAATCAAACAAGCCATGCAGTGCAGTGGTGAATACCTCATGTTTAAGCTACTAAGAAACTATCCGCAAATAAGTCCGGTTCTTTTACTATAGGGCACCAGAAAAGTTAGACAATACCGGTAGTCTGTTTTAAGTATAAATCTATTTCAGATTTATTTATACTACAGCACACAGTGATTTAAATAGGGAGGACACCACCTGACACTAACTTATGCTATATACATATGATGCTGTTCAACTTTTCCATTGTACATACAACTTTAGGATGATGTTAGATACTTTTAAATTGAAAAGAAAGGGTTTGGGTGCTTTCATTTTTATCTCTCTTTCCTTGGAAGTGGAGGGGGATGGGGGAGGTGGAGGGAAATTTATCGCTTTCAGGAAGTGGAGGGGCATTTTTCCCATTGGAAGAAAGTTTTACTTTTTCCGTTGAGGTGAAGGAGCCCGAAAATAGTCATGTACATGTAGGTCCTCTTTTTAAAACTGTACCGATTTCTCTCTCCTCCCACCACCAACACGATTATGCAATACTTAAACAGACAAATGTGGCCTACTAAGGCAAAATGAGGAATGTCCCCCAAAACCTTGTTTTGAGTAATCGTCGCCTGAAGTCGGATATGCTAGAAAATTCATGTCGAAATTGATATTGATTGCTTTGTATTTTTGAGTAGTCAAGATATCAAAGATTCATACCATGCATTTTTGTTGAGAAAAATACCCACACAAGAGGAAAAACTGAAGAACGTTTTTCACTGCCATTGGCGGCGCAATGCGTGTCTTTTTGTTTTCAAAGTTGTGTTTTTTTTTTCTCGAAATGAGGTTAGCAAAACTTAGCAGAACACTGTTGAAGTTCCTGTGTTTTATCTTTGGAATAAATTAAGCTACAGAAATAGCATGATGTACACAGCGTGAAAAGTCAAAGGTGGGGGTTATTCCTCGTTATGCTATGGCAGGTCACACAAATAATGTTGAATACCACACCCAGGAATTTTCTGAGGGGGAAATCCACAGGGTTGGAATAACTGGATATCACTACGAAGAAGAGTTCAAGTCAATAAGACATGTGCCAGGCTAGGGGAGGGGGGAAGAAGTTAGTCCCACTACCAATGTACCCGGTATTTCCATGAAAATACAACTCTAACTCTGATCCAGAATATAAGGGGAACATGGGGGACGGTCACATGACCAAAGTGGGAGGTCACATGACCAAAGTGGGAGGTCACATGATCAAAGTGGGAGGTCACATGACCAAAGTGGGAGGTCACATGACCAAGGTGGGAGTTCACATGAGCCAAGAATGGACGACAAGGGGGTTCAAGAAAATATCAGATAAATTGGCATCCCTTCAAATAGAAGTTCATAAAGAAAGTCCACCCCAAATAACCAAAGTGCAATCAATTCACAAACACTGGAATAAACTGAAAAACAGAAAATTACCTGTCATTTCTATAGCAGCGGCAAGAATATAATAAGCAAAAATTGATGATTGTGAATGCTTGCTTCAAGTTTTCAAATACATTTTGGGTAGGTGCATAAAAATGTAACAACAGAACATGGCTTCCATTAACTTGTCCATACTGAAACTCCTGAGATTCAAATGATAAAAAAATACATTACCTGTTCCTTGACCTCTTCCATCTGCCGTACATGTTCCCTCTGGGAATCAACCTCTTGTTGTAAGGACTGTAGTAGGGATTCCTTTTCCAGGAGGTGGCCTTCCAGTGACTTGACTCTCTGAAATAGAAAATTTATTTGATAGTGACACGAGCAAGATTTTGGCAGAGAATAATGAAATGGCGAATGTTACATTTGGGGCTAGTAACACACATTGCTGAACAAGCTTTGACACTGGGAATACGAACTAAAAAAAATTAGTAAAAGTTTCAGATAGGTGGTTTTTTTTGTTGAGAAAACAGTGAAAAACCATGCACAATCTTTCAATCATGAAACACGATTTATTACTTGGGTCAATATTGGTCAAGACCCCCATTGGTTTGTACACAGTAGGCCAGGAGGTGAGAAAGAAAATTTTGACCATTGGTGACCTCTTAAGCAAGAGGAGGGTTAATCAGTAAACTGACTGATCGTTGGAAATCACCATTGAACATCGAACATCTTGATTTTGTTTCTAAATGACAGCAAGCCAAACAGAATAATTTCACTTGGTGTTTAGTACCAGTACGATCTGCAATCCAAATAAGTTTTTTGATAATAATTCGGGAGGTTGCTTTTGGAATACATGTAAATGCAAATGATCCTATATGTCTTTAATCAAAATACAAGATGTCTCGTTTTTGTGTGTGAGAAACGTTCAACTTGAACACAAGGCAGTGTTGGGTACGACTCCCTAGACCTTTTGCTAGGATGTAGCCTCAATCCTGCAAAATCCTCCAATTGGCCTCATGGAAAAATAACATATAGCCTCATCCTGCAAAATTCCTCCATTATTTCTTGAATGTGGTCCGTTAAGAGGTAACCACTGCCTGAATCCTGCAAAATCCTGCGGCTATGACTGTCAATAGGCTGAGGCAGAGGCAGTGACATCCTGGAGCAGTGCGGAGGATTTCAAGTATAATCAAGGACTGAATTTATGCACGGCTGAGCATAAACAACACACGGTCCGGCCCAAGACCTTGACACAGTGCGTCCTCCGAAATCTGCAACGCACTTTTGCCATGTAACCTCAATCCTGCAAATTCCTCCAATTTGCAAAAAGGATTTTGGAGGATTTGGGATGGTTAGGGTTAAAGGCAACATGTTGTGTAAACCTTCCTTGCCTATATACAACTTCAATTTTCCTAACAACTCGGCCAAGGTTATAAAGTAATTTCCAGCTAAACTTGGTCGGTTAGCTACGCACCAACAGTGCACAGTCAGGCCGGAAATCCCTGCCACATTTATGAGCACACCCTTATATTTAAAATGACACCGTGGGCCTTAGTACCAACTACGATAAGAAAATGAACTTCGACGGCAAAATACCAAACAGTCAAACGCAATTACGTCAAGATAACTTTGTTACTTGACTCATGTTCACATGGGACACTGAAAATGTGTCGAGTTCTGACGACTCATTCTACTTCGGGGTGTTTCTGAAAAAGTCCAGGGGAAGGGTGCGAATTTGGTGGTGGATACTGGGGGGTGGGGAGAAAGGACTCCCCCCCCCCACCTTAACCTAACCCCCTAGGCCCTCTGGCTAGGATGCCACCTCAATCCTGCAAAATCCTCCAATTGCCACCAAGAAAAAACTGGATTCAGCCTCAATCCTCCAAAATCATCCGTTATTTCTTGAATTGAGTCTGTGGAGGGTTCGCGTCAACCAGCAAAATGTCCCGCCCAAGTGACGTTGTTGCTAGGTAAAAGGGCCCCCTCTTTGGTAGGCGCACGGAGCCCATATGGAATCGGAATCGATTTCCAAAATGTTTGGAATTGCCCAAACCTTATTTATCACATCATCCAACCCCCCCCCCCCCAAAAAAAGTGGCATCTACACACAATCATTTCCTGAAACTTATCAGAAAATTTTTTTTTACAAGAAAATCATAAGCACCTGTTTGTTTTCCTCCTCTGACGCTGAGGAGGGGCTTGGGACCGGGGTCACTGCATCTTGCTCTTCCAGTTCCAGAATTCTGAATTCCAAGAGTTCGTTCTGATCTTTGCTGTCCTGCAAGCTCCACTCCAGCTTGCTGCATTTCTCCTCTAGCTCTTTGTTCTGCATTTAAATGAAAAAGTTTAAAAGGAAAAATGTATCAACAAAGGATCAGATATTCTGGGAGAAAAACTTAACTCTCTAGGGATTTGGTTGGGCACATGGTAAACTCATTGTTATGGAAGGAATTTTACAATAATAGCAAAAGTAATAATAATTATAATAATAAAATTATAATTTTATAATTTGGGAGGCTAATCATCCTTACTCGCAGCTGGTATGCTGAATTGCGAAGGACGTGGCTACAACGTGGTCGGGCCGCTGGCACGTAAAGGCGCCTATGGCTGCCAGCCACATCGACCCATATATGACCACGGAGCACAGCCTGAGATCGAAAGTGTTTGATTTTTCCGTAGGGAGGAAAACCGGAGGGCCCGGAGAAAAACCCTTGTGGCACAGGAGAGAACCAACGCACAACTCTACTCACATGCGATCCGCGGCCAGGATTCGAACCGTGGTCACCTTGGTGAGAGGCGAGCACTTTACGCACAGGCCACCCATGCCATCCAAAATAATAATAATAATGACTACTAAGGCCAAAAAAAGAAAGTCTCCGGTTTCTGATATGGAGCTTGCCCCAAAGTGGTGCGGCGACGCGGCTTTTTTTCTTCTTCAAATGTCGGCTGACGACTGCAAATGGTGCCAGAATACATTGAGTGCAAAATATATGGGAGTCCAGAGAGGCCACATAAAGCTTATACTCGATCGTAACCCCATCTAAAAACACGCTAAAATTGTGCAACAGCAGGATTCCAGTCAAACCAGTGAGTTTGGCGGTTTTGAGACATCATCTTACATTGAAAATAAACCTTTTTTATTTTGCTGACACGCATGGCTACGGCGACGCGCGCGCATACCAGAAACCGGAGACTTTTTTGGGGCCTAATGTGCTTTTTAACAAAGTACCAAGGCATTTCACATTATTATACCCACCCTCCCCACCAGTTCCAAGCTACCTTGTCAGTTACCCTCCATTTCCATTAGTCTGGTAACCCCCCCCCCCCCATGCTGGAAAGACAAGTTAGGGGACATAGTCTCTGTGCTTCTCACCTGTTTGAGTAGCTTCTTGATGCGCTGTCCCGGTGTGGGCTGCTTACCCTCTCTCATCTTAGAGTCATCGCCCTGCTGCCGTGCAGAGAGCTGGTCTTCGCTGAAGTCCTGCCATTCAGGAGGAAGAGACGAGGCAACTACATAAACGTTTTATTTAACTCTTTGCACACAGCAAGCTAATACTGTGGCCTCGTGGTTAAGGGTACTGATTCGTGGGCTGCGAGTAAAGCTGCAGGTTGTGGGTTCGAGTCCTGGCGGGGTCATGGTGCGTGTGCCCTGGGGCAAGGCACTTTGTCACTCATTGCTTCTCTCCACCCAGGAGTAAATGGGTACCTGTGAGGGCAGAGATGGCTATTGTGATTGAATTAGCTTCCTTGCGCCTAACAGGCTGCATCGAGCTGTATACTCCCCAGGGAGTTGAGATGGTATTTGGAATGTTTCATGTGCCCAATGAGCAGGGGTAATAATGATGTAGCACCTTGAGCACCAGTCCTGGTGGATACGTGCGCTTTATAAATATCCACTATTATTATTATTATTATTAATACGTCGTCTCAAAATGATGCCTTCTCAAGGTGATAAACGAACATATGAGGCATCATCATAGGCCATTATTTTAACTTTTTCTGATTACGGCAATTAATTCCATAGCGTAAGAGACTTAAAAAAATACTGCACGTGAAACAAAATGTCAAGTTTCTAAGTAAAGTATTTCTCAAGTTATTGTGCTGACAAGAATTCTATTGTTTTAGCATTAGTGACCTTGACCTTTGACCTGTCAGCCAAAAAGCGATAGGCTTCTTAAGACTTCCAAGAACAACCGACAAACCAAATTTGAAGTTCCTAAGTAAATTATTTCTCAAGATATCATGCTGACAATATTTAACCTATTAACCAAAAAAATTAACACACAGACACACTAACGACTAAGGCCCCCCCAAAAAAGTCTCCGGTTTCTGGTATGGAGCTTGCCCAAAAAGTGGTGCGGCGACGCGGCATTTTTTTTTTTTTACCTGATTTTTTTGCTTCAAATGTCGGCTGATGACTGCAAATGGTGTCCGACTAAACTTAGTGCAAATATATGGGAGTCCAGAGAGGCCAAATAAAGCTTATTCTCGACCATAAGCCAATCTAAAAACACGTTAAAATTGTGCAGCAGCAGGATTCCAGTCAAAGCAGTGAGTGTGGCGATTTTGAGACATCATCTTTCATTGAAAATTTTTGTTTTTCATTTTGCCGACGCGCATGGCCACGGCGACGCGCGCGCATACCAGAAACCGGAGACTTTTTTTTTTGGGCCTTACACACAGAAGGAATATCCCCCTCTGGCTTACAGCCACGGGGATAAAAAGTGTGAACAACAATGGAAATCTACCCTTGTGCACAATATATGGTGGTGAACCCCCCCACCCCCACCCCTCTCCTTCCTTTACCTCTTCAAATCCATCCTCGCAATCTGAGAGAACCAGCGGAGACAAGATGGAGGTATCCAGTGAGCCGGAGCGGCTTCTCATGCCGGGGTCCTCGTCCAAGCTGAAGGGGGTCAGGCTGGCCGACCTCGGCCGTGAGATGGGCACGGGCAGCCTGGACTGGCTGTGGTCCGGTGTGGCCTTGGCCAAGCGTTCTTGCTCCTGAGGACAAAGGGTGGAATCAATTCTGCTGAATTCGTACACATTGGTGACAAAAGAGAGTTTGACTACAAACAGCTGTACACTATACATTAACCCCTTCAAAATGGGTGCATACCTATGTTCCCCAATACCGATATTCCCCGAAATCCTTACCATATAACCCTAACCCTAACCCTAATCCTTAGGATTTCGGGGAACATAGGTATTGGGGAACATTGGGTAGACCCCCTTCAAAATACACAACTTGGCTTTTCCTTGAGTTCAACAATATGCAGGATACCCCTTGAATCCCATACTTCTACCTAAGAACCGTTCTGAACTCACTATTAAAGGCAGCTCATTTGAGTTCCGATGTCTCTGGGATTCAAACGTACCCCATCCTGTACACCAATCCCTTCTGAACTTACCAAGACAGCTGGCTTGAGCTCCACAATCTCCAGGCTTCCCTTTCAACCCTACCCCCCCCCCCTCATCTCCAACCCCATTCCAATTACTCACCAAAGCAGCTTGCTTGAGCACCAAAATCTACAGATACCCTTGGTACTCCAATCCTTGAACTCCAACGTTTTCTTATCTCACCAAAGAATCTCGCTTGAGCTCCAGTCTAACATTTGTGCCCCCAATCTCCAATTCTGAACCCCAACTCAACTCAGCAGCTTGTGTGAGCCCACTTTTATCTCCAAAATACCTCTTTTACCACTATCCCTACCTCAAACCCCTTCCCAGCTCCAAACATCAGCTTGTTTTGAGTAATACAATCTCCAAAATACCTACGGTAACTTGATTTGGCAGCTTGATTTAGCTCCATCATATTCAGGAGACCCCCAACCCTCATATCCCTTCCCCTCCGATGTCTCTGGGATTCAAACGTACCCCATCCTGTACACCAATCCCTTCTGAACTTTCCAAGGCAGCTGGCTTGAGCTCCACAATCTCCAGGCTTCCCTTTCAACCCTTACCCCCCTCATCTCCAACCCCATTCCAACTCACCAAAGCAGCTTGCTTGAGCACCCAAATCTAAGGACAACCTTTGTACTCCCATCCTTGAACTCCAACGTCTTCTAAACTCACCAAAGAATCTCACTTGAGCTCCAGTCTCGCTTGAGCTCCAGTCTCGCTTGAGCCCCATCCCCTACCTCAAACCCATTCCCATCTTACCACACGAGCTTGTTTGAGTTGTGCAATCTCTCCAAAATACCTAGCTAGATTTGGCAGCATCATTTAGCTCCATAATATTCAGGAGACCCCTTCTACTCTTCCCCAACTCTCGACTCCTTTCTCAACTCACCAAGGCAGCTTGCTTGAGCTCCACAATCTCCAGGAACTGCTCCTGGACCTCCACTCTCAGCTTCCGCAACTCCTCCTCCCGGTCCTCCACCTCCGCTTCCTGGTCGGTCCTGGAGTTGGTTCCTCCCCTCTGGGTCTGCTGGCGCTCCTTGCTCAGCACCTTGCGCAGGCTCTGGTTCTCCCGCTCCAGACGGCAGCGCATGTTCTCCTTCAGCGAACGCTAGAAGAAGAATACGGATTTGAGGATGTGTGGTGCCCAAGTTAATTCACTGTGTGGTTGCAAACTGTTAAGAGTTGTAACCAAGTTACTGGAGGACCAGCCCCAGCAATTCTGTTTATATACACCTTGAAGACAAAAATTCTGGCAACTTTTGGAGCTTTAAGGGAATGTACAACATTTGCTTTTGCAGTAATTTTCAGAAATAAATGGATTTGGAGGATTAGTACGTTATATAAAATATTGTTTAAACTGACATGTTTCATGTTTTAGGCTTGTAGATGCTGGAAAAACCAAGAAATCCTATCATGTTCTTGTAGTCTGGTTCCCTGACCCCACTTAAGATGAAACAAAGCAATTAATACACTTTGGGGAATTGTAAGGTCAGAGAATCAGTCTAGCAGGCTTGTACCCCTTCACAGGTGTGTAATCAATTGCAAAGAAAAGTCAGAATAACTAAATATAAAAATAAAGAACAGTTTTTGAAAAAAGCCAGTTTTCTCCAAAGCTGGTCAGTCGACCAGCGTTGGAAAAATAAAGTTTTTCTTAAAAATGTCAGCCCACCAGGAGCCACGATTTTACAGGATGCTTTAGACTGTCATTCCCTAACAATTCTGTAAGGTATTTCGTGATAATTTGATCATTTTGTTTTTTGATATTTGCAAATGTTGTATTTTCCCTTTAAAAAACAGTAACATTGAGGTTTCTGCCTGAAATAACAACACACTCTTGCTCATGAATACGGACATTTACATTAGCATAAAAAAAAAAGCACCAAACTACCCTTGAAAATGCCAAAACGATAACTGAAAATAAGGTTAAATGAGACACAAAAGTGCATTTTCAAGGATTGCATGAAAAAAATTACATTGCATGGGCCCTTAGCGGTATTATTTAATAAAAATATGAAGAACAGCAGCAATTAAACAAGTAGTACCCTGTAGTGTTGTATTCCAGTCTATCACAAGTCCAGTCACAAGTAAAACACAAGTCTGATTACAAGTCGAATAACAGGTAACAGGCGATGAACAAAGACAAAGGAATGCTTCAGTCACAGTTCATGTGAATAGCTTGTGACTTGACTTGAGACTGGGTAACTTGTGATGGACTTGTGATGGACTTGTGATGGACTTGGGATGGACTTGTGATGGACTTGCGATGGACTTGTGATGGACTTGTGATGGACTTGTGATGGACTTGGGATGGACTTGGGATGGACTTGGGATGGACTTGTGATGGACTTGTGAGGGACTTGTGAGGGACTTGTGATGGACTTGTGATGGACTTGCGATGGACTTGCGATGGACTTGTGATGGACTTGTGATGGACTTGTGATGGACTTGTGATGGACTTGTGATGGACTTGTGATGGACTTGTGATGGACTTGTGATGGACTTGTGATGGACTAGTGATGGACTTGTGAGGGACTTGTGATGGACTTGTGAGGGACTTGTGATGGACTTGTGATGGACTTGTGATGGACTTGTGATGGACTTGAGATGGACTTGACAACAAGACTGTCAAAAAGGTCCATTCAGCAACCACCAGATCAAAATTTAGTTTTCTATTTGAAATGAATTCCCCAAACACTCACCAATTTCTGATTTTCTTCCGCCAATGCTTTGTTTCTTTCATCCAGTTTTTTCTTGGAGCCTTCCAGGTCTTTGATCTTCCGTACGAGCCGCTTGTTTTTCTCAATGAGTGGCGTGGTGTTCCGTGCCTCTGAAGAAGTTCGAATCTTTCTTTCCTAGTTAAGAAAGGGTAATGAGTGTAATGGATTACATGTTGTCTGCTAGACAGTGCCGTGTTTCCCTAAATTTAAGTTTACTTATTTTTGTTTAACACTAACTGCCATCAGGTTTTCACTTAGCATCCTACTGTTTCCAACAGAATGCAACAACGAAAACATAACTGTGAAGCCTTTTGAAATGAAAAAAAATCAGTAAGAACAAAAAAGGTTTTTTTTGCCTTTTGTGCTTTGAAGAACCAAATGCAGACAATGTCATTTTACGGCATTAATAAGTTCAGGGTTTCACTTAAAAAAAAGAAGAAAATCTGCTGAAATTTTGCTGTTTTATATACAATAATGTTTTGTTTTTTTAAATAAATTTATTGATTTTAGAAAATGTATCTTTTTTTCAGGCTTTTATCAAGAACTCTCTGTCTCGTGATTTTAATATAAAAATATCATTTGTAATGAAATTTCTTTTTGTAATGTAAAGATTAGAGCATTTCACCACTAAATCTCATAAAAAATAAAGATTAGATGAAATTCAGTGATTTGTTATTAAAAACATTGCAAATAATTGGTTTGCCCTGAAAATCAACCCTAAAACGTTCCAAGTTTCTGACAGGACATTGCCTGTAATTTGTTCTCCCGCACTCCAAATACATTCAGAGTTCATTTACTTTAGCCAATTATGGTACTTCCCATATGGGTTGTAAAGTGTCGACAGATTTTTTTTGGGTGAAACTCTTTACCAAGTCTGCCTTGTCCTCTATGAGTTGCTTGTTCCTGTCCTCCAGCTTCCGTAGCGCCGTATTTAGATCGGCAATTTTTCTGTGTAACTTTTTCTCTTCCTCCTCGTTTCCAACCTGCGTGCAGTTGAAGAACAAAACAATCCATGTTGTTTCATCAGCTTACTTTTCTTTAATACATGTAGCTCTTTTTTCAAATCTGCATTTGAACCTGATATGTCTGCAACCACACACAGAATCAGTAACGGAGTATTTCATTTTTTGTTGAAACTTACAGAAATCGCACATTTGCCTTCAGAGCTCTTCATGCCAACTTCCATTATACCCTCATAAATACCTGAGACAGTTTACCCTTTCCTATTTCAAACCGCCGGAAAACACCGCTGCATTCTGCGCCACATCGCCCAGTACGCGCTGCTTGCATGTTAATCTCCATATAAGGAGATTATTAACACTATGCAGTGGAGGCACATACCAGGGGTGCTTCACAAAATATAAAGTAAAATTGCAGAACAAAATTGTTAAAATTTTGTAAATTTCTGATTTATTTAACTTTTTGGCTGAAAAGGTATTTATGAATGGGAACAAATCTGTGCTTGGCCAGTTTTAAACAAGTACTTTTCAAACCGGCTAGGGGCCTGGTCACAGATAATGTCCCACAGGGTAGGGGGGATGAGGTGTTAGCATATCTATCAATGTAATAGACAGCTCTGCACCGCAAGCCATAAGAACTGAGTCAACAATTTTAAAGGTCTACAGCTTCAACTTTCTTAAAGGAACCAACGCTTGCCAGTGGGCATTTGCAGTGGCTGTACCAACACTCAGAGACAGACTCCCACAACACAACCAAGGCTCAGCCATCCAAAACGCTTCAGACGGGAAAATGACTCTTGCTTATTACTATCTGTTTGTTTTGCGTAGGCACTGATCAGTTGTACAAAGTGCACTACTCAGCCGAGAGTGCTTTACATTAAAGGCACTGTAAAAATAAATCTTAAACCCTCCCTCTCTAGCTGGCAAATTCAGCTGCTCCATCACAGCAGTGGTGCCTGATTCTTAATTTGATATAGCCATATGCTTCGACTGTAGGTGATTTATATGCCAGCCGTATTTACCAGTTACCTCTTTTGTCTGTCGATGGAATCTGGCTAGTCACAGTGTTTACACGAATGTGATCCGACTGTGTTTTTACTAGCGTGTAGATTTAAGCATGGCAAGGGAAGTGGAAGAAATTTTTGACAGTCTGTGAATGATCAGAACAATAAGCCTCAGAGAATTATTGACATATAACTCACCGTCGGACTTGACAGACTTGCCTGGCCGCTGCTGGCGGGAGATTCCTGGCCGGCGACGGCTGACCTTTGATCCCAGGACTCGGCCATCTTGCTCAGGTTCAGCAGGTTGCTCAGCGATTCCTTCTCGTTCTGCAGCCGCTGCGAGTAGCCGGTCTTGTGTCCCAGCTCCTTCTCAAGCTCCGAGATGACGCGGTCCTTGGACTTGAGTTCCTCCATCTGCAAAGGAATTTTTTTAAAAGGTGCAACAACGATTGTTTATTTAGTTTGGCTTTCACAAACATAAACTGAAGTGTCACAAGAATTCAAAATATTTGTGCGGCTGTTAGTGAACCAGGTGCATATTTTTCATATTTTCATTCACCTTTGATCACACTTATCCTGTGTCTTTTACTTGATGTTTAGTTGGGACTGGTTGTATATTTTACATGTACGTTAAGCACACTGCTTCAACACGAAAATTTGATGATATAATCAAGAAGAAAAAAACTTCCTCCAAAACCCTAAAGTACTCGCCTCAGGAACTAGTTTGTCAACTTCCAATACCTTAGGAAGCTATAATATCGACTATCATATGTATACTATTTCTACCTTTGTCTACGGCATTTTGTATTGCTTTTTAAAGTTTATTTTTGAACATTCTTACTTTTACTGCTCCCAATACATTTTTATTGTTTCCAAAGTAAATTGTATTTTTTTGACAACTTAATGTTTTTACTTTTTTATGTAATTTTAAATTTTTATTTTTTTTTATTAACTTTGAGTTTTCCTGTATAACTTTTTCGTTGTCCTTTTGAGTGTTACCTTTTCATAAGTCCGGTCTACGAACTGGTTTATAAGGATTTCAAAAATAAAACCTGAATTAAATGCAAAACATTCCTACTGTGCCACCAGTAAAATTCAATGGTTGGTAGGCATGTGGTAAATACTTGTGTCTAACCAGGTAGTTGCTAGTATTTGTCATATGTATGTATGTGGTTATTAAAAAACATCTTCAATTAATTGGAGCACTGCATCAATACAGCTGGGTCTATGTACATTTATGCTAAGAAAGCATGTTGGACAATGGCACACCCATCCGGTTTCTAGTCGGAGGATCGTTATTCCAGTTTTACGAAAGCCATTTGTTTGATGGATCCATTCAAATGATCATTTCAAACCTTCACAATTTACCTATGAATGTCCCGACTAGTCGCAGCGCAACGAGCAATGACTAGTCTGGGCAACACAACTAAACATGGCATAGTCATATTGCCATAAGTAACTAGTCAACTATTAACAGAACTGACGTCGAGATTACGAAAAAGTCACAAATGACAAGTAGTCGCACAGTGCTACAGATTATTAACATCCAGTTTTGCCGACAGCTTTGAGTCTTTACGTCTTTTTTCTTCAAAGAGACACCAACTCCATGGTAACCGACCACAGCTCCAAATTCCAACAATGTTTGCCGAGTCCTCTGCAGTAACTAACATAATGGGCTAATGGCCAGGACAAATATTGACCCTTCAAATACTGATAGCATTGACTTGTGAAAGGACAACATCTGCACAGGAGACAGAGGGGTATAGGAAAGCTCCTGTTCAACTTGTCAACTGTTTGTACATACAAGAGAGTCTGCCTTAAAATTTGTTTGAATTTTCTGGTGTTTTGTGTCTGTCGTGTTACTCACTTAATGACATGTTCCAAATGAACCTTTTTCAGACAAACTTTCTGAAAATTTTACATGTAAGAAAGACAACATTTATTGCATCCAATTGTGACAGCTGGAACTGAATGTCCCACTTAATTAATCATGACAGTCAAATGTAAATCTTTTGTAGAGTTTTGATTCCGATGGGAAAAGCTCCTCACTGCAAAACTTACACAACATTATGAAACACTCCTTGCAAAGGATGACATTTCCTGCTCTGCATCATTACCACTGATTACCATGGCAGACATCACGCGAATTGTATTGAGAAATTACCACTGGGGGAAGCATCTTTACTTGACAGATATCACACAACAATCTTGTCTCTCCGAGTCAATCAACATCTGGAATGCACCTCAATCAACCACAAATGCACCATCAACATCCATTTAAAGCCCGGTTCATTCTTCACGTGAAAGCAAGTGCCAACCCGAAATTCATGTATTCAACAATGGTGGATGCGCTTCGAACGTATTGTTGACGTCACAAATTTTGCTTCACTTTTGCGTGAAGTATGAACTGGGCTTTAGTCAATGATCACCCAGGCAAACTGGTCTCCTAAACGTGTCCCACTCTCTCATCCAGCCTCAAGACATCCGGGAAAAACTTCTAGGACTAGGAACTTTGCCTGACCAAGTAGAGACTTAATGTACATGTACAACACACAGAGGAACAAAGGAGAAAGAAAGGGCCTTAGTGTGAGACGTGACAAATTGTTGAGAGAAGCAAATCCATCAACCAACACCTTCTCCCCTTTACAAAACCCCCAACCCTCCGCCAAATAACAGCCTAAAAAATGTACATGCACGTTTACTGAGACCTGCCCCACAGGTTCAAAACAAGAGTCATGTGGTAACTATTTCAAAGGCGGTACACCGACGTTGCCGAAACTCCCAAGAACCGTATCTTGGTTGGACAGGGTTCAGAAAAACCGGTCGCCAAATGTTAGATCAGCGATTAGGGCATAGCAGCTGACAGATCATGGCAAAAATAACGCTATACATTCCAAGGAAGTCAGTGATACAAATAACTGCCCCACATTTTTCTTGTTATGGACAGCCCCCTAAGAATGTTATTCAAAACGTTGCCTATAATTGAGGGCAATGAGGTCGCGGTTAAACTCCTTGAAATCTGGTTTCCTAATTGGATTTGCTCTGCGGGATCCGAGCTTCCTGGATGCCCCGAATGCACGCTAATACATCGCGGTGAATATTACTTCCGCTGCAACTTGTGAAAACAACTAAAAGGGAATTTTTTTTTTTTTAACTGTGATACTTGGATCTTTCCTTTTTTAAGTATTGTCTTGTTAAAACTACATTTTGTCGCGTCAGTGCAACAAGGTCGTAACTCCATTCTGCAACAAAGTCGTATCTCGCGCGATTACGCTCCGTGCAACAAGGTCGTATCTCGACATTTATTGACTTTGTGTGTACATCCGGGTTATTTTAAGTGAGATACGACCTTTTGACATTCTGATACTCGCGTTTCACGTACATGTACCGCCCATTTTAGGAGATACGACCTTGTTGCACGGACACAACGATTTTCAAGTATCACCATACACTTGCAAGGCCCCCTTCAATGGTGACACCATTGTGCACGCTACTGTACAAAGCAATTGTCAAGAGACGGATTGTCTGAACAATAGCTAGCACAATGCTTTCACCATTAATAGGCATGGAACTTGGAAATTAGAGGGAAAAAAACGAGGAAAGTCCAAACCACACCAGACTTTGTACAGTGTTTTTCAATTTGTGATGGCATTCATGAAAAGTAAAAAAAACGAGGAAATCAGCGGATCCGAGGAAAAGTTGCATGCCTACATTAAAGGGGGCGTTCGTGATAGAATTGATGACGTATCCGGATTGTTGCATAAAATAACAAAATAAGCAGTGTCCATTTCTCAGGCACGCAAAGGGGAAATCATATTAAATAAAGGAAATTCCGATCTTTACAAGACAGTCTGCAGTGTTTTTCACTTTTTTAATGGCAAAGAAGAGGAGCAAAACTAAGAGGAAATCAGCTGATTTTAGGATTTATTAATAGGAATGCAACTTAGAAATTAAGGAAAAAAAAACAAGGAAAGTCCAAACCACACCAGACTTTGTACAGTGTTTTTCAATTTGTGATGGCATTCATGAGAAGTCAAAAAACGAGGAAATCAGCAGATTCGAGGAAAAGTTGCATGGCTAGATTAAAGGGGGCCTTCGTGATATAATTGATGACATGTCAGGATTGTTGTATAAAATAACAAAATGAGCAGTGTCCATTTCTCAGGCACGCAAAGAGGAAATTTTTAATAAAGGAAATTCCGATCTTTACAAGACAGTCTGCAGTATTTTTCACTTTTTTTTAATGGCAAAGAAGAGGAGCAAAACTAAGAGGAAATCAGCTGATTTCAGGATTTATTAATCACAATTACATACATCTACATGGTACACATACACATAAGTGAAAACTTCTGGTAAGAAAAACATTATTTATCATTCTCCAAAAGCTCGAGATGACCGTAGTTTTCCTGTTTACTTCAAAGCCTCTTTTCCGCAACATCGACGACCACCATTCCCAAATGTCCGCTACTGGTGAAAAGCACATTTCATCGTCTATAAATACACTAGTCACAGCTTTTAACAATTTCCAATTTCGTCTCCTTTCGCTGCGTATGTGCACAAACAAGGAAGGGAGGTTAAAAACAAGAAGTTGTCACCTCTCCGCGTCCTTGCCGAAAACGTCGAGACAGATCCTGGAGAAGTCCGTAAAATGGGTTGCAGTATAAAGGAAACTAATAATTTTAGAAAGGAAGAAAGCAAAGCTGTTGAAACCTGAGTGGCTTTTTGAGAAACATGCTACTCTTACCAAAAAAAATATCAATCAAATGAACTTATCTATTAACTCTAACCTTCCCAAACCCTCCAAAATCCTCTTTTCAAAACGGAAGATTTTGCAGGATTGAGGCTATATATGGACAAAATGTGTGGCTGATTTTAAGGATGCGCTGTGTCAAGGTCTTGGGCCAGACCTTGTGTTGTTTATGCTCAGCCGTGCATAAATTTAGGCCTAGATTATAAATGTACTTGAAATCCTCCGCACTGCTCCAGGATGTCACTGCCTCTGCCTCAACACATTGACAGTGATTGCTGGAGGATTTTGCAGGATTGAGGCAGTGGTCACCCCTCCAAGGACCACATTCAAGAAATAACGGAGGAATTTGCAGGATTGAGGTTGTATGCAATTTTTACATGGAGGCAGTTGGAGGATTTTGCAGGATTGAGGTTGCATCCTAGCAAAAATGCCTAGGGAGTTAGGGTTAATAACTCTATAAAACACTTAGTGCAAATAGTCACTTTCTTTTTGCTGAATGGCAACCAATCCCCAAAGATTTTGTTTGAAACAAAGTTTATTGTCCAGAAACTATTACCAAATGTGCAGTTTGTGCACAGTGTATTTTTTCACCCACATTTTTTTTACTTTGACATATTCAGAACAAAGCCGGCAGGCCAAAACCTCAATTTCAATTTTTTAAAAGTATTGAAGAAACTTCATTTCAGAGACAAAACTTAAACAGAACATACTGGACTGGTGGTTGTATCTCATTACACTTGATGTTACAGCGCCAACTACGTGTATCTTTGTCATTATTCCCCCCACATGTAATGGCAATTCCTTCCAAAGGTATGAAATCCTAACATGTCTGTCTCTCTGTCTTACTGACTCAGCATCTTACTGATGTGGCATCTTCATGATCTCAGCATCTTAGAAGCTCACATCTTACTGACATCAGTATCATACTGAGTCAGCATCTTACAAAGTCAACTCTGATCGAATCAGAATGTTATGAACTCAGGTTGATACCATCACAGTGACTCAGCATCTTAAAGCCAAAATCCATCATTTGCAGCTATCCAAAAAGTAACTGACGTAATTATTGTTGAAAAACATACTTGGTGGAAAGATAGCAAGGGGACTATTATTCTTTATGGCAAGCTGTCATTTTGAAGAAATCAACAAAAGAATGCCTTTCCAACAGTGCGTCTTAAGAAGCACTGCTGGAAATTTCCGTTAGTATAGTTTTGTTTTTATTCGGCAAAGCGTGCGAAAGCGTTGACACGACGCACATGTGCGCGGGGTTGCTATAATTCATCGGATCAGTGCGCGACATCGCGTAGCTGCAATCGGCTCAGTGAGAAGCGTGCGAAAGCGTTGACACGATGCAAGAAATCAACGAGAGAAGGCCTTTCCAACGGTGCATCTTAAGAAGCACCGTTGGAAATTTCCGTTAGTATAGTTTTGTTTTTATTCGGCAAAGCGTGCGAAAGCGTTGACACGACGCACATGTGCGCGGGGTTGCTATAATTCGTCGGATCAGTGCGCGACATCGCGTAGCTGCAATCGGCTCAGTGAGAAGCGTGCGAAAGCGTTGACACGATGCAAGAAATCAACGAGAGAAGGCCTTTCCAACGGTGCATCTTAAGAAGCACCGTTGGAAATTTCCGTTAGTAGTTCTCTTTTTTATTTGGCGAAGCGTGCAAAAGCGTTGACACGATGCACATGTGCGCGGGGTTGCTATAATTCGTCGGATCAGTGCGCGACATCGCGTAGCTGCAATCGGCTCATTGAGAACGTGTCTCGGACACTGAATTCAGGCCCAATTCAAAACATGATTCAGCAACTTTTGAAATCAAGATCCTAGAATGCTGTTTTTCTCGGAATATACAGCTGAAGCTAAGCTGAAACTTCATCAGGTTAGTTGTTCAATACCCTTCTAAAGATTTTGAGCACGTTTGTTGCTTCAAACAAACAAAATGCACAAAATGGAATGAATAAAATGGACTATAGGCCCTACCTTTAAACGAAATCCTGTGGAATTTTAAAAGTTCAGTAAGACCTTACTAACCTTGAGGCGATACATGTCTACAGCTTCAAAATAATACTACACTTGTAGAGTTAGGTTCCTTTAAGTATTTTGGCCGTGTGGTACCATGACCGACCAACAAATGCCTCCTTGACAAGAGTATGGATCCAGGGATGTTGGCCAAACAGCTGCTCAGCACTGAGAGAGAGAGAGAAACCTGTTTGCGCAGAGACGGCCCAAGCCAGACTTAGACTTCCCCCTTCAACCTCAGATGGCTGTCTGCGATAATGTTCTCAGGCTTCCCGTTGTGTAGTTCTTTTTTTCTCCACCAATTGTATTAATTTATTGTTGGGGGAAATAGGACGAACATTAATGTAAGACAGATGTACATCCTGATATTTTTTTTTTTAGTGAGAATGTCAGAGAATGTATTGAATGTCACCGACTGTTTGTGTGGAAGCGCAGTGTAGGAAGTCGTTTGGAAGGGAGAAAAGGCTAGACTTGCTCGAAGACTCAGCCAGGAGCTTTGGATAATGAACGACAATGGTTCAATTATAGTTCAGCTACAAAGAAATCTTGCAGAGTATTATGAGAACAGCTGTGATATTATCTAGGGATGTCCCGAATTTACCGAATATTCCGTCGGAAAACAACTATTTGAATAGCTTTTTGTCGGTTTGAATATTCGGAAAAGGAAAAAACCACGCACACTATACACACACTACTGTGGTGCCATTCTATCGTGAAGTTACGGCACTTTATTGCCAGGTGCCACTTTTTTGTCGACGGTAACTTTTTTGTTGACAGCGGTTCGTTGTTGTCCATCCTTTTGGAAGGTTAAAAGCCCTTGACAGTTATAAAATACAGAAAAACACTCCGGCCGCCCATATTAATCGCCGCACGGAAATTGTAACTGGCGCAGTCTCTGCGTGCAAATTTCAACCGGCACGACACGCAGTTGCAGCTGGCAGTTTCTCAAATATCCGAATATTCGGTCAAATGCAGTTTCGAGTAATTGAATACTAAATTATTCGAACGTGGACAACCCTAATATTATCAACATCATTTTCTGCATTAAATGGCTATACATTATTTCTGTTCTTGGTCATTCTTGAAGTTGTATGCCTCTAAGTGATATATACGTTACATGTACATGTATGTGAGTGGGCTCTGACATTTTTGCAGGAAATTTGAGGCATGCAAGAATTTTAAGTACGACCACATGCAAGGTACCAATATGTTTTCTACAATTTTATGAAAAAGCCTGAATCTTGTAAATGCTGAAGGTCTTAAGTGTACACTCCTGGCATCTGATAATTTCCTGCTGTCATGTTAATCATACACTTGTTACAAGTGAGGAAGTAAATCTTGATTGCACCAATTAACTGCTTCCCTGGATGCAGCCTTGAGTTTTTGGTCTTACTCACTTAATTCTCTAAAAGTGTGTTCGCACTGGACTTTCTTTTGGTAAAACTAACTCAGACTGGTGACAACTTTACGGAGGTCGTCAACTGAACCAAATTATGACCTGTATTTTTAATTGTACATGTACATTACATACCTGCTGAATATACAATGTACATGGAGCATTTTTCTGTCAAATCCATTTTCAAAAACCCCCCTCATTTTTTTAACGACATAACTGATTTAAGTGTGGTCGCTTGTATAAACTTGTGTGTGTGACCCCCAATTTTATTTTTATAAAGATTTTAGGACAGGTAGGGCCGACTGTATGTTTATTTTACAGAGCATATATTTGAAGAACCTTTTTGCGATTACAGACGGATGGTTGATAACAGTTGAATTTCAAACACAAATAAATTGCATCATAAACATTCTTATTATTTCCAAACTAACGTATCAAGTTGCACAGATGTGTATTTTAGTTTCTCTATGATGACTTGTAACTGAGTCACTGTCTTGCTATTCAGAGTCTATATACACTGGGATGATTGATATCAACATGTTATGCCTCGGTGTAATACTGGATGATGTCTGTGTGTACACACGGACCTACTTCAGAACTTCAGTGTGCAAAGCACACAGTACCAGGGTACGTAGCTTTGAACCCTGACAGGGGATATGATGGTGCTTGTGTTCTTGGGCAAGACACATTACTACAATTGCCTCTGTGGAGTATAATGGGTACCTACCTGTGAGAGTAGTTCATAATTTTAGTACATATTTTGCACTGTGCCATAGTATTCCAACGAGCGCGAGTGGAACACGGAGTAGTGCGTCTGTGTCCCACTTTGGCCTCGTGGTATGTGGGACACAGACGCACTACATTCTTCCGTGTTTCACGAGCGCGAGCCCGATAACGAATTTATCTTCAAGCAAACTTGATGCACAGTAAAGATGGAACACACGTGGTAAACAATATGACTCACGAGTCACAGCGTTTAGTACAAGTCATGGACTGAGTCCGAGTCTTTAGCTGATGTGACTTGAGTCGAGTTCGAGTCACTAAAATTGCTACTCAAGACAGACTCTTGTCCCGGATTCCAGTCCCACAACACTCAAACTTGAGTTTAACAAACAATATTTGGAGTGTGGGTTGGTGGGGGGGGGGGGGGGGGGGGGAGGGTTGTCAGCCCACTACAGGGGGGAGTGTGTGGCCTAGTGGTTAGGGTTCATGACTCATGATCAGAGGGCCCGGGGTTCGAATCCAGCCGCTTGTCATATAATGTGTCCTTGGGCAAGGCACTTCATCCCCACTTGCCCCTCTCCACCCAGGAGTATAAATGGGTACCGGCATTAGCTGGGGAGTAACCTGCGATGGACTAGCATCCCAACCAGGGGGAGTAGAAATATTCTCAGTCGTTTCATGCTACTGAAACCGGAGATAAACGCCGGCCTGATTAGCCACATTGGCTCGGGACAGACTTTACTACTACTTTTGGGTTGGTGCGGGGGGGAGGGGGGGGGGGGGGAGGGGGGAGGGTTGTCAGCCCACTACAGCTTGGTTCCGGTAGTGACTCAATGTTTGGTATTACATACGGTACATGAACCGGTACATAGAATACAGTACAGTGATGATACGCACTTTAAGCCACAGCGTGTGACTCATGTCCTATGGGTGTTGCCTCCCAGTCATAATAAGCAATTGTTATTGAAGGCACTCGCCAGACAAATATTGCATCATCATGCTCATAGTCTTAAGGTTTCATTAGGCTGTCTGAGAAGGCAAATCACCTTGTACGATGACTATGTGGGCACGTACATGTAACCGCAAGTTTCGTTTACGGGGAATTGGCTTTTTCCTGTGCTGTCAATGTTATGCAAGTTTGTCCGGATTTTACTTCGCTATGCGAGTTGCACTGTGACGTCTTTAACAAAACGCACATAGGAAATTACGGCATATGGCAGGTATGGAAGAAAAAGTACAATGTATATTAACCATGATATCTACTTAATGATTCAGACAAATGATCCCAAACTCCTAGTCTGTTATCTCCTTGACCATTAGGCCTACTAGACGATTTACCGTTCAGCCAACAAAATTCCAATGAAGTTTAAGGATACTCAGCAAATATTCAAAGAGAAAGAAAATGAATCAGAGTCATCAGTAAGAGAATAAAGTCTTGTACTCACGAGTCTCTGTATGTCTCTTCTGGCATCTTTTTTGAGCTGTTCCAACTCCCTCTGATGCTCCCCCCACTGCCTCCTCAAGTCGGCCGCCCTCTGCCGATCTCCTGCCACCGCATCATTGAGTTCCTCCTCCACCTTGCGCTTGCCTCGCCTCAGCTCGTCCATCTCGGCCAGCAGTTTCCCTTTATCCATCTCAAAGGTCCGCTTGACCTCCTCTTTAGCCTCGGCCCAGACCTGCTGCTTGACCTTGAGGTAGTGGGTCTCTCTCTCCCGTTGGGCCTCTCCCTGGGTCCTGGCCAGCAGCTCCTGCTTCTGCTTCAGCAACCGGTTGATCTCCTGGTCGTGCTGCTTCTTGAGCGACTCCCGCAGGGCGGCCAGCTCCCGTTGCTTCTCGTGACCCAGCTTGGATCTCAGCTCGCTGAGCGACTGCGTCGCCTTCTGCTGCTCCTGGTCCCGGACGCTCTTGACCTCGGAGAGCTTCTCCCGTTTCAGCTCCTTGACGTGAGCCTTCTCCGCCTCCAGGTCCTTTTTCAGGTGGCTGACGTGGGCTCGCAACTCGTCGACCACCACGCGGAGGTTGGCATTCTGAGCCTCCGCAGACGAACCTGGCACATACATTGTCTTACCGCTCCTTGGGGTAGCTTTTGGTATCTTTGAGCTGGACATTGCTCACACTCTTCACATCAACGCTGTATAAGGCACTAGGAAATTTCCAAATTTGGGGCAGAATCCCAACCACCCTCTACTGCAGCACCTCTACTAGTTTTGAAGCACCCCGATTTTGACGGCGTCGTTTCGTGTAGTTTTTGCATAGATAATTCTCCATCTCACCTGCAAAAATAACAAAATCTAAATCAATTTTTCACTTACATGTATGTTCTTTCTCAGTGGGACACATTTTTATGAATGTCTTTGATAGCAAACATTAAGCTTGTTCTACACCTTGTATAGATGGATCAACTCCCCCACTTTCACTATCAGTTGTTTTTTTAAGGAAGAAATTTTTCTAATAAGCCACTTTTTTCTATCATAAACCTCAAATGTCAGTCATTATAAAATAGTAAGAGTTTTAAACTAATTGAGGAACAAAGTTGAGACTGAAACAATTCTCGAAGAAAATGCTCTTAAAAATAAAAATGTAGACTTTTTTATCATGCATATCTATCAAAGTATATGTACATGTAGCCTACAGTAGTGTGCAGTTGATGTTGAATGAAAAAAATAATAGGAGAATAATTTTTAAAAAAGTGACAAAAGTCAAAACTCAAAATTCTTTTTAACGTGCCCTCCCCATAACCATTCAGGCTAGGAGACATTGTAGTATGCGGAGCACCATAGTTCTAGTTTGGGGCCCCTTTCTAAGATAGAGTAAGTAAGACAACAAACGTAACCCACTTTTTATATGTTAAAAACAAAACAGCAGGCGATGTTGAAAAGCAACAGGAATGCCATGGAAAGAGATTAGGGTAGGGAATTTACATAAAGCATGAGTTAATGAAGACAAAATACAAGTTTACAACATGAAAATGAATATGGTGTCGTGTAGCCCCACTAGTGTGGCCGTCGGTATGCTGCGCTGAACCCAAGGCCACACACCGTGGTCTGCGCACTACTGAGGACGTTTTCATAATTTCAACAGCGAATTTCTTACATATGGTTGTATTCTACGATGTCCCAACTTTCACTTCTGGGATGCTTGGGTGTAATGATGTTCAATTTTCCAAGATATTCTTGAATCTTTCTGGAGCCCATATGCACTCGTGAAACGTCTGGTGATGGCAGCCATTTTGAATGTGACAAGAGATGACCTCAAGCTGTGACGTCGCGTTTATGCAAATTGCTTGTCGAGCGAGGGTGCGAGTTGCAAATGCGACGGCTGTTTCCTGTACCATGCATTTATCGTCTGGGGGCCACGTGCACTGATCTCTATTCAGGATCTACGGCACAGGAAACAGCCGTCGCATTTGCAACTCGCGCCCTCGCTCGACAAGCAATTTGCATAAACGCGACGTCACAGCTTGAGGTCATCTCTTGTCACATTCAAAATGGCTGCCATCACCAGACGTTTCACGAGTGCATATGGGCTCCAGAAAGATTCAAGAATATCTTGGAAAATTGAACATCATTACACCCAAGCATCCCAAAGTGAAAGTTGGGACATCGTAGAATACAACCATATGTAAGAAATTCGCTGTTGAAATTATGAAAACGTCCTCAGTAGTGCGCAGACCACGGTGTGTGGCCTTGGGTTCAGCGCAGCATACCGACGGCCACACTAGTGGGGCTAGGTTACTCCTAGAACTATGAGGCTCCACGTAGTGGAGCCTCATAGGTTCAGAAGCCCGCAAAATTGTTGTCAGCACAAAACACTAATTAAGTACAAAAACGTCCATCCCAAGCAGGCCGTTTTCCACAGAACCGCTGCACAGTTTGCCCCTAAACTCCATACAATACCTCATGACATACTCACGTTATGTGCACCCAACAAACATCGGTGGATTCTGTCTGTTTTTCGGCAAAAATGATGAAAAATATGCCCTTTCTGCACTGAGCCAACCTAACACTTGAAACGAGCACGCGTGCAGAATGATCGCAGTTATTTTCGGTTCGATCGCTCGGAGCGCGCCGCGGGGGGTACGTACTTGCACTTGTACGCATGTGCATACTATCGTTCCGCTCCTACACCATACCCCCCGCGGCGCGCTCCGAGCGATCGGACCGAAAATAACTGCGATCATTCTGCACGCGTGCTCGTTTCAAGTGTTAGGTTGGCTCAGTGCAGAAAGGGCATATTTTTCATCATTTTTGCCGAAAAACAGACAGAATCCACCGATGTTTGTTGGGTGCACATAACGTGAGTATGTCATGAGGTATTGTATGGAGTTTAGGGGCAAACTGTGCAGCGGTTCTGTGGAAAACGGCCTGCTTGGGATGGACGTTTTTGTACTTAATTAGTGTTTTGTGCTGACAACAATTTTGCGGGCTTCTGAACCTATGAGGCTCCACTACGTGGAGCCTCATAGTTCTAGGAGTAGGGCTAGGTGTCGTGATACTACTGACACCACAGTACAGTGCACAGTGCCAGCTCACACGCGAAAGCCGCAAGCGCAAAACAAATGTAAAACCTGTAGGCCTACCCCGGTCCGGTTACAAAATGTAAATTACACAACTACCAACATGTCTGTTAGCAAAAGGTACGTTAATCCAAACAATCTCGTAGAATACCGGAAGAAATCAAGAATAACGTTTTAAACAGCTCAGTACTCACCCAGCACTCGCCCGTTGCTGACGACGCTTCCCCATCTTGTGTTAAAAAGGGGATGCACGGTATGTCGCGGGTAACCCGTAATCTATTACGCACGACCCATAGCAAAACAATGACTCGCGGACTACCCGGAATCTGTCAATTATAACTGTCTTCAACAGGTGGCGCTGTTTTTATAAACAGGTGGATTGTGCGCACACCATACAGAGTAGGCCTACGTAGCGGGCAGGGCGGGTAATTTGGAGGGGGGGGGGGGCTTTTGATCAAGACATTTGTTTTCGGCAATTAGGCAATTCCAAACGTTTGTCCAGAATTTTCCCAGGGTGTTAGTAAAATTTCCTATGTAATCTTGGCCTCTCAACAAAAACAGAGTAATTGGCGATGATATAATATTGTATGCAATATGTGCCGCAGCACCTTGTAAACCCTTATATAAAGGTGCTACATAATGGGTCTCATATTTATCATTTACTTCATTTACCCGTCTTTCAAAATAGACATAGTTACCAGCCCCTTGAGTACCTAATTGTTGCTAGATAAGACTCCGGTATTTTTTATTATTTATCAAATTTAACTCTAACTACTTTAAAGAAGTATTCCTGTGCTATTTTTGAGTTCCATCTTGACAAATAGAATTTTCTTTTTCAATTTCTATTTTCCTACAAATATGCAAGTTTTCCCCTTTTGAATAAGACATCGAACGAAAAAATCCCTTGGTTAGTTTTGGTTACTGACTTATTTCTACACAAGAAATCAAATTATTGGCTGCTAGAAAATAATTCGGCTTTCGCAAGGGTGGTTCATTTGTGCGCAAAACGAAATTCCTTTTTTCAGAGGGTTGGAGATGCCCAATGATAGGAATATTTTTTTTCTTTAAAGCAAAACAAAACATACAAATTGAAAATCTATTTTTTGAAGAGCACAAGGTGTCATCAGGTAATCTGTTCGGTTTGATTTCTTCAAAACTGTGGTCCTTCATTCAATCTTTTTAAATACAGAAATAATTGAGCATTCATTTTGCTATTGTTCTACAAAGGTGACAAGTCTATCAGGAATGGTGAAAACGGAAAACTTTTCCAAAAATTATTTTAGGTGGGCTTTATTTTATTTCAAAATGACATTTACACCTATTAACAATATTATTATTTTATACATATTTACAATATCTACATGGATAATTACTATAACATTTATGTACATGTACTTGCTTTTTTATTCAAATCAAAGTCAAAGTTGGCTTGAAAGTTCGGCCACATTTTTAAAGTTTAGGGTAATTTTGTACCAGCTGTAACCAGCATAATTTGTGTCGTTTCAGTTCATTGTACATAATACATTATGAGCTGTTTACACACAAAAAGAAGAAAATATCATATCTCTCTAGAGTTGAGATTTTTCAAAGAATTCCTTCATTACATTGGAAAGCTACATGTTCTCGCCATGCCACCTTGCTCTATTCAATAACATAATTTCCCTGCTAAATTTATTTTAACAAAGTTGTATTCCGAAGCAGCCTGTTTATTTAAATCACATAATGTAAATATATAGGGTAAAAAAAATAAACATTGGAAAAAACCCACATTCCTTCCTTTAATAAATGTTGACATTATAAAACAATCTTTCGTGCATCTCAAAAACATTTCTCAAAAAAACCCCCAAAAACCCCAAAGAAATGGATAACCCGAAAGACTGATATTTGTTCACATGTCTACCTCTGGCTAGTCTATGGAATGTCCCTTTGCACGGCCAGGGGTCTATGATATGCGAGCAGATTTGGCGATTATAGATTATGCATCTTGACTTTGAGATTCTGACCATTAATTCAGCCGGCGCCCTCTATCGGGTCTTTCATAACCTGTTGTTGTATTACAAAAACGTGTCAGCCAAATTGACAAATCAACAGCTTAGTCACACATTTCTGATTGAAATGACGTCACAATTTCTAAAGTCGACTCTGGCTGGCTCGCGGGGTTGATTTTAATTTGCATTGCTCACATATACCAGACGTTGGTTACAGAGATGGCTCTGTTGAACAACAGGTGACACTTTGCTTGCGTTCGAGCGTGCTAAGTCTCGTGTTAACATGAGTATACTCCCGAGTGCACGAACGGCAGAAGTACGACCCTGCACTCGGGAGTAGCAAGAGTAACATGCTCGAACGCACCCTCAGACTCTACCTCCGCCAGCTACTTCTCAAAACCCCAATCCTCACAGACTCTTCGAAAGAAATTCATTTTTGTGTGTGTGCATAATTGAGGGAGATCCCAGTCACTAGAGGCCTTTTCACATCGTCGTCTCCAGGGATGTAGTCCATCATCAAGTCCCCGCAAGTCCATCACAACTCCTCCAGTCCCAATTCAAATCAGAAGCTCTTCAAACGAGCTTTGACAAAGGCGTTCCTTTGTTATTGTTCATCCACTGTTACTTGTGACTGGACTTGCAACTGGACTTGCGACTGGACTTGCGACTGGACTTGCGACTGGACTTGGGACTGGACTTGGGACTGGACTGGAGATGGACTTGCGACTGGACTTGGGACTGGATTTGTGACTGGACTTGTGATGACTTGAGATGGGCTTGTGTTGGAGCTGTGACGGACTCGACTACATCCCTGTCATCTCCTCTACCCGTGTTGAAATCAACACAGGCCCACCATAAGCGGAACTGGGTCTCATCAAACACGGGTAGGCGAGGCACACCATTCACTCTTAGACCGGTGTGTACACGGGCCGGCTGTAGAGTTTAGATTTTTACTCGGGTAGAACCTCTCAACCTTGGCCCGAACCAGGGTTGGATTTTACCCGTGTAGAGCGCTGGACCAAGGTAGAAGCCATGTTGGATTGATGCTAGTGTGAAAGGGGGCCTGAAATGTGTGTGTTGGACCCGGGTCCAAGATTGAGATTTTAGACAGTGTGAAAAGCCCTTATTACTTCACATGGGGTTTGATACCCCATGAAAGTTAGTACAAACAATATGCCATTATGTTCTTACACAGATTTTGGAGAATCCTGGAAGGTTCTTGGAGAAAAAAAAAACTGGAAAGAATTGGGTTCCAATAATCCATTTAGTAATAGTCTTTGGTATCTCAAACAGCTGCATGATTAAGGGTAAGAATAAGCGGAGGTAGAGCTCAAGCATTCCTACTAAGATGTATCGACTATTCGTTATCCCACGAGCGCGAGTGGAACACGGAATAATGTAGTGCGTCTGTGTCCCACATGCCACGAGGCCAAAGGACGAGTGGTATGTGGGACGCAAGACCCACTACATTTCTGTGTTCCACGAGCGCAAGTTTATTGTTTTATGTTAATGTACTAAATGCCTGTGCAAAAAGATAATCTAAAAATGTCAAGTTCACGGACCCCTACTGCTTATTGCGATGCACATGGTTACCGATGATGCAACCTCTTTAGACTGGTTCCATTAAATTGACAAGACTTGTCTGCCCACTGTGAACAAGACAAGGTTTGGAGCTATGTAGTTCACTATTAGTTCCAGCAGGAACTTGCTCCTCGAAATACCCTACATGATTTTTACTTGGCAAAATAAGGGTGTATGAGTCAGCCAGGGGTTATTGTTTGTGGAACAAAGAAAACTGAAGTGGTATGGCCACGGGACAAGAGCAAAATGGACTGGCAAGCACCATCCTCCAGGGCACAGTGAGAGGAAAGAAGGAGACCAGGGAGGCAGACAAAGAAGACGGGAGACAGCATCCATGATGACTGGACCGGATTGGACTTCGCCCAGTCGCAATTTGTAGCCAGAGACTGCCAGGGATGGAGGAAGCTTACCCAGACTGCAACAGCTGTGACACCCCCACGACCATACGTGGTTACGAGACGAAAGAAGAAGAAGATGGGCCAGCAGGGGATATCACTTTTGTTTCATAAATCTTGTAGATGCTTTGTTATTCATAATGAGCTCAACAGAAAAGTGCCACACTTTTGGCCGAATGTTAGCCGGTTCATCCGTTTTTGTCGGCAGCGGACTTACTGGACTCCACCTGGTAGTGTAGAACCATGGGAGCTGCCTGCAGTGAAAGAGGAATACAATTTTTTTAAGTTGTATTTTTCTCTGGATGGTTTATGAATCCATCACATTATATGGTGCATGGGCGGACTGATTAACCCTTACAGAACTCAACCCATCAAACCCCAACGGCATGTTTTGTTGGAATCTGTCAGGATAGGTACAGTACCCCTAAACTGACAGTCTTTTACATTGGGATGGCACACCTCTAGAATCAAAGTCAGAAATATGTGTGTACAGTTTCCAATATGGTGTTGGAATTTGCTAGGATGGGTATGGTTCCTAGTAAATCATGCTAGGGAGTTAGGGTTACGCCAGCTGGCTGAGACCACAGTATTGCAATGTTCCCCACAATTTTTCTAATGCATCCAGAAAATGGCGTCATTTACAGCACACTACATCCTATTGGAAAGTAAGCTATGAACATACCTTGCCCTGCCAATGGGCTAACCACACGTACTTCATTGGCTCATCCTCGTACAGAATATGGTCATCACAATAAAGATTGATCTGTTGATAAAAAGAAATAACCAAAAATTACTTGGAAGATGTTATTTACAAAAACCATCGTTCACTTTTGCGGCAAGATCCTCAAAAAATATTTCCCCTTTTTTTAATACACTGTACACATTATCATCAACGTTTTTAGACCCAACTTTTTTTCAAGGGATAGATTGGTCTGCATTTTTTTCCTCACGGAAACTTGACCGTTAAATACAAGCTTTGGGTAAACAAGAGTGGCATGGTCTTTAATAGCTTGTAAGAAGGACTTTTGTGTCGGATAGATGAGATACAAATTTTAATATCAAGTTTTGCGCTTTTTCCATGATTTTATTAGTGTAATTCCAGCGGAACGGACAATACAAATCAGACGTTTTAATTGTGCCTTTAGTTCTGGATCATTTCTCTGAATCATTAACCCTAACCACCCCAACTCCATCAAAATCCATCACCCCATTTTGGTGGGTTTTAGGGCACTTGGTCCAGAAGGCCTGGCATGACTAAATATTGATGGAGTATGATGGACTTCGGCCTAATGGCCTGAAGCAGTGCTAGGGTTATCTGGTTTTGCCTGGCTTCCTGTACTGCTATTGTGATAAAAGCCATGTGTAGCAAGTCCATGAATGTCAACCAGTGCGTCAGTGGTGGATTCCATTATGTCATGTACAGTTTTGTATTGGAAGCACAGTGATTGATGGATTTTGATGGACTTGGTCCAGTTCCTTGTAAAAGACGCTAGGCAGTTAGGGTTAATCAGATATCGTGCTCGATTGGCTCAGTCACGGACATTACATTTTCTCCCATAATGCTGGAAAAGACCATTAGCTCTGTATACTCGGTCCAAGAACTTGTCAGAAAAAAAGAAAAAAAAGTTTGCTCGGGCAGGACTCGAACCCACAACCTCCTGCTCACTAGTGCCGACACATCAGTGAAGGGCAAAACTCAATATTACAAATACTCTATATAATTTATTTGTAGACTTCCTATGTATATTACTGACCTCCATTCTGTCTGGGATTGCCAGCTTCTTGACGAGCAGTTTCTGCAGGTGGGAGACGCAAGCTCGCACCGAGCAACGGATGTACCGCTTCTGAAGGACTGTACATGTATATGCTCCCTCATGCTCGCCAACTATCTGATATCTGCAGAAACAACAAACACAAACTTGTTTCAAGAAAATCTTACTATTGTTGTATTACAGTTACACTCACAAACTGAAAGAATTTACAGTGAAATCTCGATAAGTCAAACCTCAAGGGAACAGGTTAAAAATTTGACTTAAAGGGAATATACATCATTTGCTTTTGCCGTAATTTTCAGAAATGGATGGAATTGGGGGTTGGAAATATATAGCAAATATAGTTACACCGACTTTTTTGAGGTTTTGGGTTCGAAAATGCTATAAAAACCAAGAAAAACAATCATTTTCCTGTAGTCTGGTTCCCTGACTCCATATAAGAAGAAACAGAGCAGTTTACATACATTGGGGAATTGTAAGGTCAGGGAACCAGTCTAGCTGGCTTGTACCCGTTCATAGGTGTGTAATCGATTGCAAACAAGTGCGATAGTCAATTGGGGCAAGTATTTGGGAAAAAAGCCAGTTTTTTCCAACGTTGGTCAGTCGACCAGCGTTGGAAATTGATACGAAAATACCACTTTTCTTGAAAATGACAGTATACCAGGTGCCATGATTTTACAGGATGCTTTACACTGTCATTCACTAACAGTCCAGCAAGGTATTTCAAAATGATTTGGTAGTTTTATTTTTTTATGTTTGCGAATGTTGTATTTTCCCTTTAAGCAGAGTTTTGAGTTAAGCAGGGTTGTATATCATTGTTATACTACTGAAGGCAATAGATTCTTTGTTTGACTTAACAGTTGTTTTGAGTTGTCAGAGTTTGACTTATCGAGATTTCCCTGTAGTAACAGTCAAACTAACACACTGCAGGATGCCCTCCATGCTGCAACCTGTGTCTAAACTGTGCCAACCTGTCAACATGCGCCTAACAAGGAATGATTGTTGCAGCTCTGAAAAAAAAATTGTGAAGGAAACAGAACATTCAAGCCACTCAAAAATCAAAGTCTAACATTTGGAACAATTTGTAAATGGAATTTGATTATTTTCGAATAACTGGCTGGGATAGCCCACAAAAGTCTTTCCACTTATTTCCAGAGGGGTCTCTTGGTACATGTAGAAGATGTGGAAGGAAATCACAGTTTTAGCGGTGGGAGGAAAAAACCCAGAATATTCTAGGGAAAAGCCACGGAATCAGGCAGGGATGGAAACCCAATCCACATGTTGGCCCAGGCGGGATTCGAACCCGGGTCACAGCGGTGGAAGGCGAGGAAAGTACCGCTACGCAAACCTGATCCCCTAAACATTACATTTATAGAACAAAAGAGGGCGCTCACCTGTACTTTTCCAGACACAATGACACCTGTTCATCATTCCGGTAGAAGTGGCCGCCGGACGGATCCAACTTGCCACTGAATGACTTCTGCTGCACTTTACTCTGTACTTTGTCCAAGCCTCGCGCTCGATAGAAGTCCCTCTTTCTTCGTTCCTCACCTACACACAAAGGAATATTTTAATTATTTTAAATTAAATTAATTAATTTATCAAATATACCACACTGACTAGGTTCACTCTTAATTATTTGTACTGTCTGTGAAGTCCCACGTGTCAATTTTGCACTCATCATCGTGAAAATTCCAGACAAGTTTACTTTTTTTTTTCTTTTTTTTTTTTATATTTTAAAAATATTGTAGTACTCTCTTACTATTCTGAAAATTAGGAATTTTTGACAATTTCAAATATTTTGAGCTACAAACAAGGGACATTTTTTTACTTAAAAACATTTAGTAAAACAAAGAGTGCTACTATCTGAACTGTTGAATTTGAAAGAAATTGGGTTTTAAATTATCACGAAATACCTAACTGGATTGTTAGGGAATGACAGTCAAAAGCATCCTGTAAAATCGTGGCTCCTGGTGTGCTGACATTTTCAAGAAAAATTGTATTTTTCCAATGCTAGTTGGCCGACCAGCATTGGAAAAAAATGGCTGTTTTCAAAAACTGCTCCTAATTTTTCATAATTAGTTATTCCGCATTTTCTTTGCAATTGATTACACACCTGTGAAGAGGTACAAGCCTGCTAGACTGATTCTCTGACTTTACAATTCCCCAAAGTCTATAAATTGCTCCGTTTCATCTTAAGTGGGGACAGGAAACCAGACTACAAGAACATGCTTAGTTTCCTTGGTTTTTCCAGCATCTACAAGCCCAAAACATGAAACAAGTCAGTTGAACAATATTTTCTGTAACATACTAATCCTCCAAATCCATTTATTCTGAAAATTGCAGCAAAAGCAAATGTGGTACATTCCCTTTAAGCACTAATACAGGCATTATCCTGCTGGTCAAATGTGAAGAACGGCTCCACAGATAGCCCTGTGTGCTTACTTTCAAAGAGATTAGGCACCAGACCGTAGACGACATCTTGCATGGTTCTGTCCGGCCTGAGATTGATAAGGGGTTGCGTCTCGTGGATCTTGATGTTGCACATTGGGCACTGCTTGGACATCTGCAGATACTTCACAATGCAGCTCTTGCAAACTGCAGGAAGGCAAGACTCAAATTTTAGATAAAAAAATGTTTCAGACGTCGGGGCTCAAATGGCTGGTCCTAGCGGGCCAGCCTTGGCAGCCTAGCGTCCTCTTTGTATGCACATCTCGCACAACAAGTTTGGAACTAAGCAGTTTTAAAGATATAGTCTATCATTGTAATTTGTGCATTTTGTTCGTTTGAAGTAACAAAAGTGCTCAAAATCTAAAGAAGGGTACTGAACAACTAACCTGATGAAGTTTCAGCTCAGCTTCAGCTGTATATTCCGAGAAAAACAGCATTCTAGGATCTCAATTTTAAATCAGATGTTGCTGAATCATGTTTTGAATTGGGCCTGAATTCAGCGTCCGAGACACGTTCTCACTGAGCCAATTGCAGCTATGCCATGTCGCGCACTGATCCGACGATTTATAGCAACCGCACGTGTGCGTGCGTCGTGCCAATGCTTGTGCGCGCTTAGCCGAATAACAATTTCCTACGGTGCGTCTTAAGAAGCACCATTGGAAAGGCCTTCTTTCGTTGATTACTTCAAAATGACAGCTTGCCAGAAAGAATAATGTCACAGGGAGTTTAGTCCCCTTACTATCTTTCAACCAAGTATGTTTTAAACAATGATTACACCAGATAGCTGCAAATGATGGACTATAGCTTTGAATTATAAAATTTGCGGGTAACACCATGTGGGAAAGATATCTCTTCTTGGAAGAAGTGTGGTTCTGGAAAGAACCGGTCGGTTGAGTGTAGAACTCAACTTTTCGAACAGTGTGCTCTGTCCGTTCTCAGGACGTCGAGTAGAAACGTCAAGTTGTACACTCAACCGACCGGTTCTTTTCAGAACCACACCTCTTTTAAGAAGAGATATCTTTCCACATGGTGTTGACCGCAAACTTTATATTTTAAGCAGTTTTAATTATCATCCTTGTTTGGACATTTCTCGGTGAACAAAAAATCTTAAATTGTTTTGTCACGGAAAGTTTCTGGTTCAATTTGATACCTCACTTGGGAACACTGTGTAAACAATAACGAGATCACAAGTGCTGAAGCTTGTGAAACCCCAAACCTAAAAGTTGCACTTAGCGAGATTTTCAATGGACATTGCAACACTCAGAGCCGGCTACAGCTAGCCCACATCCCCCTGGCCATGCCCCATGAGTAATTGCGTCATTCAAAACGTTTATCATTGATGGAAGAGGGCTAGTATTGGGTTCAATGCTCCATGCCTCATGGCTGCAAATTGCTCAGCTGATCGGTTTGTCTCGGACTCTCCGTATAACGTGTGTGAGTTACCTGCCATTGTTTTGACCAGCTAGAATGAATGTCCTGGGCCTTCACGCATTTGAATTCCTATGGAGCCGATTGTCGGCTCTGGGCTTTTTGCACAGAGGATAGATAATTTAATCTAGAACCGATTCTTCTGGAGCCGGAACCGAGCATAGCGGGTACCTGGTTCTTGAAAAAATTGGACTCACGGTTCTGATTCTCACATTGGAACCAGTTAGAAACGGGGAACCGCTGGAACTGCCCAATACTAGTACTCACACGTATGGAGGCATTCTGTGATGGTGGTAGCATCGATGAAGTATCCTGCGCACAAGATGCAGACGATGTTCTGGTTCAAATTCTTAATCTTCAATTTCAGCTGCGGCTGTACAGAAGTGACAATATATACCAACGGATTATAGAAGGAGTTAACAGTTAACCCAACCGTGTTCGAAGGGCAGACCTCATTGGAACAAAAGATCCAATCCTTCTTTCTTCACCATTTGTACTGACCTAGGAATCAGTTTAGGCAACGTTGTTCAATCAAATTCTCCTTGTCTTTTGTTTTTGTGATGTTGGCTTGAATCACACCAGAGGAGGCACGTGTATATGTTTAAAGTTTTAGGTTACACACTAATTATATCCAATTATATATACAACAAAAAAAAAAATGGGGGGGGGGGGAGGTGGGTATTGTAATATATTTGCTAATTATAGATCTTTTTAATAAACCACAGTGGAAATTGGTTGAATGACTGCAGTAGACTATGAACCATCAAGTACAGACTATGTTTTACACACTGCCACACTAGGGGCACGTGGGTCAAGTCATGATTCTGTGTGATTTGGTTCATCAATACTCTGACTCAGGGGTGCATAGATTACATAAAAAAAATCCTGTATTTCTCAACATTTTCTCGAATTATCAGTTTTAGAGGGGGCAGGGACATTTCGCCCCCCCCCCAACCCATTAAATTTACACCACTATGACTTCGCGCCTCTTTTTCTTTTTTTTTCTTTTCTTTTTTTCTTCTTTTCCGGGGGGGGGGGGGGGGGGGGGGGGGGGGTGGGGGGCAAGCGCCCCCCCTTGCCCCCTCCTTGGACGCCCATGTCTGAGCCAGAATTGGCATACAGGGGGAAACATATTTATTTTCCGTTGAGCATACCTCTTCATCTGTACCTCCATATCTGAACATTTTTGGGCACACGTTGACAACCTATCAATATTGCCGGACTCAACTGAAAAACAAAAGAAACAAACAAATGCCATGACGGAAAATGACCTTAAAAGTTTATATTAAAGGTCATTACCCTGTTACTTAACAAACAAAGTAGAGGGAACATTTTGACTTTTAACCAATTTGTAAAGTGGCACTTTTTGGAAACTACAGTCTTTCTGCATTTCGTGTATGCTTTTCCTGTTGGTTGCTACCCCTAGAACTATAGGTATTCATGGTATTACGAGTAATACCCATAGTTCTAGGGGTAGTTGGTTGCAACGTTCTTTTTATAGCTTCACGGTCGCAATAACCACAATTGACAAAAGGGTTTATATGGTGAACGTAAATTTGCTGTAACTTTGATCTGTTTGTCCCATATTGATGAAATAAATTATTTCAAATTCACAGCTCTTTCAAATTAATTAAAAAGGAAATTGTGAGTTAAACATAGTCCGAGTAACTAGGACTGTACGGATCGCTTTTTTAACATTTGGACATGGTCGGGCGATAGTAGCGCCCCGACCATGTCCAAATGTTAAAAAAGCTATCCGTAGAGTCCTAGTTACTCGGACTATGTTTAACATTACTACGGTGTTAATTAATGATGCATAAGTGACTATTCAATTTCATGCGTGTCCTCATTGCCAATACTGCGCATGTTTCATTTCAAATCAATGTACCTAAATCAAAAATGGGCTACCAAGTTCTAGAATTAACGTTAGAACTTACTAGCAGGCACACGAGTACGAGTGCCTTTCCTTTCTAGCCGGGGGGGGGGGGGGGGGGGGGGGGGGGGATTTACATATATGTATGTACCTGTTTACAATCAGGTTGACTACCTATGCGTATGTAATCATAGAAGGGAGTAATTGCAGAATACCCCGCCACGCGAAAATTACCCCCTAAAAATAAATGGCTACGCAGTGCAGAAATGTCCAAAGTACATCATGTACATCGGGAAGTGGATACGCGGATACAATATGGTATTTTGATGTTAATTTTAGGGGACGATAACTTTTTAGCATTTATACCTCTGCCATTTTTAATATATGCTTTTTTTGTTAACACATTTTTATAGATTTTTATAGATTTATATATATTCTTTGTGTAGCCAGAGGTATTGGAATTGAAGGCCTTCGGGCCACAGTTTTTAGGTAAACTTTTTTAATTCCGGGCATATGCCCCTGGCTTTCGTCATGTTCGTTTTTGTTTTCTTGGTTTTTGGTTTTCTCTATATGTGATTGTTTGTTGTTTGTGTTTTTAATGCCGAATAAATAATAATAATAATAATAATAATATACAGTACTGTAGGGTCTAAAGAGGGCGCTATTTCCCTGTAATAAGAAATGAGGCCAGCAGGGACAACGTGAATTGAATGGGGAGCAGGGGTTCAATAAATGTCTAAGTCCAAAGTAGGTGCTGGGAAGTGGATACGGGGATACGGGGTAGACTTAATTTTTAGCGGAGGAAAATATTTTTGAGAACGAAGCATCCATATCCATGTTGGAAAATAACAAAGGCGTAGACCGCAACGTGAGTTGAATGGGGAGCAGGGGGAAAATGTCTTAAGTCCAAAGTAGGTGCTGGGAAGTGGATACGCGGATACGGGGTGGACTTAATAGCGGGCGTGCACGCGTGTGGTTTGGTTGAGCATCCAAGCGTGACTCCGTATCCGCGTATCCGGATACGAGGTGGGATAGGTGAGTGGCGGGGTATTCTGCAATTGAAGGAACTCTATGGTATAATATACGTAACGTATGGAGTGGACTGTTTTTCGGTGTCTACTAGTACTACTACTATACCTGGAAATTGAAGAAAAGTCCCCCTACGGACTGCTAGCTAGCTACCCGCCGGTCGGAGCATCATATGGCGCTCATACTTTCATAGCGCATACAGGACATGCGGCAGGTGCACCGAGAAACATTTAGTCTGGAGCCTTGACCAAAAGACTCTGGCTCATATGTTTAACAGAAACACTGTGGGGTATCACCGGTTCAGGGAACCAGACAAGCCAATGCATTTCGTTCGATTTTGGCACGATTTGTGGCAGCAATTAAGATGAACAATAATTGTTGTACGCCCCACGCCTACAGTCTTACATAAAGTGGTCAACGTCACTAGTCAGCGTAACTGGAGTTACTAGCTAAATAGCTATAAAGGGGCGGGGGCACCTGGGGTGCCCCAATTGTCTTCATTACTTCCATTGTTGCTTTCATCAGGAAGAGAGGAAATTGAAGCCGTCAGAATCTGTTTCCTTACATTTTTCTTTGAACTGGTACAAGTCAGGCAAAAACTGGTAGCATGAACTTTTCTTCATGTTTTTGTCGTGCCGCTGCTCTTTCTTCTGCCTTTTTCTAAGGCTCTTTTCTTCTTGAATTTTTCTTTATGATCCTTTTCTCCTCTAAATGCCTTTTGGATTCTTTTCTTTTGTGTTTCATAGTCCTTCTTTCGTTGTCGCTTCATACCTTTGAATTTCTTAAATGGTGGGAGCTTCATTTGTCAAAACGGAGAAACTATTCAATCTTGTATCTTGTTTCAGCAAGTTCGAGTGAGAACGACAGTTGACCGTACTTGGATTATCTTTGCTCGAGGCCAAGCTAGTTGACCGTAGTTGGACCACTGATCTCTATATAAAGACTGGATAGCGGATATGCATACAACATTCACACAGTAGACTTTGCATATTGACCAATTCGCCCCCGGTCTCACAAAGATGGCCGCGTATAACACGAACGTTCTACGCGTAAATACGCGCGCGTTGTATCAACAGTTGACGCGCATTTTGGTCACGTACACATATTATGATGTTCTAAAAGGGACACATTTCCGTAGTGATTATTATTTCAAAACGCCGAAAAAGTGATATTTGCGGCATTTTAGTAACCACGACATTAGAAAAACTGTAGTTAACCTTGGTCAGTGGTGGTGGTCAAAATATAAGTCAAGTGAACCGCGACGTTACAAAATAAATCATGCTGTCTATAAAAACGGCAACTTGTCCTTTGTAGATCACCAGCCGGTCTCACCAATATGGCGTCAAATTCGTACATTGTGCGGCTCTGTATTAGCTATCCAGTCTTTATATAGAGATCAGTGAGTTGGACTAGTCTTTAGTCGACTACATGTACTCGTACTCGGACCACAGTACTGAGGCCGGTCGCATCGCTGGTTACACCATGGAGGAAGGAATTCCTTCCTCCATGGTTACACTAGCCGTGCACATCCGCAAATCACACAGAGATTCAAAGCGCCCTCGTTAGTCTGCCTATAACAGAGCACAAAATACATCTAGTAGTCTGTGGAATATCTATGATACGCGAGCAGATTCGGCGATTGATTATGCAAAACAAGACCTCGAGATTCTGACCATTCAGAGGGCGCCTTCTATCGAGTCTTCCGTAACCCGTAATTGTATTACAAAAACATGGCATCCAAACTGACCAATCCACAGCTTGGTCCACATTTCTGATCGAAATGACGTCACAGTTTTTGTTGAAGTCCACTTGGCTGGCGCGAGGGGTCGCAAACAATTTGCATGTTAGGATGTATCAGACGTTCATCGTTTGGCTCTGCACACGTGATTATCGGATACTCGGAATTTAGGTATGCCATAGGGTGGCCACAGAGCACAGAAGTAGCCGGTAATTGCTCCGTTGGGTTTTAATTAGTCCTTCCTCGAGGGATTTAAGAAATCAAGCGGCAAACAGCCGGCGTAATGATTCATTCAACCCATTAAAATGTGCAGCTACTGAAGACAGAGAAAGCTCATTTCACTATAACATTTCACGTAACATTTCACTATAATAGTCGTGGGCAAAATATTCTGGGCGCAGACATTTTCGTAAACAAAAGTTGCATTATCTTTAAGTATTCTCAGGTGTGTCCGTAGGCAGATGGGGCCTACATGCAGTTAGAAGAAAATACATTAATGAATTGCCTATAACTACCAGTGACTTTTCTTTTCAGTAGTCACATTTTCGCGCCATCTGTTTTGCATACTACAGATGGAGGTGTTCCGCAGCTTGTACAACAAGCAAAAGGGTGCTGCCGACGGCATTCACATCGCGGACAACTACCGGCCCTTGCAGCCTCTCAATGACCGAACCATACTGTACAACCCACAGCATAACTACCGCTCACAGGTTGAGGCGTCAGTTTAGATGATCAATTTACTCGATAAATCTAACGATCCCTCCGATTTTTGTCACATTTTGACAAGAGTGAAATTAAACAATCATGTAGGGATAAAAGAGAATCGCCCATCCCAGTTATTGTTTGTGCATGTCATGTCTATCTCGTTGTTGTCTGTCAGATCTCTGATAACATTTATAATTTAAAATCCTATTACTGAAATTTACAAGGAAGAGGATCAGTTGGCCGACCACAGCCTCAGACAAATCAAGCATGAAATATCAAAAGGCATGCAGTATATTATCTTGTCAACTTGATTGTATAATTTTCTATTAGGTAGACTTGAAATCAAGTCGGCAAAAGTGGCCGGGTTTTTGTTTGCCCATCCGATCCGAGAACCGTGCCGCGATGTAGATAACCGCTAATTATTGGCTCCGTGCACAAGTACTCCCTCAACGGTAAGAGAGGGAGAGTCGAATACCAGTAAATCGACTCCCATAGGCCTCAGTGATGATTACTCGCACTTCCAAAAATGATCACAACTATCCAAGATGTTTGAAACAACCATTAAAAGTTGCCAGAGACACTTTCGAATTTAGCCAAAATCGAAGCTCATCACCACAGAAATTGCGTTTTCGTAGCCTTTTTGCGATTTTGCAATAGGCTGGTTAGCGGTTCCGCGCAAACATTGTCGTTGTGATTTTGTATTCAGGGGGTGGGAATCAGACTTAGGCCAGCCCTGCATATAATTTGCATACATTGGGAGGAAAACCTTTTTATGTATACATAATTCATTGCTAGATACCCGTCCTTACATTGGAAGTCCGAAGCAAAATGGAGGGACCGGGAATCAGTCTACCTTGCAATGGCACTTGGAGGCGGGGACGGTTTGTACACCCTGGACTCCAATATACGCGTGTACGTCGATTCCAATAATATTACCGACTTAAATAACTTGTTCTCGGCCTTGTACAAATATATGCAATTGCTACCAGATTTGGACGTAGGCAGTCTGATTGGTTTAGATTCAGGAGAATATGAACACGTGCACGTGCCATGCACGTGCACGTGTTCTATACATGGAATGTAAACGCTTTGAAGCTATTAACCCTGGTTCTCACTCAGCTAATAAATTGTCTAGTCCAGGTCCATCTGCTGGCACCTTTTGGGAATATGCACACAAACTGCATATCAGAATCTTCTCTGACTTGTTTACGGGATCCGTATTGGATCATGACGTGCAGTCGACAGTAATGATCACTATTATATACGCAATTAAAAGGACGCCCTAATCACAAACCAATTTCTGTCTCGGATGCGTATAGGTGTCGGCAGAGGTACAGCCAATTAATTTGCAGAACGACGTGTGTGTGGATGGGTGTTTGCACGTGCCTTGTTGCAAAACAATTCAAGCGTTCAGTTCTACAGCAATAATGAGTTGCGTTTCATTAAGTCACTTGTTGTTTGCTACAGCGGGCAAAACCTAACCGAAACGTCTATAACTCTATACCACGGGCGTCTTCTTTTGATTTTCAACATTGTACATTGGTGGTTGCAACCATGGCGAGTGCTGCGCTGCGATTGTCCTTCGTGTGTGCTGTGGTTTACCACTTGTGCTGGTTTTGGCCGCCAGGTAAGGCTTTTTTGGTATTTCTTTCCCATTTCAATTCATACCAAGTCCTGTTCTTGACACCAAGCATTGGCGGATCCAGCGGGGGGCGCAGGGGGCGCACGCCCCCCCCCCCCGGCAAATATTTTAAAATGTATACCATCGGTGAAAAACGGACGGTGATCCGACGGGCCACGCGTTTTGAGTTTGAGGAAGAACAATCGTTCAAAAGGCGTGGCAATTTTCACGCACCTCCTAAAGGTCGGTTTTCACGGGCACGCGAACGATTTGCGAAGGATGCGAATGTCGAAAAAATGGCAAAGTCCAACATTCGGAGAAGTTTTTCTCCGAATGTCTCCCGACAATGGAGTAGTAAACCATTCTTGCGCAGTTTGTGCGAAGTTCTCACAACGTATGTGCGAATGTCGTGTGTACCGTGACTGAACTACGGCCAGTCCACATACACGAAGAACACGCGACTTAAATGCGAACAACGCGAATGTTCCAAGAATCACGGGCGAAATTCTTGTGGAAAGGTCGAGAAATAATCGGGCGAACTTCGCGTCTAGCGCCAGACATTCTCCAAATTGTCGGGGTCTGTTTGGGGATTTACGAAGAGTTTGCGAACATCGCGCACGTCTTGAGTAGGTCCTGCGCATATGACGAAGCTTTTAAGACATTTTTGAGAACAAATCACGAGCAAAACACGACCCGGGATGCTCGAAACGTTCGCAAGAAATTTCAAAATTTTTTGAAACTCCCGCCGAACTAAAAACGACGCCCGCGAATAATTGACGATGCTTCCGAACCCCCGCGATGGTTTTCACGGGGCACGCGAACGATTTGCGAAGGATGCGAATGTCGAAAAAAATGGTAAAGTCCAACATTCGTATTTTATGCTGCAAAGGATCGAGAATGTCTCGCGCTCGGAAGCGAAGTTCGCCCGATTATTTATCGACCTTTCCGCAAACTTTTTGCGTACTTCTTGAGACATTCTCACCAACGTTTGGTGCACGTTTGGCGGCAAATCCACACCACGTTTGACCTATATAAAGCGCACGACTATTTCGCGCATTTGCTACTCTGTGTGAATTCTGTATTGTAGGCATTTTTTCGACATTTGCATCCTTCGCAAATCGCTCGCGTGCCCCGTGAAAACCGACCTTAAGACTTTATGCGCGGGTTATGATGGCCGCACGGTACGCGGATAAAACCAAGGTAAAACAAGCTGCAGTGGAGTCTCATTTCGCGTATTTTTTAGCGCCTCATACGTCCATGAGACTCGCGGACAACTGCCGCGTACAATGCGTATGAAGTCAAACCGTTTTCACGCCGCCGGGCTTGGTGACTAAACAAAATCAAACAATGGCCACTTCATATTCTATTAAAATATTTTTCTGATACGTTTCATGCCAATTTGACACACTCCCCAAATATGCACCCGCTGTAATTAAATATTTAAATTCATGTCAGTTATGTAACCGAGCGCGGAACAATAATTTATTACAAATTATGTGCATGTTCTCAACTTTAGGCTTTGAATACAGAAGACACTTCATAGGAGCAAGAGTGTTTAGGCCTATATGCATTTGAAACAAATGAAACAAAATATCCCCTCATAATTTTAAAACTTCTGCTAAAGAAAAATCAGGGGAAAGTGGCCAGGAAACGCCTCAGACTACACCACAGAGCATCTACGATCAAACTCATCATCCATTCGGCAAACTCATCACTCCTTTCAGCGAAATCATTGCTTTCGCTTGGCAATTTCGTCACTCCGTGCTGTGAATTCGCCATTTCTTTCGGCAAAATCAGTATTTCATTGGGCGAAATCATCGTTTTATTCCGCAAAATGTTCATGCTCATTCGGCAAACTCATTCCAATCGGCAAACTCATCGTTCCTTCGGCAAACTCATCTTTCCATTCGGCGAATTCATCACTCCATTCGGTAAATTCATCACTCCTTTCGGCAAACTCATTCCATTCGGCAAACTCGTCATTCGGCAAACCCATCATCCATTCGGCATACTCATCACTCCATTCGGCAAACCAGGCTTCGGCGAATTCATCACTCCTTTCGGCAAACTCATTCCATTCGGCACACTCGTCATTCGACAAACTCATCAGCCATTCGGCAAACTCGTCATCCATTCGGCAAACTCATCACTCCATTCGGCAAACCAAGCTTCGGCAAACTCATCACTCCATTCGGCGAATTCATCACTCCTTTCAAACTCATTCCATTCGGCAAACTCTTCACTCCATTCGGTGAATTCATCACTCCTTTCGGAAAACTCATTCCATTCGGCAAACTCATCATTCGGCAAACTCATCATCCATTCGGCAAACTCATCACTCCATTCGGCAAACCAGGCTTCGGCAAACTCATCATCCATTCGGCAAACTCATCACTCCTTTCAGCGAAATCATTGCTTTCGCTTGGCAATTTCGTCACTCCGTGCTGTGAATTCGCCATTTCTTTCGGCAAAATCAGTATTTCATTGGGCGAAATCATCGTTTTAGTTCGCAAAATGTTCATGCTCATTCGGCAAACTCATTTCAATCGGCAGACTCATCGTTCCTTCGGCAAACTCATCTTTCCATTCGGCGAATTCATCACTCCATTCGGTAAAGTGCAAATTCATTCCATTCGGCAAACTCGTCATTCGGCAAACTCATCATCCATTCGGCAAACTCATCACTCCTTTCGGCAAACTCATTGCTTTCGCTTGGCAATTTCGTCACTCCGTTCTGTGAATTCGTCATTTCTTTCGGCAAAATCAGTATTTCATTGGGCAAAATCATCGTTTTATTCTTTCAAATTCCCCATTTCACCCGGTGAATTCATAAGTTTTAGTTGTTTCAACAATAATAAAAATGTTTGTTTTATGTCCTATCGAGTGTGAAACAAATTGTGATGGTGATTTATTCGCGTTCTCTCATACATGCTGAAAGGTAAGACAGTTATTTTGAATTTTATAGTCGGCAATCACCGTGGTAACATTGCATGCCATTGGTTACATGTTATCAGTCGCACCCGTGCCGCCCGCCTAAAACTCAACAAATCGATCGAAAACATCCGCTTGAATGTCAACTAACTACGATTCTAGAGCTGTCACACATTAACTTCTACTTGACTTCCTTTTACAATAATTCGATATTGACAAGATTTCCCGTATCCCGTAGAAACTAGTCCAGTTTTGTGCCCAAAACATACAAACTAACGGACAGAAAAAACACACAATAAGTGCCCAACTTAACTTGACTTGAGACTTGGTGAAAATGTTTTGTGAATACTGCATGAATATCAAGACTCGTCTAAGCTGCATATTTAAGTGGGGTGCTTACTTTTCATGACTTAAGTCGTTTTGTGAATACGGCCCAGGGGTCGAATTATGGTAAAACGTAGTCCAAAAAAAAAAAAATTAGTTTGGAATTTGTAATTCATAATGAGAATACTGACTGTCTTTCTTTGTATCAAGCACGTCAAAAGTCCATGTCCGTATAAGGTCCAGTTTTTAGAGAACAAAACCACCCCTTAAACCCTCAAGTCAGTATGTTTTTTAATCTTTATCTTTTCTTTTTTTACTATCGAATTCCCGTCTCACAACTCCCATATCACATTATTTCCCCAGTGGCGCGAGCATCGATAGCCATCGAGGAACATTGTCTTCCAGACCAGATTTACTGCGCACCGAACTGTAGCGATGAATATAGTGTCAGACCAGGGCAATACGTGCGCAGGCAGAATTGTCGATGCGACACCAATTGTGTTGTGTACGCTGACTGCTGCGTCGACTACCTTGACCACTGCAGCGCGAATGGGACAGACCCCTTGGCAAATCGCTACGATTTCTCGCCACATTTGGTCTGCGTTTCCCCTTACGATCCAGCCAATGAGGTCAGTTATCTGGCAGTTGGACGGTGCCCATTACAGTGGCCTATGGACGACGTCAGACAAAACTGCGAAAATGAAACGTTGGCCCGCTCTCAGAGATTCCTGACGCTCCTGGTTAATGGACCGGATGACATTGTCTTCAAGAACGTCTATTGCGCTATCTGTCACCACGTCACTGACCCGGTACCTTGGAGTCTCAAACTGTGGGACTGTGAGCCTGCGGTAGGTGAGACTATCCCGATTCATGCTGGTGGCAAGCCCAATTTGGATGCCTGCAGGGGCATTCAGACAGTTCCCCCGACATCCATGCTGAGTGAACCCCATCGCTGCTATCACGATGTCATCGACAGTTGTCCAGAAACCACCAATGCCAGCGAAACCCATATCGCGCTTTGTGCTAGTCAAACGTCCTTTTTGTTCCATCTCGCCTCTTCTGGGGAGAGGCCGGCAGTGTATAAGAATGTCTACTGCGTAAATTGCGCTCCTATAAAGCTAACCGGCTCCGATTTCCTCGTCTGCCATCTCGGCAGTGGTGTGTTTGACCCTGCCATTTCATTTTTGGTCCTGTTTGACTTCACTGCGCGTTCGGTTCGTAGCAAGAATTTTCATACCGGTTTATACGGGGTCCCACAGATGATTGGTGAATGCAATCTTTGGCAGCAATACGATCCGTTCATTGGCATGTGTAGAAACTTGTCCTGCCCTGACGGTAGAGTGTTGCAGATGGGTCAGTGTGTAGAATCTAACGACCAGATCATCATCCAAACTCCGTCAAGTGATTGCTGGCAACAACTGATGTCCTCTCTTGAGAATGCTGCTTCGAGCTACGACCTCGATGGTGAATTGTCCAACCAGGCCGTCGCCTATGTAGACTTATCCGTAGTAGCAAACACCCAAAGCGGCTTCGACCAGTTTCTGTCCAGAAATTTGACCTTGCCATGCAATGCAACAACATCTCTTCTGCTGGTGGCATCCCAAGCTGACTTCAATGAGTCAAGGCGATCAATGATGTGCGAGGGCTTCACCCAGCAAAAAGTTGCAGTGAACGAGATTGCATACGCTGATGGTGCTTTCTATATCAACATCAGTAACTATATATATGCGGCAAGTGAGTTCGTGCACATTACCAAGTACAAGATAGACAATGGAAATTGGTCGAAAAACGAGTACTTGACTTTATGCGACCCGTTTGTTGAAGACGGCTGCGCCATTGTGGCTTTCAGCAGAAGTGAATTTGTTATGTCGGGCGTTGGTGAAGATGCCGTGTTTGTACATGAGGCTTCGGGGAGCTCCTTCAATGTAGGTGATGTGTGGCAGTTACCAGACGGCACTCTTCGAATGTGTAACTTTCTACCCGGGCCAGTTACCTATCCAGCTTGGATAACAACACTCTCCGACTTCAGTTTTGCAGGCAGCGTGTGCTCGATTGTCATATTGATCCTCACGCTGATCACCTACTTACGATTCTCAGTTTTGCGAAACGTACCTGGTAAAATTGTGATGAATCTCACCGTTGCCTTAATCCTGGCCCAAGTGGTTCTTGTGGTTGGTAAGACATCAGTTCCCTGGCTGTGCGTGGCTCGGGCGGTAGTGCTGCACTTTTCCTGGCTTGCCGTGTTTACGTGGACGAGCATTTTGGCTGGCGATTTAGCGTACACCATGCGATCGATGAGGCCTCCTTCTCGACAGGAGGGTTTAGGTGGGTACAAAGTCATGAAGTTCTGCGTTGTGGCCTGGGGCTTTTCCGTCGTCTTCGTGGGCGTCTGTTTCTTGGTATCGAGTTTGGGCAATGAGCACTCGTCTTTCGGTCTCGAGTATGGTGGCAGTCAGTGCTGGATTGTTGACCCTACCCATGCATTGTTGGTGTTCGGCATCCCATTGTCTATTCTTCTTTTGGTCAATTGCTTGTTTCTTGTCATCATGATCTACACTGTGACTGCAAATCGAAGAAGGCTAGCTGCTGCAAGAATGGCAAAGGATTGTAAGACTGATATTCTACTTTGCATTAAGGTAAGAAGCCTTATCCATATTGCAAGCTAATTGTGCCGTACAAATGGGCCTACCCAACGACGACCATCGAGACGGAAAAAGTCACACTCGTAAAATATCTATACCAGGCCAGTAAAGAAAACTAATCAAATAGGTTTGCTACCATCAAGCAGTTGTGTTCGTCCTATTTCTCGGTATTTACATCTCAATCTTCTTCACACCCCCCTACAGCTCATGGTGGTGACAGGAGCGACCTGGACTCTCTTCCTAGTTGCAAACGTGATGGATGTCGTCATCGTCTGGTATCTGGCCGTCTTCGTCAACTCTCTGCAGGGCGCTCTCATCGGCTTGATGTTCCTCCTGAAAGAAAACACTAGAGCGCTTTGGTATCGGCAGTGGCTGATGATCTGTTCCTGTCATTGCCAACCATGCTGCTCACTCCCTCGACGTACCAGAGATGACCGACAGCCCGCCACAGTGAGTTCCACCTTAGCAGTTGTATCGGGGGAAGGCACTTGCAAATTCGAGGGATGTGTTGAGGATGGGGGTTTGCCCTGCGAGGAAAAAGCGAGCACGTCTGACATGAACACTAAATTATGAATACACAAATTTGATCTTACGTCGAGACCGTTTCCAATAAAGAGGTTGTGGAATGCTGAAAGTCGTTTTGTTTTTTATATTTTTTATTTTATTGTAGAGTAGACCCATATATATCATAATGACAAAGTCCCATTCTTTTGTAATGTGCGTTTATATGTTTATAAAACTGAAATTCATCGAGTAATTTGTTGGTCGGCGAGCGCATAATTGAAATCAACAGTCGTCGGGTTCTTCGTAAAATGAGAAAAATCGTGACGTAATAAACAGGACTCGTTTATACTACGCTGCATCGGGAGTCCTGTTTATTACGTCACGATTTACTATGTTTTGTTTGCTGCCCCCAACGACGACTTTTACACAAATTGCACGTTCGGGTCGAAACAGGACCTAAAAAACAGCTCTCAAAAGTACCTTTTGTACTCATTTCATGACGGACACAATAGTCGTTTTTATTTCATCACACATTAGGCTACATATACCCGAAATATGACGGAAATGTCTTCGAGCACTCCACAACCTCTTTAACAGAACTAGCCTAACTGTGCACTCTTAGGGTAAAATATGGGTGGGGGAGGGGCTTCTAAACAAGTCATATTCTTATATGTTCAAATTACTCAGAGAACATGTGTTCTGAAACAGACATCGTCATACTTCAATTTTCCAACGTCGTGGTTCAACTTTCCAACGTCGTGGTTCAATTTCGCAAACGTCGTGGTTCAACTTGAGTCGGGGGTTCGAGTGCACTCCCGCAGAAACTCACTGCCAACGGTAATTTGTAAAATCCTTGGCATGTCCCCAATAGGAAAACAAAAGATGTTAACAGTAAAGAAATTAGGGATGCCCGCTGTGAAGAGACCACTTATTGGAACCCCCTCTTGTTGAACTTAGATGCATTTTCTCAGCACTACAGGGTTGGAAGCGGCATCAACGAAACGCCATAACATTAGCAATAATCAAACTTGGCAAACATTTGCAAAGTTGAACCATGATGTTTGCATAATATTGAACCACGCCGTTTGCAAGCGCAAACTTGAACCACGACCACGGCGTTGGCAAACTTGAACCACGACGTTTGAAAGTTGAACCACGAAGTTTGAAAGTTGAACCACGACGTTTCCCACAAGCATGGCGCCATCTACAGATCCCGTACAGAGTTAAACAATAGATTTGATTATTTTAAGTTTATTATTTTACAATGAGGATCGTTGTATTTCCCTGAAGCAAGTGTTTCAGTAATTAATTAGCTGTGGCTTTAGTGTTATGTACTGTAAGGCCAAAAAAAATAAAAAATACTCGGTCTCTGGTCAGCGCGCGCGTCGATTTTAATCATGCGCGTCAACCTTTATTTCCCCTTCAAATTAACACGGAAGCTACAACAGCGCCCTCTATTGTCGCACCTCCTCAAATTTTTGTACCAAAGAGCACCAAGGAATGGGGAAATTGCATCAAGGCAAATGATAAAGGGCACCAAGGCAAATGATGGAGGACACCAATGTATAACGAGGACACAAACAAGCAAAATAGTACCCACCTTGTCTGTACAATTGAAGCTGTACAATTGAAGCTTGGGCTCCCATATATTTTGCACTAAATTTAGTCGGGCACCATTTGCAGACTGTGTTGTAATTTTGTAATTGTGCGTCTGGAAGCCAGACTGAGGGAGCGATGGTCGTGTATCTGGAACCTGTAAACGCTTTTTAATTTGCGCAATACGTAAGGGAGCAGACTAATGACCAGCCTGACAGCTCATGCACGATGTCGATGTCGCTGCATGGTCTAAGTTATAAGGGGCCATTCAGAATTTTCAATGTTTTAAATTTTCGACTATTTTTCCAAATTGTGGGTGGGTGGGTCAAGCTAAATAATTGAAAATCGAAATTCACTTTTCATGGAAAAAAAGAGCCAAAATTTTTTTTAGAACTTTTGACTTGCCTGAACTACGCGCAAGCGTTCCGATATTGCGATGCATGTTTCTTTTCCAACTTCGTCCCCTGTATGTACTGCACAGGCCCGCCAGTGGGATGTCATGATGTACATGCAAGTGCATGTACATGTACATGTTTTGTTTTTTAATACTGCGTAACAAATCAGTTTTTTATTAATCGAAATTAGGGGTGGGTGGATGGGTCAAAATAATTTGGAAAAAAGTCGAAATTTTAAAACATTGAAATTCTGAATGGCCCCTAACGTTACGACCGTTTTCTCTGATTTTTGTCTTTACTATCCAAATTTCCCGAAGAATGTTCGTGTCGGTCGAGATCGTAAGTGGATGCAGAATTTTCAAGCTTTATGGCCTGAATGAGGTCACCTCAAGCTCTACTCTGAAGGATATTTTTGAGAGTTTTAATGGCATTGAAGCGTCATCTGCAACATGCAGCCGACATTAATTTTGAGGAAAAAAAGTAAAGGGGGAAAAAAACCTGCGTCGCCGCACCACTTTTGGGGCAAGCTCCATACCAGAAACCGGAGACTTTTTTGGACTAATGAAACGGTATTGGTATTAACAGAACAAAGTGGATACAAACATTTGTCAAACGATAATTATTGGTCTCATTGTAGTCTTGGCCCAAGGCGCTAGTGATCGACAGCGGATCGTGCATAGTGCGCCCTCTAACGACACAATAATTAGACCAGCGTGCCTAAAGTAGCAAAAACAGTAGTGCGTGGGGGATCTACAACAGTAACTACAATTACTATCGATCACTGACGTCTGGGTCCAAGACTATGGTTGATATATACGTTTTACAGTGTATTAATAATGTGTGATATCATCTATACCCATCCGTGCAGTTTTGAAAGATTATCCGTGCGTTCACGATAATTGTTCAAAAACTCAAGTGAAAGTGTATTTTGTGGTATATGTATAATATAAGTAAGACCTAAAGGTTTGCATGGTGGATGGAAAGTCAAAAGATGTGAGTTTTGCGGTAGCACCATATGTAGTCGAATCTTCTTTGTGACCGTGCTGAAGAATGTAAAGTATAGTTGAGTATTTTAAGGATAATGTTACCTAAATGTAAAATGTAATATTCAATGCAGCACAATGTATGTTTTGTATGTATACAAAAGTTGTGAACATCTGGCGTCTATGTGTGCACAAAACACACGATGTAGTACGCCCCGTGTGTAGTATGCCCCAGGAGCCACGATTTTAAAGGATGCTTTAGACTGTCATTCCCTAGCAATTCAGTAAGGTATTACGTGATAGTTTGATCATTTCGTTCTTTGATGTTTGCAAATGTTGTATCTTCCTTTTAAGGCTTTGAATGGCCTTTTGGCCTGTTGATGTGAACTCTGCCCACTGTCTGTTAATACATCCAAGAATTATTGAGCTCGAACCAGCGAATGTTTACGCTGTAAGTAAGTATAATGAAGAAAGCTGGTTCCTGGCCCTCCATTAAGTAGGCTTGGAGGAAAAGGGAACTGCACGGAAGTCTGGAAGTCAGGCCTGGTAAGACAACCTCGTCCCCACGGGTAACTTTAGTTTCAACCTCGTTTCCAATAGTAACCCCTGGGTGGGAAATGTCCCGTGTCCTTCCTGCATCCTGATTCGATACAGCAATGGCGAGTAATGATATCGCAGCTTGGTGTTTTTGTTTCCACCGTGTATTACGTATTTTAACGTACGATATGAATAGTTACGTCCACTCCACCTCAAAAAAATAACTCTTTGTCATTTGGTTAATAATATTGTAATTTGATACTGCATATTAGCTGGATAAGATCGTTACATTTTAAGTTTGAAGGAAATCGTGTTTTTAACTTCGAGGGAAATCGTGTTTTTTTTCGGATCTCACGCCGCAACGGATCAGATTATGTTTTTAAACAAGACACTGCATAAAAAGCACGCACTGATTTATAGCACAGCCAGGCACCAGACTATTCCTAATTTGCATACACTGTGAAAGATTTTAGAACAAGCAAATGATCCAATACAGGATAAGAGAGCAGGTAGTGGTGGGAGCGTACTGCTTGACACCATGGGATTGAGGTTGCTGTTCAGGGTACGGGCACAAAGTATATGACGTGAAAACAACATGGCGCATGCGATTCTGAGATGAGGTATTGTGCTTATATCTTTTAAAATAATAATGTGGTCCTTTGTGCTTCTGTCCGTGTTTAAATGGATACTTGCCTGGGGAGCCAGAGCTGACTACACCTCGAAAAGTCCATGTCCGCCATGCTATAGGCCTACTTAGCAGTCAGGCTTATATCGTGTCAAGTTGACGGCTGCCGAACGATCCTTTTGGGTATGGTTTCTCAAGAATATTGCGCTATGTATGTCCAGTCCAAGCGTTAGGCCTCATAGACCATTCGAGTACGCTATCAATTAATGTACAGCTCAAATTAATAATGAGGCACGAAAGCATTGCGCCAGCAATGTTCACATAATCCGTCATTACTGGCACAGTACTTTCGCCAGTGAAATTGGGCCTCTGTGAGCGTATTGTGATCGCATGCTAGTGGTTGTTTAGGCCTATATCCAAATTTGGATAGGAGCGGCCGGTGTCATCTGAAAATCCGACTCCTATGAACATCGGACTCCTGGTCCCCATTTTTGGTTAATCCCTCACACGTGACAAGTCATTCTCCTATTATAGACCTATAAATAGGCCTATTATCAATTTACGCATGCGCCGTACTACGAATGAGTCCATATTTCATGGAGTCGGATATTTACGCTGCACCTGCCGCGGCAAATGGATGTTATTCAGACCCAGTGGCGCACCCAAGGGGGCGGGGCTCGGGGGGCTTGAGCCCCCCCCCCCCAAGAGGTAGTGATTTTTTGGGGGTTTTTTTTGCTTATTTTTTTTTGTAGTCCCACGATTTGACCGTGGTGATATGTATGTGGCCTATTTTCGAGTAGTATAATAGGAGTGTAAATGGTGCAACCAACTCAAAATAGTCCCCCTCCCCCAATTTTTTTTCTGCGGCAAATTTTTTTTGAAAAAAAAAAAATTCTGAATTTTTTTTTGAGCCCACTTATTTCGAGTATCACTACAAAGTGTATACCTTGGCTCTTGAAGGGGCGATCTTTTTGAGAGACATTAATTTTTAGAAATAGTAAATTTCCACGTGGTGTTATAATTATTATAATTCAATCATAGATTTAACGTTCAAAATGTTGTACTATTATACAGTGGAAAAGAATTCAGACCGTCAGAGCTTAATTTTTCTAAGACTTTATTCGTAGTTACATCTGAAATGTTAGTCATTCATTGTTCAGAGTCTCGCTCCTCAACATATAATTATATCCGTTGTCTTCGTCTGTATCATGTGACTTTTGTATGTTTTGTACTGTCCTATGAGTAGGTATATTATACAAATGTTGCTTTACATTTCTAATTAATGTTGCCGTCTGTATTTGGCGTGTATTCACAATATCAAACCATAATTCAAATCCTTCGCTCTTTGTAATCTTAAATTATTACCTTTATAATTACGTTTCCCAAGTAATGTCATTCTAGATCCCAATGTCAAAATAAATGTTCAGTTGAGATGAATTGAGATAAGGTACGGTGTAGTAGTAATATGACCTGCATGATCCATGATATGCCGATATTGTCGGATGCTGCTTTATGCTGCCTTAAAGTTGTTGTGGCATCAATTCTGTTAATTACCTTGGATTCATATTTTTGTTACAGACTCAAAGCGTCAAATCATGAGCCCCGTACATAAAGGATCGCCCATGGATTGGCAAAAATAGACTGTACATAGCGCGAACATGACTTCAGTCAGAGCGGGTGGAACACCCTCATGAGATAATCAATGGATCAGATAGCACTGCGTTCTTTATAGCTTGACACGTGAACAACATATCATTATAACTACTCTGTCATAATATATAATATTTATACTATACAGTGAGTATATACTGGCTGTAAATAATAATACTGCATCTCTACACATAGTTACTTTATGTGTTTAATTTGTCTATTTAGCTTACGCATCGGGGTAGAAAAAGAATGCTTTGCATAATCTGAGAAAACCATCTCCAAAAATAAGTAATTTTTCTTAGCAAGCTTAGGCTCCATGGTCTTTTAAAGTTGATTCCTCCCTCAAAACTAATGAAATGGATCTTCTGAACTCCTCATGTCCTCACCAGGGATGTATAGTCGAGTCCATGACAAGCCCCTGCAAACTCCCTGCAAGTCCGACACAGGTCATCCATTCTAAATTGTACTCACAAGCTATACAAATGAGCTTTAGGTATTTCTTTGTTATTGTTCATAGACTGTTACTAGCGTGACTGAATTTGTGAAGGGACTTTCAATTGATTGACTTGTGACTTGTGGTGGACATGGTGACCGTTTTAGCCGATATTCGGCTAACTTTGACAGATTTTTTGTAAAAAAACGAGTTTGACAGAAAATTTGACTGAATGGATTTTTTTGGCAGATTTCTGGCAGAATTCTGCAAAAAAATGGTTATTGGACAGAAAAACATAGCAAATTTGAAAAAAAAATGGTATATTTGTTTTAAAAAGCTTAAATCTTTTCAAACAAACCCTTGCATAATGGGACAGCTTGGCTGGTTTAGGTGCCGAGGTTCACTGGGAACCGGACTTCATCGTGACGCAACAGTGTTTTGTCTAAAATTTACGCAATTTCATAACATCTTTATGTGACTATAGATTGTTTATAATTAATTTAAAAATAATTTTAAATTTAATTTGAACCTTAATTAAGGCAATACTACAACATCTGCGTGTGATTTTCAGTGTTTATAGTGTATTTCGAGTAATTCTTGAGAATTTGGCAGATTTTTGATCATTCTGACAGATTTTTGAAGTCCATTTAGCAGAATTTGGCCACGACCTTACGGTCACCCTGGTGGTGGACTTGTGATGGACTGGACTACAACCTTGTCCCTCATTTTCAAGCCTTCTAAGATTTTGAATTGCTTCAAACGCTTCAGTGGCTAATACTCTCATGGAATAACTACTAAAAACCGAGCACGGTGAACGTACGTCAAGCTAGGGGAGTCAGGTTGGCGTAGCGGTACTTTCCTCGCCTTCCACCGCTGTAACCCGGGTTCGAATCCCGCCTGGGCCCATATGTGGATTGGATTTTCAGTCCCAACCTGATTCCGAGGGTTTTCCCCAGAATATTCTTCTGGGCTTTTCCTCCCACCTCTAAAACTGTAACTTCTTCTCATTGTCTTCTCTCCACAGGTTTCTTCAGGCTTGCGAGCTACAGTGCCTAGGGCACTTTTGAGGAATCCTTGGTTTCATTACCAGAAATGATTAAGAGTATTTGTACATAATAAACGAAGGAGTATATAGGTATAATCTCCGGTCGTAGGCAGATTTACTTTGTGCACAGAGCGTATTGTTGCCGGCACAGGGGATGGAAAATCTCCCAGTAGTTAATTATTTATATATTAAAAAAATATAACTATGAAATTAGTATTATTTTACAAACAGCAGTCTAGTGGGAATATCAATACAACCCAAATACTATAGAATATACAAGACTTTTACATGATTATAAAAACTTAACGACAAAACCCATCACTTTCAGGAATTACACAGTAAATCAATTAAAAGTGTGGCTTTCAATTCTTCTGAAACGACATTAGGACTACGATAATGAAAACAAATTCAATCAGTAAACTTCTATATACTTATACAAAAATAGATACTGTTTATTTTATCAAAGAACCATCACATTCTGTCACTTTAATTCCCCATTAAAAAGTAAAAATAAAATAAAAATGAGAGAGTGTTATGCATAAAGACTGAAAAATGACTGAAATGTCGGTTAATAAGAACAAAATATTCAGAATTTAAACACATGTTCTTTTGGTACTAGCCAGAAAATGCCTTGCGATTTAAAAGGCTATTTAGCTTGTATTTTGTTTGGCTAGACATCAGCAGGTCCCGAATCCCCGCGTCCACACTCGCTAGGTTCTTCGAGTAGCGGCTCCATCACCAAGTATGTCTGCCGCCTCGGTTGCGGGGTCATCTCCTCGGCTAATACGGCCATCTCGGCGGCCTCAACCTCGGCCCCGCTGGTGCTCGGCCGCTTGGTGGCGCTACCCTCGCTGGAGGAATGCGACTTGCTGTGGCGCGGGGTGGCGCTCCTGCTCATGCTCGGAGACGACAAGCGCGTGGAGAAGGTCAGGTTTGTCCTGTTGCGGAACCTCCGATGGCAGTTCCTGAGGGCTCGGCGAACCTGTATTGAATGTGAAACATACCTTAGATGGCATAGATGTACAACAAGGAAATGGGCGTAGTGTATCCGAGAAATCGATTTAGTGAGGTATTAATTCGCAAATGACTTCATCGCAAAAGGGAATTTTAAACATCAAACTGCGGCATAAGTTTGAGATTGGATTTTACCCTCACAAAATCAAGTCATAGGCCTACTCTTCACATATTGGGACTGTACACTAAAGATAAACAATCAAGAGCCCTGATGTTGGCTCACCTCAGAAACACAACCGTGAGAAAGTAGGTCCTATACTGTTGTAAATGATTCAGCTGAGCACGTTTGTGACACAAAGTGTACGTTACGAATGCACTATTCAATAAAGGACCTATTCCAAGATGTCAGCCCCCACATGCCAAGTTTCTCGCAACATATTGGTGAGTCCGTTCCGTATAAAAGAACCCAAGATGATATAACATATACCATGTCCACTGCAGCACAGACTCAACATCACAACAGAGTTTTCAAATCCATCACAGGTCACATCGAGAATCAGGTCACAAGTCGAAATACAAGTCTGGTCTCAACAGAGGACAAACAAAGCCTTTATCGTAGTTCATTTGAACAGCTTTTTACTTGACTCGAAACCAGCCTGGTGATTGACATGTAATTTAGTTGTGGTGACTTGTGATTGACTTGTGATTGACTTGTAATTGGCATGTGATTGACTTGTCATTGACTTGTGATTGGCCTGCGATGACTTCTGATCGACTTTTAGTGACTTGTGATTGACTTGTGATTTAGTCGTAATAAATTTGTGATTGACTTGTGATTGGCTCGTGATTGACTTTTGGTGACTTGTGATCGACTTGAGATTGACTTGTGATTGGCTTGTGATTGGCTTGTGATTGACTTGTGATTGACTTGCGATTGACTTGTGATTGGTTTGTGATTGGCCTGTGATTGGCTTGTGATTGACATGTGATTGACTTGTGATTGGCTTGTGATGTGACTTTTGATTGACTTGTGATTTACTTGTGGTTGGTTTGTGATTGCCTTGAGATTGACTTGTGATTGGCTTGTGATTGGCTTCGATTGGCTTGTGATTAGCTATAACTTGACCACAACTGAGGACTTGACCACAACTCTGCATAACAGTAATGTTACCCTACCTGTTCACGTACCTCGGCATTGCAGAAGACATACAGAGTGCACACGGCCAGACCCTGGAACGAGTTGACGATGTTGCCGATCTTGCTGATTACGTACTTAACGAGGAACGGTGGGTCGAAGCTAAAGACCAGGATCGGCAACGCGTAGTAGACGCCCAGCAGGATCAGGATCACGAACGTCGACTTGGCTGCTCGCCTGCGGGGATACAAGAGGTTATGAAATAATGAAGAAATAATCAATACATTTTATTCAATAAAATCAGTAATTTGTAATCAATATCGAGCCAATCAATATTGAGTTGGAACACGTATGCTCAAATGATTATGTGAACCAGTTACATATTCAATGAATCATAGGTTCCAACTCAATATTGATTGGCAAAGAACAATAGGCAAGTTGACCTTTCATCCACTTCGCTGCACATTGGACCACATTGACATATCATCCCTTTCAATTAACTGTCTAGTCTATATCTCTGGATGTAGGTGTCCAAAAGAGAGGGACACAGCATTGTGTTGAGAAATGATCATTCTTTAAGCGTATATAAGTTAGTATTTAACAAAATAGGAGCTTGCATTTTAATATTTTTTTCTCTCAATGTATCATTTTTTTGATACACACTGTAGAAAACAGTTGGTTTGTTTGCACTTTCAAAGTTTGATTGAAAAACAAAGTGTACGGGAAAAGTTGAGCTCAAACTGGTCTCGAAGGAGCGTGGAAAATGTCTCAACTTCAATACTGCTTGAAATGCGAAAGTTCAACAGTTATTCTCTGACGTATTGGCGTGTTTTTGGAGGGGTTAGGGGCACACTGAGGTCCAACGTATGCGGACGAGATTGGCTCAGTGACTGGTGTAGCGCTATTATGTCACACATTGCTCTATGAGCGTACTTTGGTGTAATGAACTAAATTGTGTTATACCCTGTTACATTTAATACGATCTAATACATGTATAATCTTGTTAGCACAACGAATCTTTGCTGCTGTCAGTGCGACCTGGGTAAGTCTCACCAGAGACATTTTTCAACGGCATAGTTCGGATAATGTCCCTTTGAACACCAGAACGAATGCAAAAATGTCTCCTCTGTACTTACAGGATATTAGCGACAAACCGCCACAATCCGAAACTTTTTTAGTCTCTGAGTAGTAGACCTGCTAGGGTCCAATGAAACAGTTAACCTTTTTAGTATAAACTTAACCCAAGGATGCGAGAATACCGACGTAGTTTGTCTATAGACCTTTATCATGCTACCACCATTAAAGTTATATTCCCTGTATCCAATAACAGTACCGAATGACACTGTATTTGTGCAAAAAGGAACCAGACTATTTTCCTTCCAGCCTCGCTTTGGCTACGTTAATTTGAATGGGAAAAACTGAAGATGGCTAATGGTCTATATAATGTAATTAATGAACTTGGTGTTGTATGACACAATCTGTAAACTTACCACGAGGATCTCTCACGCGAATAGCGCGTGGTATTCCTAGCGTCATCTCGTAGTTTCTGCCATAGGATTCTCATGACAACAATCAGAACAAGTCCGTTAATCTACAAGAAACAATGGCAAAGGTTCAACTTCGTTTTCATGGGTAAAATCTTGCTGCGCCATGTTGTTTCCCATCATGCCTTGTGCGATCTCAACGTTAGTGAAGGTCACGCGTACGCGCCCATGGAGCCGAGGCTGCCCATAAGGTTGTTTGGATAATATAGATCGAGGGTTTGCTGTATACAACAGTCAGGAGATTTTACAAAAATGATTGGAATATTTGCAAATTAAGTTTTTGGTTGGGGGGGGGTTCTAAGTACAGGATTACGAACGTAATATTCTTACCACCAAAGCAAGAAAGACCGGGCCTGTCAAACAGCCGTAGTTTGCAGCGTCGGCTTTATTTATTTGTAAAATGAAGTCGCTGCATGGTGGGAGAAAAAAAGGTGAAAATTACTATTTCGAATTTTGGGTTTTCCAATCGTTGGATTAATTTTCAACCAACCTGACAGTAACAAAACTTTCGAACAAGCTGTACATGACATTTACATGTCGTTTGTGTAATACGCACGCGTATTTTGCCGTAAGAATAACACTGGACAGTTTGCAGTCATCAGATAGTTTGAAATCATTCTGTGAAATACACCAGTTATAAGAAGCGAAGAAATTGCTTCAGATTGAAAGTATGTTCGGCTGAGTGGTTGTATACAAAATAGTTCAGAAGGAATATTTCTAAGACTGTGAACTCGAACGGAGGTTTTCACCATTTCACCTGATGCATTGTTCATTGATGAAATTAACTTTTATGATGTTTACACGTACAGTAGGGGGGTTTATATTTTGGCAGCGTAATGAGTGAGTATGGATATTGTTAACGAAAAATACTAATCAAGGTCTCTGCGGTTGCTTTGACTGTTGCACAGGTAATCATTTTATTGCAATCTCACTCCCAAACACGTTTCCACAGCTTACCTGCCTTCTGGTGTCAGAGCTCTCTCGGCAATTATCCATGCGGTCATGAGTACAGCAGGAATACCTGGTATGAAAATAAGCAAGTCGAATAATCACAACGCTTCAATAGATTTTTATCATGCTGCCACCATTTCAGTCATGTTCCCTGTATCCAATAACGGTAGGCTGAACGATAATTTTTTGCGCACTAAGGAACCAGACTATTTTTCCTTCCAGCCTCGCTTTGGTTACATTGATTTGAATAGGAAAAAATCAATTGGCTGCTGTACATGATATTGGTCTGTTCCCAACGATGTAGACTAACTATTGTGATGCACTTGATTTACTTCAATTGATTGTACGCGATGATCGAAATGAGTGTTTTCTAGTCTGAATGAACTGCCCCTATTGAATCTGATTTGGATAATGCTAGTTGTCTTGCGATCTAGAGACGTGTGGCCACATTAGTTTACTGAAGCCTGAGTATCCATGTTTTATATTACGGCTTTGAGTGACTTTTTACTTGCGTTCACAGTATAACCGGTGACTCTTTTGTCTTTCGTCAACCGACAGGCATAGGTTACAATGTGGGTTACGATACCACCTCGTGTACATAAATAGAGGAGTAGTACCCGAGTCTTCTTAACACTCCTAGATCACCAAAGTTTGGGGTTTGGTATAACTTCAACTTACCCCATCCAATAAGGCACCACTTGACGAACGCCCTGCCTCGCTGGGAGCCGGGAAAAGCAGTGGCTACGAGCACGAAGAGGACCAGACCTTCCACTAGCATCCAGAAGAAATTAGCCAAGACGAAGTAGCCCAGTAAGACGGTAAGGAGGTTCCAAAGCCACTGTTATAAGAGAACATTAATTTTGACCACAGGCTAAAGAAGAAAATGTTGTCGGTAGAACAACAATGTGTATATCCCAATGTAGCCCCATAAATGTGGCTCAATATTGGACCTCCTCCATATTGTGAGCCACACAGCGATCTGGTACACAGTACCCTGTGGAGACATTGTGTACAATAGGGAACAAAAGATTATATACGTCTCCACAGAGCAATTTCTATAGGTGAATACGTCTCCACAAGGTTATCACGAAATAGATAATGGATTTTACTCAATAACTAGGAATTTCCAAGGTGTGTTGATTCGTCGCAAATTGAATTATTTTATGTCAGAGATATTAAGTCCGAATTTCAGCCCAGGAAATTGATTCTGGTTGAAATAGGAGCATTTTGAAAAAACACTTTCAAACTCGAAAACTTTAGTACATACGAGAACAAAGAAATGACTCCAGAAGGATACAAATTCCAGAATTTGCGGTCATATAGGCTACGCTATTTGTTGGAAAAGTTGATTTTTAGGAAATCGAAATCGGGAATATTTGTTTTCCTGATACTGACAATGGAAGATATTTGCCTGGTTAACAGCCACGAAAAAAAAAATTCTGTTTCTGTAGGGGTTTAGTTATGCTGTGAGTTTCAGGCAAAATCTGCAGTACTTTCGTCCAAAGAGGTAATTCTGGGTCACAGATGTACACCTGACCACTTCAACTTCAAGCCCCAATTTAACAACGATGTTCAAATAAAAGAAAAAAATACCATGATAAAAAATTACTACTTTTACATAATTGGCATTTTTTCAGCAACCCAAAGTGCTATTTTCATTATTTTTTTCAGTATTTGAAAGAAAAAGCTCTCAGCTCTCTGATACCCAAAACATAAATATCCACCGATCCCCTTTTTTAAAAAGGAAAATGTTTTAGGGTTGCATTTTTTGGGGTCACCCTGTAGGCTATATGGCGATGTGGTTTATTTCTCCTACTTACCAAAGGTGGCTGCACATTGGTAGTCTTCAAACCGATGACTATGAGCAACACGACTGGGTAGAGTATGAAGGATGTAATGAGATTCCAGTGGATGTGGTACTGATAGTGTGTGAGTCCACGGAGTGAGGACCTATAAGGAAAGTGACAACAAATACTTCGCGAAACTAGGAAAAATATATGGAAACTTCAGGGTCTGATGTAAGACAAGAGAACACACACATGACTGTATTAAAAAGCCCACTCCTGTTTCGCGTTTAACTTCCTTAAAAATGTTATTAAACGATCATCTTACACTTACACTTAAGGTTCTGTGCACAATTTGCTTAGGTACTAGCCTCTGTGACCCCATATCCTATTTTGTTCTCTTCCAAAGTGAGATATCGAGTCGAGCTCTTAAATACTGACAGGACTTCTAGCATTCGCTATTTCCTGAGGGAGAGCATTCCGCACATTCATGACCCGTCGGGAGAAGAAGTTCTTCCTGCAGCCAATGTTCTCATTTAAAGCTGATTTGAAGATCTTCAGAGTTTGACCCTTCGTACTGGTGCTTGCCGCAGTCTTGAAAACAAGTTTTACTGTCAAGGATTTCAAATCCTTTTAACAGCTTAAAAGTTTATATAAGGTCTTTGTTCTAGGTCAAGGCCGGACTATGAGACGTTGTTCATAAGGTGGTTTTCTCAATGCAGCTTAAATCTTGATTTCTCCGAAGCTAGGCTTGACCATAGTTGTCCATTTTAATGTCATGTTTATGTCACGAGAACCATCAACTAGTCAACAGTACTTCATGCGGTGTGGGATTTCGTATAGTATTTTTTTATGGCGCGTTCAATCCCTGACACGCAAACAGACCAAACAATATGGTTACGATAGGTACCAAGTAACTTATGTCTAAGAAACAACTGAAGAGTACGGAAATCACTCAGTCATGGTTCGTATAAAAAAAAAAAGCAATAGGCCTATTGCAACTATAGCAAATCCTCCTTGCATGAAAACCGAAAGGACGAGAAGAGTCCTGAATAGGCATACTTTTGTTTACATGTTGAACAAAAATTCGTACCTTGTCATAGTGAAGATAGCAAAAGCAGTCACGCAAGCAACGAGCGACACTCCAAAACCGATAAAGACCAGTATCTTGAAAACCTGCGACAAAATAACCAAACGGTTCTCATTATCAGCAGTATAGCTAAAAGCATGCTTGAAGTGGTTGTCCCTGGTTCTAGCGATCGTGAACTCGTTACTCGGCTTTTTTGGGTGGGGTGGGAAGGGAGTAGTCTTGGAATATCTATGGAACCACTCAATTAAATGAAATTCTAAGATGATGCGATTTTTGAACAGATTTGGGAGTATTTTGATGCTGTAATTGGACTTACTGTATCGGCAAGGCATTCCGATGGGTCAATAGTGTGAATTTCACTCCACTGGCCTCCTTCCATGCAGTCTCTGAAAACTTAAGACGAAAAAAGAAGAGAGGACGAAGCTCAGAACGATATAAACAACGGTGAAATACTGAGTAAAAAAAATCAAAGGCAATCTTAGTATTTAGTGTTTACAAGCAGTAGGGCATACGATATTAAATCCAAGTAACCTTTTTGATAATTAGGTAGGTTATACTATTCAGATAAATGCAACGAAACTCTATGCCTTTCAGAGATTGTGACTCATGACTGGAGGGACAATGAAATCAAACAAGACGCAATTGTAACCCCGGATTCTCCATTCTCCAACCAGGGGTCCAAACGTACCAGGTCAAATTGCCTCAAAGAGACTGAGATGGCTGGTATAGATCTTGATTTCGATTGGATTTTCCAGAACAAAATCTTTTTACTTGGACCAAACCACGAGATCCATTGTCCGCTAACCTTGAGCCCCGCATATGCTGTCTTGTAGGACGACGCCGACGGTACTTCCAGCGTATGCTTCGGGCCACGTCAAGTTCTCACCGATATTCGGATCCTCAGACCAGAAACTTTGGCAGTAGCTTTCTGTGTCTTCAAATTGAAGGGAAATCAATAACAATTTACCAATTTCGTGCAAGCGTAAGAACATAAGTATGTGTGGTTCTGAAAAGAGAACTCAACGTTTCGGACAGTATGGTCTGCCCGTCGTCAGGAGACTGAGGAACCATCACACATAGGCCTACTCACAAAAGAGATTTACCACATGGTGCTACCGCCAACTTATCACCATGCAGACCTTCGAATCTCATCACACGTATAACCCTTTGCTACTTCTTCGTTAGGCACAAGCGCTTTGATTTGAACACCTCATCAACGCGAAGAAGGTTTAGGATTTTTATTCATGCGTTTGTTGGGGAAACATAATGATTTTCTGCTCTAAGGTCTCATGAACCTACGGCCGTAGATAGAATAATCTATAGTTGCAACAAGGGGCCTCCTCTTGGCACAATATGGCTTCATGCAGGCTACAACATATCAGCGGCTTATAAAATGAACACGATTGTGAAGGCTGCTCGCACCAGTATTTACTTGGCGTCCGTTTAGTGTCCAGAAGTCAACGGCTCGCATTTTTTTCTTCTGCAGGCTTGTAAAGTCATATACCTTAATACGTATACGTGAACAGATCACATGATTAACTATGTCATGTGATTTAAAATAACTTCATATAATTTAATTTCCAGTGCCCAAAAGCGTAGCTTTGAAATATGGGCATTTAGCACTGGTGTCTATGGGAATTTTAATACAGGGGTTCATCCACATGGGTCGTTTTGACAGCGCCCTCTACCGGCAGCTTTGCTAAGGACCGGTATGCACGAATTATCCGAAGTGCCGCCTTGATACAAGACTAGCGTCTCCATCAACACGTTTTGATCACTCCATTAAATAATAGATGATCACATTAACGCCTGCATGAGCTTGGAGGAGTGGCTGCAGTTAGCATAAATTCATTGCGTGTCATCACTTCTTGAATTATTCAAAGGAAATCCACGACTTCAATTTTCTCCATAAACGTGACGTATCACCTTGTCAGTTGGAATATCACAATGTCTATCACTAGGCCTAAGAAAAGTGAAGTCTCCATTGAACTAAAATAAAGGCTTGGGATTCCATTTGGTGTTTTTTTCTTATCAAATGATAAGGAAAAAACAAATCTTTACTGATTGGTTCGTGGACAACATCCTTCTGTAATCTTGATATCAACATTTCATTACTAATTTGTTATATGAGTAAATAATTGCTTTAGTGTAATATAGGATCTAAATTTTGTGTACAACAAGCCTCGTGACTTTCTTTGCTATAAGGCCGTAAACTAATCGATAATTAAACCGAACAGTTCCCGAGGCTCATCGCCGAAAGTTCCTTCACCTAATTTATCCAGACACGTCCAATTAAAAAACAAACACCGAGAACTCATAATCTTTGCCATCATGAAATTCGACGTTGGCCCGAGGTCTCTCAGTAATCAACTTATAACCGTTCATTCCATACCCACGCAATTTCCGGACACATGCATTTTGCAATTTTGGTCATTCTATAAATTTAGGGACCCGTCACAAGGTGTGACATTTTCCTCATCCCTGTTACCTTGGTACTTTGTGATTTGAAATTTGCCGTTTCCAATATCATTTAGAAAGAGAGTTTGCTATTCATAATCACTCTTGGAGGACGATTGCACTGAGGAGTGCATTAGAATTATACAAATCATAGATGTCAGGTGTAACATGGACAGAGACAAAATTGGACCCCAAATTGACCTATTTAGAAAACAAGCCCACAAGTGATATGAGCATCTGACATGCTTGGCAATTAAACGCTAATTTAATCGACAAGTTATTGATTAAATAGAAATCAAATTAGGCACGTGCTATCACGTACATTATTTAGGCCTATGATCTCCATGTTATAAACACCTGTCGCCGTGCAGTGTGGTACATGAACAACAAAATACCAGGGCCTTGACAATGTTGAAAAAAACAAAATGAAACCACAGTGCCCTTTTTATTATCCTGAACGCTGACTCACCATTTCCAGAAGTCACGTTTTCAAGCTCAGTGATTAACTCATCAGTGGACGGGTTATTGTCGTCGAAGTCTGACGCAAGCATGACGTCATTCGTATCCTGGTTCTGGCACGACGCAGCGTGCAAGACGAAAACAAGCACTAAAATCCCACGAGCCGGAGAGGTCTGCGTGATAGAGAGCAAGAATTGAAATTTCAAAGAATAATAAAACCGGAATTTGATAAGAAACCGGCAGCACAAATCATTGAACACTGTAAAATAATAATGAAATTCTTGTGTATTATACTCAAACGGCAGAAAGGTATACATTGAGCAATTGGAACCAAAAAGTATCACCAACAGCACCTAAGAAAGATCAAGTGTCAGGGCCTGTTTCGAGTTTCACACGGAAGAATAGATTTCATTTTCAAATTGCTATTTTTAAAAGTTATTCAATTTTCAATGAGAAAAAGAAAGAAAATTTGGCCTACGTTTATTGTTCTAGAAAAATTACTTTGCAAATTTTGAATTCTTTCCGTCCGACAAATATTCAGTTCTCGCAAGACTGGTTCCCGCCCTATTAGCATCGATAATGTAGGGACCGGGAACCAGTCTACTCGCTTGGCGGATCGGTTTGTACGCAAAATGACTTGCGGACCTCAAAAATACAAGCTTAGTAAAAGTCCAAAAGCGCAAGAGCGCAACGGTCATCTGGTGAACACAATGGGTCGGATTTAGCCCATTTCGGGGGTAATTCTATATAATAGCACTGCCCGGCCCTCTTCACCAGCCAACAACCGGGCAAAGTCATAAATGACAGTCCATTTAATCAGCCTCGGGCACTGATAAGAGGACTATAGTCCGGCCCCTGTTGGACAAGCAAAAACGGCCCTTTTTCTCCCGGCTAAATAATACAATCGTGGGTCAATACTCAATATGGGAGGAAAATGAGTTAGTTAAAAAACACGGACAATATATTATATCTTTAAAGGGTGATGACAGCCCATTATATTCCTTAGTCCTACCCAGCCTCGCTGTCGCGCCGTGTCCTCATGCCAGGTGACCGCAAAACAATCCCAGACTTTTGCAACGTCACGACCAATATAATTTGTGCTTGTTCATCCGTGATTTTCTTTCTATTTTGGCTCCGGTGTGTGACGGGTGTTTATGTGGGATTTTACCGACAGGCATACTAGACAATTCTCCTTTTGTGATCGTTCAATTCAAGTTGACGAAATAATTTCTGGTCCGGGTTTTTCCAGGGGCCTTCGGGAGAAGGAACTACCTGTTAAAAAATACAACAGAAAAATTCGTCACACATTGTAAACAATGTGTGACGAATTACTTCAGAAATGAAGTTCCATACTGTCTTTGTATAAGCAAGAACTTTCTAAGCGGAACTATGGGGGAAAAATAACCTAAAGGTCACAAACTGGTAAAGTAATTCAAACCAACTACAAATTTAAAGTGTACCCAAAACAGGGAGTATTTAGAGAAGATAAATTAACATTTTTCCCGTATAGTCATGGTTATCCCACCACCTGCAACTCGATCGTCTTTATGAAAAAAAAAAACCCACCACAATCTTCATCTCTTTAAAATCGTTCCATAACAAGATCACACGGCACTCTGTAACTCCAGCTATTCCACACAAAAAATAGAGTTATCTTGGAAGAAATGACAACTCGGTCAATTGCTTAAACGAAAGAATTAGTGGATTGCATGTGTATGTCTGTATATCGAACAGCCTGGCTACTCCCCAACAACAACCGCATTCTAGCCACACTATGTAGTTATTCCTCAACGTCTTGCTGAAATAGTGGGAAGTGACAGTCTTTGATAAAAGTCGAAGCTCCAGATAATCCACACTCTCACAAATGTCATGATAAAGTATCTCCCGTCTCAATTCATCGTTTCAATGGGTAATTTGCGAAGACCGGTCGCGTCCGATCATACATCCGCTCCCTCGTTCACAGTCCAAGTATACACGCAATTTATTGGCCATAAATCACAGTGCGCCCACTTCTGAAACAGACTCGCGCGTATTTCACTTCATAAATTTAATTTCTCGCCCCCACTCGTTCCTTACTATCCTCAACGTGTTCTGTTTGCAAACTCGGAAGCGAACTATACCATTGAATTTAAACTGTAGGGAAAAGATGGACATGAAATATGGCCAGAGATGTCGGGAATTCGGTTGAAGGCATATCTCGCCGATGTTTATTTGCGTACAATACTCCTGGGGATAAGAACGATGTCGTTGCTCGCGTTCCATTGCAACATCATGGGGAATTATGTCTACCCAGGCTCGTATGGTATGGTCTGTGGTTTTGCATGAATTTCAGTAAAAAAAATGTCTGGACCCATTTATGAACGCGAAGGCAAACGAGGTTAGTCTGGAAGTTCATTGTTCCATTTCACCATAAGATTCAAATGAGACTGAGTACCAACACTTTTAAGTGTATGAAAACATCCGAAAAATGATTGAGATATACAGTATACATTTATCAAGAATTAGCATTCCGTTCTGTTATCTGTACATGTACATAAGCCATGAATTAATGCGTCTCTAAATTGAAGGACTAATATAAAGAAGCATCAACAAGACAAAGCAATCCTAGTAAAGCTTGTCTCACAGAGCACAAAATTGATATTGACTGGGTGTCTTTTCGGGGTCCGTCCGGAAGGTTCGATAGTCCGAAGGTTCTTTAGTCCGAAGGTTCGTGAGTCCGAATGCACAAAATCCCCATAAGAGGGGGTTCGTTAGTCCAAAAATTAAATAAGGTTCGTTAATCCGAACATTTGAAGCAATAATCCGAAGGTTCATTAGTCCGAAGGTTCATTAGTCTAAAGGTTCATTAGTCCGGAGGTTCGGTAGTCCGAATTAAAGGTTAATTATTAGTCCGAAGGTTCAATAGTCCGAAACGAAAATAAGGTTCACATAGTCCGAAGGTTCATTATTCCGAATTGAAAATAAGGTCCGATAGTCCGAATCGACAATTAGGGCCGATAGTCCGAATCAACAATAAGGTCATATTGTCAATTCGGACTATGGAGCCTTATTGTTCATTCGGACTATCGAACCTTATCGTCCATTCTAAATTATACAATTTGGCCTGATGTCTCTCCACAATTAAATTGTTGCATGAATCGAGGCAGCTTTTCATTAACAGAACTTGGCTTTTTAATTAACATAACTTGTATCATAATAGCTGAGTTTACATTATTTGAGGAATCGGGAAACCTCTTTCTCGCTTGGTCTCGTATAACTTACTGCGAGAACGACTTATCAGTCTGTAGCTAACTAATAGGCCTAGAGAGTTTATCCAGGTCATTCGCTGCGCACGTGCACCATGTGCGAAGACACGCTCACTAATTAGCGTCCCGAGAGCCATACTATAGTACGCCGAAACACAAGACGACCAGACAAGCAATTTCCGTAGCAGTTCCTCGGGGATTTATAGTCTAACCCGTCTCTACCTGACGTGGCTTCAAAAGGACACCAGATGTTGGAAAGGTGTGCGTGCATCTTCAAAACCAACAGGACAAGGCCGGCCTATCAGAATGCACAAATTCAGATTCAGTGAATGGAAGTCTTTTATGCATATGGCTTACACAATGGGATGGGTTTAGCTCATTTACTGGCGTTGTATAATGGTTATTCCTATTTCAAACTTTTGGGCCAAGGTGAGAGTTAAGCTAGTCTTACTCACAAGTGACAGTCGGGGAGTAAGTCAGTCAGTCAGGGAGGCAAAAAGAAGACTGTTGGCTGGTAACAGCAAAATGGCCATTGTTTAAAAGTCCACTTTTCTTCTTCATCGGACGATGGACATTTTCGTGGCTTTGGTGGGAGTGTTTTTCGCAGCGAGCTCATTATTTTTGTAACAAACCTGTGGCTTAACAAAACAACATTTTTTGGGGAAGATCAACTCGTAGAGTGGAGAGTTTAGTGAGTGCCTCTTGTTGACACCCCCCCCCTTTAATTAGGTAGTAGAAGGAAATTCATTAAATGGAATTTGCCGTCAGCAATGCGCAGACATAACCCTAAACTATTCGTCACCAACGCGCATAATGTGCCAGAAGTCACGAGCAGGCCTAGAGGGCAGGCGCAGAAAGAGTAGAGCGTTCTCTTTATTTTGCACACTTATTTCCAGACACCGGATGAAACGGTTATAGCATTTCTTATACGATTAATCGTCGAGGCGGAGGTAATAAGGGATCATTTGAACGTCGTCCCTCTTAATTAATGATTCAGGGTTAAAGAAGAGCTCCTTCTGTTGATTACAATTTCTGCACAAACATAGGAGGCAAAACATTATATGACTCATGTTCACGTAATATGGCGCACCTACTCGGTTACATCTCTATAATCCGACGTCCCATTGGTCCGACGTCTCATTGGTCCGTGTTCCACTGGTTCAGGTTGACTGACCCTAACCCTAACCCTAATCATCTAACCCTAGCCCTAAGGATTTTTGGGAAGATATGTATTGGGGAACATAGGTATTGGGGAAAATCGGGTCGACCCCATTGAAAAACAGCATGAGTTTTGCAACGGTATTACAGTTCACAGCAGTCTATTTTAGATATGGGGTTGGCGGTAGAACCATATAGTCAGATCTCATAATGTGACTTTGCGTGGTTCTGAACAAAACCAGTTTGGGAACCCGACGTTTCGAACAGTGTAGTCTGTCCGTCTTCAGGATACAAAATGTAATCTATTTCGTGTGATGGAATTTTGCATCGGGAAGATGTACATTAACTTCATTTATTGATAGGTCAATAGTTCAAGGGAGAGTCATGTCGGAGTTGTTGATATGAAAGAATATTTCAAAATGCCGCTCCTATTGTTTGATTGTTCAGGGGTAAGCCTGAATCTTGTTTGTCAAATATGTTGATATTGTAAGGCGACCAACCGAACGTAAAAAGTACTGGTGCCAAAGCAAGTTGAATGAGCATATAATTATGGCCCATTGAAGCGTTTATAATGTCACTGTGTGCGCTGTAATGACAGTGCATTCTTGCGGGTAAAATGTAATAACAAAACCTATAGAAAACTGCACAAAAGGTAAAGCAGGTAGAAACGCAGGGAAAGTACCCAACGTACATATGGGACATGATGACGTGATGTGTTTTTTTTTATATCGATGATTCATACATGTAGTTCAATTGGTGGATTGTATACC